GGGTGTCTTCCCAAGCACAAACAAGCCATTTCTGGTGGAATTGAGGTATTGAGGACGAGTAAAGTCAATTGGTGGTGAAGATGTAGAATGGACCCTGGCATAGCTACCAAACAACTGTAGAATCGAATCGAATCGATCGAAGCGAATCACAGTGTTATCGGTGTCACATTGGACGTGCTCGTGCTGTATTACTGTCGTGTAGAGCGACATCTGACACAATGACAGATTGTGGACGCCTGGAGATGCAGTAGTGGGTCCTTTTGGCTGAGGCGTATCTGGGGCGACTGTTTGAGAGGGCGTCTGGTGGAGCTGACGGAACGGTTGAAGATCTCTGTCTGGTCCAAATGCAACTGTGAACAAGCCACTTATCGCCATTGGTAAACCATGGACTGCATTAGTCCGACTCAGAGGCCCCAGAGAGCTCAACTGGGCCGAGCCATCTAGCCGAGCCATCTCTTAGCACCCTGGATTTTTCAAGCGAACCAAACAGCTTAACGGGACCAGGGTTGTTTATGTCGACGTGATCGGAAGACACCAATAGTGGCCTACTGTACAATACTCGAATCACCTGGGTCGTCACCTTGGTCGTTAGGTCTTTGACCCTGCTTCCACCTACCTAGCTTGTCTCACTCGTATCGAATGGCGCAACTCCTAGATCCAACTACCAAGATAGACCGCTTTCGTCCACTTTTTGTCTGCTCCTAGAACTACTAATGTCGCACAACCTCTAGCTTCTTATCCGCCTTGAAATCTCCCCACAAGGGTCTCACCAGTGCGGTAAAGAGATCGGATCGGATAAACTGGGTTGAGAGAGACAGGGCTTTGGAGATTGAAGAGATTGACAGAGAGATTAACAGAGAGATTGGCAGATTGAGATTGGCAGCTTACGTGATCTTACTACTTGTTCTATTGGCTCCAATCGACAAACGACCAGACCAGACTCCCTCAACCAGACTCTTTCTACCAGACTCCCTCAACCACTTCCCCAATTGACCACCATTCGCACATTGGTAACAGGTAGATTCCATCTCCGCAGCAGATAAAGTCACCACCGATAAGGACCTCCGATATGGTCGCCGATCTTGACACTAGTTCTAGTCTAGGGCCAAAAGCCGCGATAGTGCGAGTCAAAAGCAGCATGCATCGACAAGGGTCGGGCACTAGTGCTTGCTAATTGGCGGAAATCGTACGATACGGGGACCAGCGCGGTTATTGGTATTTGTTGTTACTTGTTGTCAGCTTACGAAGACTCAAGTTACTGACATCGCCTGTCTCTGAGATGCTGGTATGGTATGTACATGCTATACCACTGTGTGTTCGGAATGAAGTATCCTGTACACGGTATGAGTATCTCTGGAGATTTGTGTGGATCTGAAGACTCAATTGATCTAATACGTTCATCTGGTACTGGTATTTCAACCGTCGATCTTGGTTCTCTCGTCGAGTTCTCGTCGAGTTTTCGTCGAGTCAGTCAAGTATTTTTGTTAACTAACTGTAGTAAATTAGTTATAATTTACTTTGCAGCTAAATCCCTCTTAACACCAAATCCTCCCACACTTGACTTTAACTCAACTTTTAAACAAGAAACAAACAACTGGGCCATTATTGACACCAGCCGACTCTCCACAACAGACCCAGTCCACCACCCCTCATCAGCACCACCACCAATTGCTTCATCTCACTTCCCCTCAGTCCCGCCACTATGACTAAGCAAGTTACCCTACCTCCTTACCTGCAGAATTTTAAGGTTTAAACCAAACCTCCAAACCAGGTCTCCAGCAAGTGGAAAATCCACATCACCATCCAAAAAACACACACACATTTCGCTATGCCCGCCCCCGCCCCCAAGAACGACTCTATTCTCAACGTTGTCACCACCATTCTGACTTCTCGAGAGACCGTTCCCATTTACTGGAGCGTTGCCTGCTTTGTTGTGAGTATCCGGAAAGACGGTTGACCGAGAGAATCGAGGAGACTGCCGACTGAGAGGTTGCCGATTGAGAGGTTGCCCAATGAGAGGTTGCCGAATGAGAGGTTGCCGAATTGAGGAGATTGTTCAATGGTGAACAGATGAATGGATGAGGAACCGGTGTTTTTATCGCGTTCGCGCGAGGAAGAACCGTCAATACATGTCCGATCCGACCAGCATGATCCGAGGATTCATGTGGATAGTGACATTTTGCGATTGAACCGGGCGCATCTGGTTGAAATGTCGAATGGTTGTCGTTGTTGCTGGCAGAAGAGCCGATCGTTGGCTTCATTGAGGCTATGCATCCCACGTTGATGCCAACCACAACCTGTTCTTCGATCCAGCTGATGCCAACCGCAACCTGTTCTTCGATCCAGCTGATGCCAACCGCACCCTTTCCTCAATCCAGCTCGCGCCAATCTCAACTATGTTCCGTCCGGCCCACGCCAACACTCAAACCCCCATTACTAACCCAGGCCGGCGTTGTCTTCATCAAGTCTTCTCTTATGGACAACATGGCTCCCCAGCTCTAAGTGTAAATATCTCTCATGAAAATGTATATATATCTGTGAATGAATAGAGCAGTGCAGTGGTGCGTACCAGTAGGAGTAGTACCCAGGTTTTTGGATTCGCCCATCGGCTAGGGTAGGAGTACCGTGCAGTATGTACTGTGCCTTTGGGAGATGACTTGAAACCTGGAGACGACTGAGACCTGGAGACGACTGAGACCTGTAGATGACTGAGACCTGTAGACGGGCCCATATGGAGAGACGGTGCAGACGAGACTTGTCATAAAGTGGGACTTGTTTCGTCACCAGCCTCTTCGCACAGACGTGGCCCAACAAGTCAAGGTCTGGATCATCTGGCTAAGCTGGGCCTTCTCGCTAAGCTGGGGTCAGTATCTCACTGTGACCAACACCGGATCAAGTACAGACCCGTAATCCATCTCACTCAAAGTTGGTTGGAGTTAGTTGAAGTTAGTTGAAAGTTAGTTTGAAAACAAGTTGCACTGGGGGTACCCATTTCGGGGTTTCAGCAATCGCCATGTCCGAAAATACCATTCAAGTGACGGTGGAACAAGTGGTTTCTAACAAAAATGGTAAAATGTCTTTCTGTTGCCATACGAATATTTCGGGGTATCTACGTCTGTAGTTTTGTGGTCAAGTGTTTATTGTTAGTAGTTAGTTGACAAGCTAGAACTTGAAAAGAAGTATTTAAACAAGTAATGAGAGTAATAAATAATAACCAGAATAATAAATAACCTAAATACAAATAATGAAGAAAAAATTAAAAAATACAACCAACAACAAAAATCGGTATCGCACTCGTTCAACACTTCCTACTGTCTGAAATCAACATGATACCCTTGTTTTCTGTCAACAATATCGATTCCATCAGCTGTATCATCACATCGCCGCAGATGCTAGATCTCTGTTGGTGCCATATCGTGAACCTGTCTCTATCCTTATAGGGATCACCACCGTTACCACAACGTCTAGAGCGTCTTTGCAACCATGCGCTGATCCTCAAGATCCACCCGGTCGCCATTGTTCGACTGAGTTCGTTGGCTTTTTTGACCCTCGGTGCAATCCATCGCCAACCATCATCCATCGGGTCGCCTTGAACGGTGCACTACAAGTAGCCCCGTTAACATGGAAATGAACCTGTCCAAAGTCGATCTAACCTTCAGAGTGACGTTGGTGGCGTCGATTGGGGCCGTGATTCAGCCGTGCTAGCTTCAGTCACGAAACGGGGCTGTGTCGTCCTACCAGCCTGCTGTTCCAAGGTAGTGCTGTGGACGGTAGTACGGCAGCCAATACAGGCGGCCAAACGCCCTCGGTGAGTCCCTTTTCTGAACCCGAAACCCATGCCTGTCACGGAACCTGCTGTTTTGGTCCGCGTCCGACCCCACGGCGAGGTCCTAGTTGGTCCATATCTACAAACATCTCAGAGTAGCTCCAGGTCCAGCTTCGCTGGCTACAGCTCAGCTTATCGACCTAAATGACCACCAGTACAGCTTGTCAGATCTTCTACATTTTGACTCAGAAGCTGTGCAACCACACGCAAAGCTTTTCAGCAACCTCTTTCTTGCACCGTCGCCACTGTTGACTTGCCTGTCCCAAGGCGAAGCGTCGCCGTGCTCCCGAGGTCGTCCAACATCTTGCTGATCGGGGCCTACAAACCTCTACGAGACCGACAACCAGGTTGGAACTCCGCCCCAGAACGTGACTGCAACGTTCGACACCGGATCGCTCCGCGGCACCAACATCACTACCCGTGAGAACCTCTATTACTGTCGATCCTCGTTCGAGGTGCGCAAGTCGGAGATACCAGTCCCATGGCCACGATTACTGGAAATCTCTTGGTAACAATGGCCTGGATACCAGTTCCATGGCCAGACTTTCGAGGACTTCAACATCTGGGTGGCCACAGGACCAACGAGCTTCGACATTGGAATCTTCGGTAAGTCTGCCAATGACGACTTCAAAAAGAGCTTTGCCCAGGTTCTCGCCGACTCTGGCAAGATTTTTCGAGTCGTCTTCTCGCTCGATCCCAAGTACAAAAGATCCTAGGTGCTCTGAACAATGTCTAATACCGAGGGTATGACTGGGCCAAGTCCCGGGGAGCCTCGTACTACACCGTGCATGTGGACCACCATAGTGGCTATGCCATATCTCGTGGATACTGTTTCATTCAAGGCGACCCGAAACCAGATCGTGCTGGACAATGGAGGATTCAATCCCTTCGGCACCAAAGGTTCTTACCGGTCCTTCTCCCATTTCTCAACACCCGAGACTTCACTCTAACAAGGGCCTAGTACAATCCGACGTGGTGAAGATCACCGGCGACGGACCTGGAACCGAGGTTTTCCAACACTGTCACTTCTACTACTTTAGCTACCGGAGTCGCATGGCCTAGATTGCTTGTGTCGTGCTTCATATACAATTATTTTGAAGTCATTTGAACAGCTCATGGTCTGGTTGGAAGTGGATCTTGTAGTAGAGGACCCGAAGCAGTAATTGAGGATCTTATGGCTGAGGATCTGGTGCAGTACCAGAAGTCGGATTGGTCAACGCTCGAAGAATCAGAGTCTACGCTATCAGAAGATCAAGTACTGTCTGATGGAGAAGACTCAGGGATAGTATCTATCACCTGTGTGGATTCGAACTGTGTTTCTGAAAACGAGCAAGGCAAACTCCATCAGTGGAGGGACCGATCTGTAGGTCTTTCAGGTGGGCGGTTCCATTCCTTGGAATGCTTGCAATTCACACCCGGTCAGAACCCCGAACGTCTGGGAATGGTCTTTGGGGAGTCTCTGCTCGACAACGCGGTTCCCAAGCCTCCTGACGTTGATTTTGGAAGTAGATCAACGATCTTTTGTCTCAACATTGTTACCTTTGACTCTTGCCCGTGACCCTCCTACCACGGCCAATGCCGATCTAGGCGGTGGGGCGGTGCGACAATGCTCAAGAGAGATCTCCACAAGGCGACTATGGTTCTGAACGTTTCAACAACTGCTGAGCTTTCAACATCTGTTGTACTTTCAACAACTGCTGAACTTTTCAACAGCTCTGACGTCATCACTCAATAATCGTCGACAATCACATTGTACTGTGGCTGTTGAGACAAGATGGAGAGACAAATGACACCTTGGCAGTAAAATATGGGGTATTAGACCTCATCCACTTACGTGGTTACCGATGTCAATTCCGGATGTGGTTCTGAATGTGGTTCTAAAAGTTCGATACATTGATGTTCGTCCACAGTTTGATAAAAACTCTGCTGATTCAACTATATTAGTTGTTATGTCCAAAGTTTTACTTGACTAATAGTCTTACCTAACTTTTATTACTTAGGTGGACTGAAATTCCCTGACGCCAGCATCTTGCCTGTCATTCCAACTCGCCCATTTGAGATCTGATCGGCATAAATTGAAAGAAAATCGTTTAAACTAAGCCTTTGCGAACAACATTAGACACATCTGGCTTCGTCCGCCCCCAATGACCGGTGTTCGTTCTTCAGGACCATGTGCGACTGAAAACAACCATTATGACGAATTACTCTACTAGACTAGCCAAGTAATGGATCTAAACCCGTTTTTAAATGTACATGAAGTTCAATATCTATGGATCTGGTGAACTAGCACTGATATTTAAAGCACGGTCTGTACATATCCTGTCCCAACTAGTAATCGACAAAACTAAAGAATTAAGTCAACTGAAAATACTTGGAACAAAATATGAGATTTGATTTAGCAGAACAGAAACACAGCCGATATTTGTTTATCTAGAATTTTAGTAGGTAATGTATGACTTTTAAATCTGTATATTAATCAGATTTGTAATCAACTCTTTGGTTCCTACTTTTGCGACCCCTAGTACAATTTTTATCTAACAAATTCTAAGTAACTTCCCAACTAAAGTTCCTCTCACCAGCTCCCATCGATGGTATTCATTTCAAGTCGTTCAACAATTCCCGTAGTGGCACATGATGGGTAGATGGAGAAGTAAAACGTTTCAGAACTGTTTCTGCTTTCTTAATATCGTCTGGAGTCCAAATTCAAGTTCCGATACTATCCTCAAAACGTGCCCTCTGACTGAACGGGGATAGGGTGAATGGGAAGCCCAATTTGAGGATTTCTCGATGGATAACTTATACAATGCACTCATAGGTCGCAGTCATTGATACATATGGCGATATAGATGCTGTATTACAGACAATTCACTACTCAGGTCGATGGTAAGTCGTATGGCAAGATGGTAAGTGGGGCGGCAAGAAGTCCGATGGCTAAGTCTGGGCAATAGTTACCATTAGTGATAATACTGTGACAATCCTGAGAGACATTGAATGGAACTCTCCCATGACTCGTTTAGAATCCATTCTCCTCCTCTCCTCGTTCTTGCAATACAGTATGTCACGGGCTGTTCACATGTCGAGAGACTCTGAAGGTCCCTGAAGTCTCTCAGAGCTGGATGGAGTCTATCAAGCCACCTCCATGTCTCGATGATACATGTTTCTCAACTCTGGTATCCCCTGGCAGACGTTTAACTCCAACTCTCCTATACATCAATTCATAACATTTATTTAACTATTCTGAGTCGCCATTCCTAGCATGTGAAACTCATACGGGCCGGTACCGGCAAAGTCAGCTCGTAGCGATGGTAGCGTTTCATTCCATCGCCCCACCCTCCAACCATATTAATCTCTTCGACCCTGCTGTCGATCTCGGCTCCCTCCGTAAGGATGGTAACCTGGGGCTCGTCCGCCGTCTCGTCGATCTCGTCCTCGACCTCCTCCATGCCGTCGCCCTCTCTGTCGGCCGTCTCGAGGGCCAGTGGGCACTCCGGGAGACCGAGATCGTCGGTCAGACTGGTTGTAACCCCGGCCCCGTCGGCCAGAACGGTCGTCTCGGCCACGATCGACTCGCCGCATCTCATTGTCGTCACTCGACTCATCGTTGTGGTGGTCCCGCTCTCTCGACTGCTGGTGGTGGTTGTCTCTCTGCTGATGGCTTTGGCCCTGAGGCTGCTGCTGCTGCTGCATCTGGGCCATCATCTGGGCCATCATGGCTTGCTGGGCTTCGGGGTCGGCCGCAGCGCCTCCCTGCATCTGCTGTACCTGCTGCATGTATTGCATGTACTGCTGCCACCATTGGGTCATGGCCTGGGGGGTCATGCCACCGTAGGAGTTCTGGGCAGGAGCGGCGGCGGCATCTGCAGTACCTCCGTGGCTGTGATTGTTGTTGTAGTTGTGGTTGCCGCCTCCATGGGAAGGTCCCGCAACTGCATTGGCCACTGCGGAAGCGCCGGCACCCTTGGACCGGTTCTCGGCTCGCTTGACCTCAATGGGCTTGTCCTTGAGAATCAGCAGGGGCTGGGCCAGAATGGTGTTCATGGCCTGCTCGGAGTCGAACGTGACGAACCCGAATCCCCGAGGCCGGCCAGAGTCCTTGTCAATCATGAGCTGAGCGTCAATGACGGTGCCGTACTGCTCAAAGAACTGCTTGTAGTCCTCTTCGGTGACATCGGAGCCCACTCCGCCCACGAAAATCTTACTGGTCTTGTCCTGCTCTTCTCGAGGGATAGCTCGCTTGGGATCGATGATCTTTCCGTCAAGGTAGTGCTCCTTGGCCATGACTGCGTTCACACACTTGGGGTCTCTGAAGGTGAGAAATCCGAATCCACGAGACTTGCCGGAAAAGTGATCGCGCATGACAGTGCATTCCAGCACCTCGCCAAACTGCGCAAAGTAGTTGGTCAGCGACTCGTCGGTGGTTTCCCAGTTGAGACCTCCAATGAACATCTTACCCTCGTCCTTGGGAGGGATGACAATGTTTCCCAGAGCGGCATTTCCATCCGACCGGTAAACAAGATCGCCGTTGGGTCCGGGCATGGCTGCTGCGACTGCCGCAGCCATCTCGGCGGGGATAGAGGGAGCCGCAGGAGCCACAGGAGCGGCGGCAGCAGGGGCAGCTGCGGCGGCGGGTGCAGTGGGAATGGCAGCGGCAGCAGGAGCTGAGGGAGCAGCAGCCAATCGAGGATCAGCAGTGGGAGCGGCGGGGGTGGCCGCAGCGGGAGCTACCGGCGTGGGGATGTTGTCCTCCGCCTTGGGCTCAACCTTGGCAGGTTTATCCTCGGCGCTGGGTTAGTATTGGTAGCAGAAGGCCGTGGGAACTTCTAGTTGGTACTCGTACAACTCCTAGAGACGATGATTTTGTAGTCACGAGCTCAAATATGTCAAGGATGTTGGTCTGGAGTGTGAGAGGAGAGGTATATGGTGCGGAGAAGGGGACGAATGTGGTCTGAAAAATGGACATCTAAAGGAAGATGGCGTCTAACGAGGAACTTGGAGAAGATTTATGATTGCATTCCAGTGCGTGGAATGACTGCTCAGAACACAGCTGGGGCAGATCTCAAGTATGTGCAGGATAAGCTAGGGGTAGAATGCTGGCTAGTGGAGATAGTCAAATGTTTTCATCGGCTCGTGTCTCGCTACTCCAGCAACCGCCGGAACAGTCTGTCTGCTCAACAGCAGTTGGGTCTTGTATCTAACTTACCCTTGGGTACTGGGTGACAGCCGTGGAGCAGTAAAAGTGAGTACAGAAGAGTCGTTATGGGCCCAACGGGGACAGGGAAGCTGGGCTATGCAAACTCGGCACAAGTCGATGGTGATCAGTTCCGAAATGGGTCTTCAGTCTGACCGTTGCAACTGATCTCTCTTTGACTGCTTTAACACCTCAGGAATCGGAACTCTCCCTGGTCAACCCACCCCTCCAACCATCCTTCCAACCACCCTTCCGACCACTAATACCATACATCTAGATTGTGCAAGTACATCTCTGGCAACTCTCCCTCCACCCCCACACAAAACAAAAGCCCTATATCCACCTAGATACTCTAAATACCTATCTGTGTCACGTCGCCGGTCGCGTGGAGTACTCACTAAATATCGTTGAGAAAATCGTCGTCGTCGTCGAGTCCAGACATGTTAACTATCTAGTCGCTATGTATGTGTGTGTGTGTGGTAGAGGAGAAAACCTCCCTCTGCGGTGTCACTATGCACTCTGTTTTACCCTAACCCATTCCCCCAATTGGGGAAAATATCGAAACGTCGTGTGTTCGATTCCTGTAAATGATTATGTTAAAAAAAAGTCAAAGTCTAAAAAATATTTTGATAATGCGACTACTGATCTGAAAAAAAAAAAAAACACCACACAAACAGAAGCAATGAAGTACCTGCTGTTGCTGTCGCAAACGCACATGCAGTTTCGGCTGGCCGAACTCACCGCCCTGGCCCAGCTCGAAAATATCGCCGTTGACTTGTCGTCCCATGACGAGTCGTCTCCGTTCATGATTGTGGAGCTGGAGAACGACGAGGCTGCCAAAAAGCTGATTCGACGATCCGTGCTTGCCAAGTCCATCTACGAGCTTTGGGGCGGTCCAGCTGCGTCCATGGAGGAGCTTCACGAGCAGATCAAGACCCAGACCAGCCAACTGTGGCCCAAGTATGCCACCGACTCGTTCAAGTTTGAAATCATTGGATACCAATCTTCGCGACCCAAGGAGGAGTTTATCAAGATGGTGGAGGGGTTTTCATACATGGATTTCAAGGGAAAGATCAAAATGAAGTCGCCGGACCACGTGTTCACCATTCTGGAGGACTACCGAGTCATCGGGCAGAACCCCGAACCCGCTCCCGCGCGAATATTCTTTGGACGACACATTGCCAACTCCAACCGGAGTGCCATGGACACTTTTGATCTCAAGAAACGCAAATATATCGGCACGACGTCGTTTGACGCTGAATTGTCTCTTTTGACGTGCAATTTGGCGCATGTGAAGCGAAACGGGCTCATGTACGATCCCTTTGCCGGCACCGGATCGTTTCTGGTGGCTGCGGCAGCGTTTGGAGCTCTCACGGTGGGTTCGGACATCGATGTGCGCATGATCAGAGGCAAGGGTAAAGGATGCGATATTCCTGCCAACTTCAAACAGTACAACTCCGTTAACCGGCTTCTGGACGTTTTGGCGGTCGACTTCACCAACAACTCGTTCCGAAAGGGTCTCAAGTTCGATTCCATCGTCTGTGATCCTCCCTACGGAGTTCGGGAGGGTCTCAAAGTCCTGGGAGTGCGAGAGGAGGACGTTGAGAAGAAGAAGCATCTGGAAACGACTCTGGTGGACGGTCAGCTGGCGCATACTCGTCGAGATTACATTCCTCCAAAGAAGCCGTTTGAGTTTGGAAAGATGATGGATGCTCTGTTGAGTTTCTCGGCTGAGCGACTTGTTGAAGACGGCCGGCTCGCCTTCTGGATGCCCACCGCCAACCAGGACTACACAGACGCCGAGATTCCTCTCCATGAGGATCTAGAGCTCATCTGCAACTGTGTGCAGGACTTCAACCAGTGGTCGCGACGGTGTTTGGTGTACAGGCGACGAAAGGAGGGCGATAAGGGCGAGTTGAGAAAGACTGAAGGCGGTAAGGCTGAGGACTTTCGAGTCAAGTACTTCAAGGGGTTCAAGAATGAGTAAAGGTGTGAGAATGAGCTATATAGATGGTAATGCATGGTTATTGGAGACTGAAAATTGGTTTTATTTTCGTTATTTTGGTAATGCATGGTTATGGGTGACTTTTGGGACTGGTAATTGGTTTTATTTCCATGTTTTTTGTTTTATTTTCGTTTTATTTCGTTTTATTTTGTTTTATTTTGTTTTTTATTCTATAATATTTTATAATAATCGTAATATTCATTTTGTCAATTTTTTATTGAATGATCCTTAAAGTTTAGTTAAAAAAGCTCCGTTTTAGTTGACCCAATACTTTGTAGTTACTTACACTGCTTCGCCAAAACAACACTCTCCAACTCACCCAGGACCACTCATATCGTAAAAAGGAGAATATTGCCGGAATCTCCAACACCACCTGTCTCCACCAAACCCGTCCTCATCGCCTCTCGCCCCTCCCCGACGCTTTTCCTTAGACCTCTCCCCGCTACCGCCAAACCTTATGCACCTGTAATTGCACACCATCACCATCACCAACCACAGTTGCGACGCCACTCAGTTACACACAGAAACCAACCATTCTACAGCATGTCGCGGGGATTCAATGTGGCGCACCAGAAGGTGTCGCTGGACGTGGATCTCGGGGAAAAGGTGCTGCGCGGCTCCACGGAAATCACGATTGTGCCGTCGGACCTGTCGATACGGCAGTTTCGGTTCGACTGTCGGCAGGCGCAGATCAAGTCTGTGTTGGTGAACGGCAAAAAGGCCACGTTCACACATCACGACGCCAGCGGCTACGAGGCGTTCAGCGACTCGCGCACCGTCTCGGACGTCCATCAGCACCATCTCTACCGAAAGTACATTGATCACGCCCACAAGGAGGTGTTGGAGGGAGAGCTGGAGGTGAATCTGCCGCGAGGCGTCAAGGTGAGCTATCAGGACACGTCACGGGAAACAGGGCCCGCCGCAGACGAGGAGGCCGTCGGGGTGTACGCTCCTCTGATTGTCACCATTTCGTTTGTGGTCCGGGATCCCAAGACGGGAGTCACGTTTGTCGGGGGCCATGGATCGAGGCTCAAAAAGTCGTTCTGGCATGCATACACAACCCACGCACCCATAGGAGCGGCCACCAGCCACTGGCTGCCGTGTGTGGACGGTCTGTGGTCTCGATGCACGTGGCAGTTTGAGGTGACGGTGCCCCGAACGGTGGGCAGTCTAGGAGGAGCAAGGGTCGAGGAAGAGGAGCCCGACGTCGATATGGAGGACGCAGACGATGACGAGGGTCTCGAAGGAGCCACTCCACGTGTCAAGGAAGAACTTGCCGACGAGAATGTGGTCAAAAAAGAACTCACAACAGAAACCGGGTCGCCAAAACAGACCGTTGACGACGATGATGAGGACGAGGAGATGGAGCAGGACGACAAGGAAGAGGAACTTGATCTGGAAATGGAAATCGAAATTGAGGTGGTGGGAAATGGAGCTGCGGTGGAGGAGCTGTCCCACGCCGATGCATCCAAAAAGACCATTGCTTACTCCCTCTGGAACCCCGTCTCGGCCCAGCACATTGGCTTTGCTGTGGGTCCATTTGTGGAGGCGCCTCTGCCTGATTTCAGAGACACAGACGAAGACGAGGACGGAGGAACACCAGCAGGATTCCCCATCAAGGTGTTTGCTCTTCCGGACCAGGTTTCCGACGCCTCAAACACATGTGTCTTCCTACACAAGGCCATCGAGTTTCTGACCAATGAGTATGGTTCATTCCCGTTCGACGCCATGAGCGTGGTGTTTGTGTCTGAGTATGGCAAGGCACAGATGGGCGCGTCTGGGGGTCTCTGTGTTGCCTCTGACGATTTTCTGTATCCTCCGGATGTAGTGGATCCCCTGCTTTCGTCCACAGAAGCTCTCACAGTTGCCCTGACTACCCAATGGTGTGGTGTCAACATTGTGCCACGCACCTGGAACGACACGTGGTTGACGCAAGGTCTGGCTATTTACATGGCTGCTCTGTTCATGAAGCGTCTGATGGGCAATAACGAGTACCGGTACCGGTTTAAGCGGTTGGCTGAGATGATTTGTGAGGAAGATGTGGGTCGCCCACCGCTCGCCAAGCCCCATTTTCGATTCCCTCTGTTTCCCAAGGATCTGAGCTTCATCAACCTGAAGGCTCCGGGAGTTTTGTTTATTCTGGATCGTCGAATGACCAAAATCGACAAGACGTTTGGTCTTTCTCGAGTCATTCCCCGTATCTTTCTGCAGTCTCTTTCTGGTGATCTTGTCAACAATGCTCTGGGCACAAACCACTTTTACAAGCTGTGTGAGCGAGTTTCGCACTGCAAGCTGGACGAGTTCTTTGACCAGTGGGTGTACTCGAGTGGTGTTCCTGTACTGCAGGTCACCCAGCGGTTCAACAAGAAGCGAATGTTCATTGAAATGGGTATTCGGCAGACCCAGACCGACAAGAGCGGCGAGAAGAAACCTGTGGAGGATACCTTTATTGGGGACGTTATTCGGAGTGAAGAGGGAGTGGATCATGGGGATGAGGAGGAAGGAGGTCCCAAAACGCCACTTTTTACTGGTCCCATTACAATTCGAATCCACGAGGCTGATGGTACTCCCTACGAGCATGTGGTGGATATCAAGCACATTTTTACCAAACTTGATATCCAGTACAACACAAAGTATAAGCGGCTGAAGCGGAACAAGAAAGAGGTGGAAGCTGCGGCCACTGTTACTGCAACTGCAGCGCCTCCTGCAGCTTCTGCTTCAAACAATGAGGAGGATGAGGTCGGTGTGGTCATCTCGTGTCTGGGTGATGTGCTACAGACCGATGCAGAGTTGGAAGAGTGGGAGCTCAGTGAGTGGGGCAAGGATGAGGAGATGCGCATGTCCAATGAGGCGTTTGAGTGGCTCCGAATCGACGCAGATTTCGAATGGATTTGTAAGATCCATGTCAACCAACCCGATTACATGTACGCTTCTCAGCTTCAACAGGATCGAGATGTGGTTGCCCAGTACGAATCGGTGCAGTTCTTTGCCGAGTCGCGACCCTCCAAGGTATATTCGACGATCCTGCTACGTACATTGATTGATCGGCGGTACTATTATGGAGTTCGAGTGGCAGCAGCACTTGGGTTGGTGAAGATGGCAGTTTCGGAAACGTCTTACATTGGTCAGACGCATCTGTTAAAGGCCTTTCAGAACTTGTTCTGTTTCCCCAACTCGTCTATTCCTCGATCTAACGACTTTTCGGATTTCCCCACATATTTCGTGCAAAAGGCCATTACTCGAGCCTTTTCTCAGATCAGAAATGGAGATGGCGAGTGTCCCGCAGAGATCCGGACGCTGATTCTAGACATTTTGGCCTACAATGAGAATTCAACCAACTCCATGAGTGACTCGTTCTACCTGTCTGATCTGATTACGTTTTTGGCCGATGTCTTGTGTTCGTCAGACAGCAACGACGAGTCTACTCGTGAATTTGCTGCCCGTGCAGTCAACGAGATTGATCGGTGTGGTCGCCTGGACACTTGGATTCCGTCGTACCAGAACGTGGTGACTGTGGCTGCATTGGAGGCCAAGAAGCGGCTCTTTCTCAAGGGTCTATTTTCTGCCAAGCTGCAGGATCTCATCCAGTTCACGCGTTCTGTCAACTCATCGGAGGTGCGTCTGGCAGCTTTCGAGGCTATGTTGCACATTGGTGGGCTTCGAAACCACTACATTATGCATTATGTGTTCGCCTCGGCTGCTCTGGACGACTCTGCGCGGGTGCGAAACGGCATCATCGACCTCTTCACGCGGTATCTCGGCACTTTGGCCATCAAGGGTGATATGTCTGCAGATAACCATGCCGATGACAATGACGGTATGATTGTCGATGATGGTACCCAGGCGGCGATGGAGGCGCGAAAGGTGCAGATGGCTCGAACGTCGCTTACTGGGGCTGCAGATATTCTTCGAGACATGCTCCGGCAGGACACCAGTCTCCAGACTGAGCTGTGGGACTCGCTACGAAGTCCATACCACGGTCTGGAGGCCAAGTCGCAGTTGCTAGACGTGTGTCAGGTGCTGTTTGTACCTGTGGATGCTTTCAAGGTCAAGTTGTCGACCCCCAGTCTGATCAAGTTGGGCGTAGACTATTCTTCTGGAAGTTCTTTGGCTTTGCGGGTGGAGTCCAACATTCCTGCTCCGGAGAAGACGGCCGTGTTGCCTGCCATCAAGAGCAAGCGGCTCAAGGAGCAGGCGCAGAGGTCGGAGATTGTGGTGGTATCCAAGAACAACCCAAAGGTCAAGTATTCGGTGAGGCCGGGCTTCAGGATCACGACAAATCCCGGTCCCAAAAAAAAGGAGGTCAAGCGGTTGTCGGTAAAGCTCAGTTTCAAGTAATAATGTATATTTATGATGATTGTATTGGGGGAGGGGGGAGGAGGTAGGAACGGAGAAGACGCAAGTTTGTAGGAGGAGGTGTAGTCGCTTCCACCAGTAGTACTACGACGCCTTTGCTGGAGAATGGGAGAGTACATCTGCGGTGAACTCTGCGGTGAGCTCTCGTGGTTCAGTTGACTGCTGAACACATCTTTTGGTCAAACACGTGACAATGTTGGTGGATTTCTGATGACCGGCCCGCTTCTTTTGAGTGTATATGTCTGTAGAGTAAGAAGGAGAGAATGTATATATTATTTATACGTCATGTCGTGTTTTTTTTTTTTTTTTTTTTGTTTTTGTTTTTGTTTTTGTTTTTGTTTTTAAGTCTTCTTTTTTTGTATCTGTTTTTTCATAAATGTAGTTGTTCGCCTCCAAGTCTGCTCTATGTTTTCGTTCCAGAGCACTTTGAGGTATACACACAAATGGTACACAATCTCTAGAGGCCAAAGATTTCAATAATGAAGTCCCTATGTGTCTAGCATCTCCATCGCGTTCTGTAAATGGATATTTAAACCTGGGCTGGACATGTTCCGTATGTGCTACAAATGAGGTTTGTCATAACTCGATAAAGGGTCTATCTGTGGAGTTTGGGAGTTAAAAATATGGCATAATGAGGTCCAATATATACAATAATCGGCTCTGTTTTCCTCTATCTCTCTTCTGGCATTCAGGAGCATCAATTCTAGATGTTTGTCTAAGTAGAATGGAACGATGGGTAATAATTCAGGCTGAAGAGTCACGTGTTCAAGCCAACTGTCCAAAGTGACAAGTGCTAGGGCTAATTATATCTTGTCTCTAAACCATTCCAATGCGTGCCCTTTGCGCTGGAACAACGGCGAATATTTTCAGTACAAACACATCGATACAAGTAGGTACAGTATGTAGTCAAGTAAGTTGCTCTTGCTAGGGTAGCTAATGTGTAAACAGTGAATGATACAGTACTGATAGGTTGATTATCGTATCCTGCAGTAAACTGCTTTACGAGTAGAATGACTGACCGTCCCTGGTCTGGACCGTAAGCATTATCCCGGAAGCCAGTAGCGTAGCGTAGCAGTAGAGTCCGAGACGAGGAACTTGGGAATGGTAATTGATCATTTGATCACTGTAGCACTTTATACACCTTTTGAAAGGTCTTTGTTGATCCTCTGGTGGTGATTGATGGTAATTACTCTCTCTCAGAGGGAAAATGGAGAACACTATTAGGAGCTCCGGACAAATTGGAATCGTAATCAAAGGCTTGTGTCCATGGCACTGTCAATGGTTGTTTCTAGTGATTCGCTAACTCTTGGCAGTTACTCAATGCTTTCTATGGTGTCTAGACGTATTCATGACAATTTTCACGTCTCTTCGAGCTTCACGATGATGATGAAGATGTCTTGGGTATCGTCCAACCAAGGCACGAAGAAGCTGACCGACAACCGTGATGAAAGAGCTGACGAGGAAACGAGAAAGCTCGGAAAGAAGAACTTTCGAGTCTTCACGAGAAAAGGGAGGGACTGTTTGACGTTGTGGACTTGTGAAGGGAGCAAGAACAAGTACATAGGTGAAAAGGAATGGTGAGACAACTGCTGTGAACCATGGAAAAGACGATCATCTGAAGGATGTAGGACAATGAACCAACGGAGCTGAGTCGAAAAATCTACTTTGGGGTTCATCCTGATGTCAGCTAGAGTCAAGCAGTGACTAGAAACAACCCATCGACATGTAAGGCACATGCTGCGTTCTCATCGAAAAGTGGCAGCTCCGGAGACTCCTATTCACATCTCAAGTTCGGGGAACGGATCGAAACGTCGAAATGACCCCATTGGATAAAATCCCTGGAGAATCATGAGATCATGATCGGGTAACCTGATACACTAGCACAACAGTGTCTGCATGATGTTTTGCTGCATCCAGTGTGAAACAAGTCACCAGAATCACTGTAGATATACCTCCAGCTGGTTCATTAGTAGATAAATGACGCCCCATCAACTCAAACGATTTGAAGGTATATCTATAATGTCGTAGAGCTTTTTTTGTCCCCTTCCAAACGACCCAGGGTATCTCTTGGTACGTCGTCTTGTCAAGTACAGTACTGAGACGACGTACTGAGAGGTGAGGTATTGAGAGGCGATGACTGAGTCGTAGAGTGGCTGAACGTGAAGTAGTGGAAGAATCTGGACCCGGCGCTAATCTGTGGAATGTCCAACATGGCATCCTCGTAGATGTGTGACTGTCGGCTTCTCACCACCTCTTCGTCTGTATATATTTTCGGTGACAGCCGAAGATATCGCTCCTTTTCGCTGCCAGCAGTTGTGGATCAATTGAGCAATTGTTCTATTGAGAAATTGAGGTTTCAGAAGTGTTTGTTTTTGTTTTTTATATATTTATTTATTCATTTATTCATTTATTTATTTGTTTATTAATTTATTATTTATTTATTTATTTATTTATTTATTTATTTATTTATTTATTTATTTATTTATTTATTTATTTCAATTTTTTCCAACCTTTTACTTGACCCTCCCAACTAAACTCCCACCTGGTTGGGTATATTCAACTACATTGTAGGTCTGAACTCCACCTCTGCACGTCTCTCCACCTCGGAATATTCACAAGAACTTGTAGGCAATCATGCGACCCAGAAGAGCTACCAGTCCTTGTCGATTTTAGCGGGATTCAGCCAATCTCAAATTATTAAACTAAAAATTAAAAAATTAAAAAAAATTAAAAAATTAAAAAAATTAAAAAAGCTTAAATTATTATTAAATACACAGGTTAATTACTTCATTTTGGACCCGCTCAAAGTGCCCAAATATCAAATTTCGCCTTTAATAAATGATACCACTCTGATCCCATGTATCACGTGATCCCATCCAACCTTTCGTCGATTCTATCTCACCAGTATTTGTCGATCGGGGTTCTATCTCTGTACGTCTGCTCCGCCACGTGACTGTCTAAGACAAAAAGTAATAAAAAAATATTACAAAAAATATATCACAAAAAAAATATTTTCTATTTGTTTCAGGTGAACAGCCTGGCTCCAGTGTGGCGTGTATTGGCTGAGCAAAAAGGCGAAAAATATATATTTTCCCTGAGTAGTAATATTTTGGCCGATTTTTGTTAAACAGAGCAGAAGAAAACTTGGAAAATAGGGAAAAATTGAAAAATTGGGGAAACAAAAAAAAAAAATTGAAACCCTTCTCCAAGAACACCCGAATAATTGGGGGAAAAAAATCAGCAACAAATTCACCCTGAAAATGAACCAAAGACTTCTCTGAGACCTCGGTACCATTGCCACGCGCCCAAAAAGAAAGTGCCATTCCGGACAGCCCATTTCGCCGTTAAAGTCTGAAACGAAATTGCATCAGAATACGTCGATCTCTCAATGCTAATTTGGGATGTAAGCGAGATGGACAAGGAGGCTTGGAGGGAGCTTTTGTGAATATTTTGGGTATATTTTGTTCATATTTTGGGTTTCTTCAGTGTGATTTTTTTTTCTTCTTTTCTTCTTTTTTTGCTGACCTTTCTCGTCACGTGACCAAACCACACCAACATTGTGTCTCGTCACGTGACGGCACAGTGCGCGCAACCCAAACACGCTCTGTATCAGCCTACTGTAGTGTGGAATGTGAAGCTGAATTTAAATTCTGAATTTTAAACTTAAAAAGCGGGAAATAAGAAAAATTAAAAAAGGAAACAAAAGAAGCAAAAAGGCAACCCAGTGCACGTGGACTCGTACCCGTAAGACTGGTAACGTGGTTTTAGTGAATAATTAGTGGACAATTAGTGGACTGTTCGTGGAAGCAGATTTATTGGGGGTTCAGAGGTCTTTTAAAAAATTAACATATGATTTCTTTCAATTATTAGTTCATTTATTCATTTATTCCTTTATCTTTTTGAGCCCACCCCTTTGACCCCTGAATGGCGCCTTTTTGCAGGGGAAAAAAATATCCACAAAGCCATGGGACCCCTAACAGGCCCCGGAAAGTGTACTGTACAATACTTACAGGCTTGTGTTTTTTTAGCTGGTTGTGTGTATGACGCCCATCTTCCTATTTTATTTTATTTTATTCTCTTTTTTAGTGTATTCCATTTTAATATCATAGGGTCTGTAGAGTCTGAGTCTGACAGTTTGAGAGTGAGTCTGAGAGTCTGAGAGTGAGTCTGAGAGTCTGAGAGTGAGTCTGAGAGTCTGAAAGACTGTGCTTCTCTCAGAGGTTAGATGCGACTTGGAGAAACATCTGTGTCCATTCAGAGGATATAAATGTGCTACAATACAAGTTTTGTTGTAATTGTTGGCTATTTTACTCTTTTTTCCTTACGCAAAAAAAGAAAGAAAAAAGGGGGGGGAAAAAAAACAGATTTATTTTTGAAAATTGTTGCCCCCGTACTGAACATGGTCAATAATATGGAATCGCGAAATTTCACCCCTCACTCTAGCCCGCCGTATCTCACTAGTGTCGACGCTAATGGTCTGGAACGTAGTGTTTGGCAGAGCGTAATGAGCTGGAGATGAGATCCGGAAAAGGGTGGTTCTAGGCAGTTCGACGGGACCCGAGATGGTTTGAGCGACGGATGAAATGCGTGGGAAGTACTTTATGTCATCTCCCACCGTTTCGGACGCCGTTTTGAGATATATATAGCTCCAAGAGTAGGGTGCTGTGTACACCTCAAGCGTGACAGATGTTGACAGTGACGTATGACAGAGAGTGGGCACTAGAGACAGCTCTAATATGACACCAGATGTCAGCGGAACGAAGTCGACTACAGATATACACCATCTGGGCTTTTGGTGGATTTACTATAATTATTCTGTGAGCGAGGAGAGTCGAGAGGGGTTGAAAGAGCTAGCGGTTAGTTGTGTGATACCGCTAGAAGTTGGGCAATGTAAAAAAATGACTCAAACTGGAGAAATAATCAACTTTTCCTGGTTCCAGGTACAGTTGATTTCGGTTTGTAGCTGTTCAAACCGGCTCCCATTGGAACCAGTGCTGCTTTTCCAACTACAATTTCATGTCAGATTACAACTTCTTTTTGCTGACTAAAACAATCCTTCGGCTTACTTAATCCATGTCAACGGTGGTCATCCACTACTGAGAGCCCAAACTAGTCAAATTCGACTCCTCCCTTTTTCTGCCACCCTCTCAATCCCAACTTAGTCAGCAACACGTGACCCCACGTCCAAAAATACCCCAATAACCGTTTCTATACATCTCAGCTCATCTATAAGAATGTATAGAATCTCATTTATACCGAAAACCAAAAAAAAAAAAAAAAAAAAAAAAAAAATCATTTCTGCAAACGGAAATTCCACCAACCTTAAATACCAATGATAGAAAAATGAACATATCCAACAATTGGAGATAGATGGAGAGATGAGAGTAGTACCGTTGTATTCGGGGCACCATGTCCATCATTTTGGTACAAGAATTGGAGCTACAGCGTTTCTGAAGAGTCCAATTGAGTCCTGTCAAGTCCCACTGATAAATCGCCTACGGATGGGTGCCACTGCCTACGATAGAAGTACTGGTATGATCTGGCACAAGTAGGTGCCACTGATCTGGTCGATGACAGTCGCTCGGCGACCATCACCTCCCACGGTAAGTTATGCAAATGTCATTAATGGGTTGCCCCGGTATTCGAAAATACAATAGATAGCAGCACAAACAGAAGACTGCTGGCTGAGAGAAATTAGAGTTAGTGACGACTGGACAAGCCCAGTTGGAATGTTCGCGGACCCAGTCGGAACATTCGCGGTTGGCAAGAAGAAACGCAAGAGCCTATCATCTGTAGTTGACGCTCACATTGCTCAAATTGCTCATGGAGTACACCTGGGGGGAAAAATGCTGTTTCACATTAGCAGGCGAATTCTGCTGGCTAATGGGAAAGTACGCCGATGACGGGGTGCTGGCCTCGGAAAAGGTGGTGTGGATGGAAGATGCAGGAGAGTGGGGCGCCGAAAGGGTTGGGGGAGGGGTGGCCGGGTTGGGGATCGCAGTGGGGTTGCTGTTGGCGGCCTGCGACACAAAGCTCTGCACAATCTGGGCGGCGTTGCAGTACGACTGGCGTGAGTACTTCTTCTGGACCGCCCGCGACGGCTGCTGCATGTGCTGGGCCAGGGTCGACAGACAGTGCATCTCGGCGCTGTTTCCTCCAGCCGACGACGGGTAGATGGAGGAGTGCATGTTGGGGTTGGGGCAGGGGATGCCGAGAATATGGTAGGCCAGGGTTCGGGCGCACGAGGCCACGAGACTGGGGGCGAACGAAAAGAAGGTCCGCGGGTAGAGAGCAATCTCGCACAGGTAACGAGACACGTGTCTGATGGTTTGTGTCACCTGCTGGCTCTCGGGCCCCAGAAACAGGTCCAGGTACGAGTCGGTGGTGGGGTGGCCCACGGTCCATTCCAGGGTGTTGAGCACGTGGCCCTCCATCTGGCAGAACATGTCCTCCTCGTAGGCGCCGCAGCACATGTGTTTGAGGTCCGAGATAGTCGGCACCCGGCTCTTTTTGTCCTCGTACTTAGCTGCGATCCACAGGCAGGTGCATCCCACCAGCTGGTAGTGCTTCTTGTACACCACTCGCTTGGAGCAGTACCGGTCAATCAGGTTGATGGCGAGAAACAGCGTCTGGGGCTGGAGTCGCAGCGTCACATGAGTCTCGACGATGAAGTCCAGAAGGTAGGGACGCATGTGCCACTCGAGTTCAGGCTGCAGATCCATCATCGAAGCCTCGGGCAGGGTCTGCTGTTGCATCGTGGCCATGTGCGCGATGATGTCGTCCTTGTACTCGGCCTCGACCCGGCGAGAGATGGCTTGTTCGATGACGTTGAGTCGCTGTGCCGGCGTGGGGGTTGCCCGTTGCAGTTCTTCGTTGATTAGTGATGCTAGGTTGTTTGACATTTGTGGAATGGGGGTGGCTTTGGGGTTGTGGGTATGATGGTATGACTTGGTGAGTCGTGACTTGACTTCTTCGATGTCACTTTTAAGGACTGAACGACTGTGGTGAGTTGGTGAAGCTGGAGCTGTTGGAGCTAGTGGAGTTGTTGGAACTGTCGGAACTGTTGTAACTGATGGAACTGTCGGAACTGGTTCTGTGTCACTGTTGCTGTCACTGTGTCTGTGTCACTGGATCTGCAACTTGCCTCTGTGTCACTGGATCTGTGTCGCTGGAGGTCAGGGTCGGTTCTGTGCACTGCTTTGCTGGTTGTGCGTCACTGGTGCTGTTGCCGTTGCTGTTGCTGTTGCTGTGTCTGTGTCACTGGAGGTGCTGTTTTTGCGACTGTGTCTGTGTCTGTGTCACTACTGTGCCACTGTCTGCGTCTGTCGAATGAGTGAATGCCCGCGATGGATGAATGAATGACTACTGATGGCTCAGTTAAAGAAAAAGCGAGACGAAAGACGAACGACAAGTGCCGACCAAACGCAACGACCCCCCAAGTATATATAAACAGACCGCTCTCTACATGCCAAACCAAGATGCCCGACATGCAAGGAGGTGTGGAATGCACAGATGCGCCTTGTTTGAAATTGAGTTCAAACAAAGTTAATTCCACACACATTACTGCGGAGAGGAGGGGGGAACAGATGGGAGGGAGATGGGAACGAGGGTGTCCACGGAAACCCCTCGAAAACAACTAATTACAGCCCAGAAACAAAATCTGAAAAAACAAATGTACCCAGATTAGATCAAACTACAACGTGGTATTTTCTTTTCTCGTTTTAAAGGCCCGAAATCCCGCTACAAACAGGCTCCACCAGACAGCTCAGCGCTCAGAGCTCGCACCTCAAAACTCTCTCACTACGAGCCAAAACTCAAACCAAACACGACCACTTTAACCTCCACGTTTCACGCCAATTTTTAACGTTTCGCATTCTCTCAAAATCGCACAAAGATCTTCAAACTCTGTCTCAAACATTATTTTCGCAAAAATGAACCTTGGAAAATCACAAAGTTGACGAACCAACTACCTCCCTGAACTACACACTACGAACGACATGTCGAGGTAAGTGAGTGAATGAAGGAGCGCAAATGAGTACGCTCGAAAGTGTTTCGAATGTCACCCACGAATGAAGCCTCGCCGTCCCCTCACACCCCTACCTCTCCCCCTTCCATCTCCCCAACCCACTTTCCCTACCCTAACCCCTATCCAAGTCTCACGACACTCCCAGACAACACTGTACGAAGGTTGTGCCCCCTCACGGTGGAAAACCGCCTTGAATGCGTGAATTTTGCCCAAATCCGGATTTAGAGGCGATATTTGGAATCACGTGACTCTCATGATCCCAGTGATATGTCCAAGTCGCAGATTCAACCCGGTATTCTTCCTTCAATGGGCATTAGATTTCTCCAATGTGGGGTGGTGAAAGGCTCAACCCTAACCCTAGAGGTCCCGACCCTGGCCCCGATATTGGCGACATTGGGTCTCCAGAAAGCCCTAACCCTCGAAAGTTGGAAACCTGTTTCATGTAATACAGCCCGCGTAGCAGGTGAGTGCTGGGACAAAATTGGGGGAAATGACAAGAAAAATGAAGAAAATGGATACAAAAAAAGGTCGAAAGAATGGTGTTTGACTGAGTAAAAATAATAGTCATTGATTTGATTGCTTTTTTGGCATTAATTGGCCATTAATACACGTCCGATTCCATCTTGCTACAATGCGGTGTACAAGTACAAGTATGGGGAAATATGTCGATCAAAAAGAAAACGAGGCGCGAATCTAAACGTAGATCGTGGGTCGATGGTTTGAAAGAAGAGAGCTTGGAGAGGCTGTGGACATGTGATTTGGGACGATTACACAGGTGGTGTTGGGGGGTTACAGAGGTGTTGTCGGGGACTACACGGTTTCTGTCACGGCTCACAGAGGTTGTGTCACGGCTCACACGCTCCATGTCGGGGCCCGCACGCTCCGTGTCACAAATCACACGCCCCATGTCGTCACCACGCCCGACTCGTAACCTCCACCAACTACAGTACGATCCACCTGCATCGCAAATGTCATACCACAACCCCTGAACAACGGAGAATGCGCAACTTTAGGCTTGGCGCGGCGGGTCACGTGACGCGATAAGCGAGCGGCGGCGAGGGACTGTGGGAGGTGGGCCGAAGAGAGGGTGGTTTAGAGAGAGCGATTTAAGGTGATTTATTGGGTATTAATTTGAGCGTTTTTGAAAATGATGGAATTTTGAAAATTGAAATGGAAAATTGGAAAAATTTGGGAAATTTGGAAAAAATGAAAAAAATGGAAAAAGTGGGAGAAAGCCAGCTCTGAAATAAAACAGCTCTGAATATAACCACTCTAGACCAATTCAATCACTCTCACGCCATCCTATTCCCTCCCCATTATCATCGTCAATTCTACCGTCACCATGACAACTGGAGGTTGCTACGACTCCAATCCAACCCAAACCAGACATTCCACCTAACCCCCACACACGCCACACGTCTCCAGCGGCTGTGAGGAATCTACACTACCCCTTTGGTGGTTGTTGGGCAAGGTACGTTAGCCGGAGGTTAAGTTGGATTTGGTTTTTGAGGTGTAATTTTGGGGGCGTTTTGGGGGGGGACAAGAAGGCGGAAATGAACTTTTTAAAATCATAATCAAGTCTCTCGAGCGAGAAGAATACAATGGGAGTCTTGGATAATGCGTAGCGGCATTGCTCGGCGTCGTGAGGTGTCTCTTAAAAGTGTCAAACCAGCAACCTGCTGTACACAACTTTAACCGTCTCCTGTTCTGGAAATCCGCTTCCCAGTTTCGTTGGCAGATGGACTTGGTGTCGATGGTCTTAGGCTGGAGTTTATTGCGCGGCTTTGGATTTTTCTTGGACTCGAGAACCAGGGCAATTCGGGGGATCAGGGGGATCAGAGGGATCAGAGGGATATAGGGTCATTTGTCCCGTACCTCCTGAGCCCTCCTGAGCTCCATTCAGCGCCCTGACTAACCGCCAGACATCTACTGTACTTACGCCATCTACTTGTGATGACACATTAGACCATTCCTGACACTCCCTTGGTACAGTACTTTTAGCATGTTTTGGGGTGAAAAGAAAAGAAAAAAATGGCAAAAAAGACAGCAAAAAGGACTGGAAAAAATGAGTGAAAAAGAAAGAAAAAAATCAAACAAGGTTCGAGAGGAATGGCTGGGAAATTTAAACTTTTCCCAAAGCAGAAATGACTGGGGTGAATGTATCGTGCTGAATCGCGTGTTTTTGTGAGAAAATAGAGGTATTTTACGCGATAAACTGATTCTTCACCCTCTTGAACCCGTAATGACACGCTTTATTCACGCGCACTGTCCCCCCAAGTCTCCCCAGCAGTCACTATTAAGGTCGGCTAAAAATCCACTACAATCCCGTTGAACTTTATTTTACCTTTTTCCTCATCTAGGTTTGGCGATATGCAGATATTGCCAAAAAGTGCATCTGACGCATACGACACGACTTTGCACGATACGGTGTCTATAGCCGTGTTGACAAGGGTTGTGGGTGGAGAAGGAGGGCTTGGGGTGGTCGTGGAGTTGGGGGGGAATGTTTTTAGGGCGTTCTCGCGGCGGAATATGAGATATGCTGTGTGGGGACAGGAATGCCATTTTTGGTGGCTCAGTGCAGATCAGATCTCCACCCCTGGCTTTCGTCAACCGCGACGACGACATGTGGACCTGATCTTCGCTGTCAGGCACACTCCTGGTTATCAGGGGTAGTTTTGGAGACGGGTGTGGAGGTGTGGAGGTGTAGTGCGAGTGGTGCGGTAGTAGGAGCAGAGCCTTCGACTCGTGTTCGCGGTATGAGTGGCGCTATAGAGACTTGCATTAGACTGGCGAAATGGCGCGCTAGTATAGAATGGTGACAAGGATGGCGGAATGATAGAGTGAACGGAGACAGCGTATCTGAGTGGAAAAAAACCGATTCAATTTGTCTTCAGTCTGTCTGTCAACGGCCGGTGTATGGAGGATGTGGAATGGTCTAAGACAGACTCGTGAATGATTTGCAACTTATTAAAAGCCATCATCAGATCAGACAGAACCCATCCTACAGACAACACCCGTCCCATAGACAAATCCGTCTCGCACTATCCTCGTCATATCTAGATCCTCGTGAGGTCGGCCAACATGTCTGTCCTCGGTATGATGGCTCCACAATCCTGAGCTGTTGCTGGACTGATCATCTCGAAAGTGTCTCTCTTGAGTCGGCTTCCAGCATTCTAATTGGTTATACTGTAGCGGTTCTACTGTAACCAAATCAGTACCTCAGTGGACATAACCGATTGACGGCCGAGGCAAGGTTGTGGAAGTCGATTGGTGTCAGTAGAAAAGCCTCAATCATGTGTGCCACAAGATCTCCATTACGCCGAACATGAGCAGGGACCTCTTTTGCGAGCTTCTCCTCTTTCTTCTTTCACTCTTTGTCACATCTCGGAAGCGCGTCCCACCGTCCTCCGAACTTGCCACATCACAAGCCTCTCATTCACTTCAACTCATCTGTGTGGATGTGTAAGTCTCTCCAGCGAGGAGCATGAGCGTAGCTCGACGTGTGTGTATCTCGGCTGTACCAAGGTCTTTGCCTCCCAGTTCAGCTCTAGGTCGCATCCTTTCGCTGCCGTCCGCGGACAAGATCAAATCACCAATCATGTGATAACATGGATGGGAATCCACTACCCCAAGAATAGTTCCCTGTACACGCACCGGGAACGTAGTCGTCGTGTGAAGCAACAGATAACCTGTTCGATACACCTCAATAATGCTTTGGTGGATATAAAATTCCTAGGAACAGATTTGCAGAACCTCTTGTTGATATCTTGGAGATACCTCTCCATCTCCCGTGCATGGGCATGTTCAAGGCCGCATCCAATACATGATTCGACATCAACCAAGACTGGCTTCCAGAATAGGAGTCATCAGATTGCCGGTTCTTGGACTTCTATAACGGACATGTACCACCTTACACAAATCACCTTTACAGGATACTGTTCATCTAACTGCAATGAACGCAAGTGTTTGTCAGTGTCAGTGATTCCACGACAATCTTCAATCTACAAGTACATACTCCAATTGGCGACAGTCAATCACCTGCTACAATACTTGCACACTATGTACTATACTCGCTCGAATCGGCTCCATTGTTGATCGATGACAGTCAACCACATCTTGCTGTTCGGCTGTTCGAAGACAGTCGCTCCGCGACCTTGACGAGATGTTTCAGATTTGTTTGAGAGCAGGAACCCTTTGAGTTGGTCATTCAACCCCTTTTTGTATTTTTAGTATTTTTTAGTATTTTTTTAATACTTTTAGTACTTTTTAGTACTTTTTGATACCTCTTTTTTTTTCTCTCGCTAAATATAACGTTTCGCTATCTCACGTCTGAGCTGCGGGTTTCGCTACTACACAACGGTATCGGAACTTTATCTGGTGATGTTTAGAACACTATGTCTTTTTTCTTTGCCTTTTCCCCCTGTTTTTCTCTCCTTACTTCTCGCTTTCACCCTCGGCGCCAAGCAGCTGGTTGTTACCTTCAAGAAGAGGACTTTTTTTTTTTTTGAATGTGGAAAGGAGTGGATCTCCACGGGCATCAGAGACAGGGTCGAGCTCTTCATCGGCCTACTTGTACTAGAAGACCCAGGAAAACTCCTACTCTCTGTGTCAGTATTTGCTGATCTACAATCTCTTTGTGGTGACCGAGCAAGCACGTGGTGTCCTAGGAGTGGGTTGTAAGTCGTTACATTAACTACATCTAATCTAATCAATCAATCTCATCTTCATTAGATTCTCGTTGAGATCAGATATCATGAATCACCAATGTATCTGCCAGATCCATGTAGAAAACCAGAAGTATCATCAACCAATAACTTACAAACGATAACTTTTTTGATGAGCCTTCGCAGTGTCAAGTAAGAGTACTTTCGACAAGGACCTGAGGATCAGGTGATGATTCGCGAGCCTCCCACTCTTTTTCACAACTGTTGTCTGACTATAAAGCTGATTTTCTAGTTGTGAGTATCGCCATTACCATCAACAATAGATTCTAACCCAAGTTGATGTGTATGTGATTTGTCAACTTCATATTCCCATTTTCGTTGTAAATACGACTCGGGTACAAATTTAGCAATACTCTCGAGTTCAAATTTTTATATATTTGTTTGTTTAAAACCCTACTCTGAAACTCTGGTTGCTTTTCTGGGACTGATACCTCACGGGTTTGATGGAGACCCGAGATATGGAGGCGGGGTGTCCATCAATCGAAAGCGCTATGTCAGGGGATTCAATTGGTACCATTCTGAGTTATATCGACAAACACGACGGACACGACGGACAGAGTAAGTAGAATGCGTTAACCGGTGCGATATCCGTGCCACATGGTTGCGGTAAAAACGTGTGTTAAGTGTATGAGTGATATTTATCTTCTGCCGTTCGCTCCAACTAATGATAGACGGATGTGTACAGTCGTTCAGTTTCTGGGATTCAGACAATCAACCAAAAGTACTCAGGGCATGACTATGACGAGTTTGACAATGTGTTAAGCAATATACCATCGAACAGTCTGGGCACAATAATGCTCAGAAGGAGCTGAGGGAAAGGGGAGTATTTTGTGTCATTTCTATCCCATAAAAGAGCCATTTCAATGTCTCTGAACAGGTATAGTTCTCAGATATCTTTCGAAGGCTGTTGATAGTCCATTTATTGCATGTATGGTGGTGTTGGGACGTGTTGCAGCTGCCAGAATCTACTTCCATGGCCCCAAACGTCCTTGCAATGTTCGTACAACCAGTAATGAACTGCAGATTAAGCCCAGATTCTTGTATTACAGTGTTTTTACTTGTTTTTATGACCATACCGTCTAAACTACTGCTTAAATCCATGGCAACATTGTAATAATTGCCGTTGTACTACTAGTTCTGCTAGCAAACCTCACGTATGTAGTTGTAAGAGAGCACACACAATCCGTTTGGAAAGCAATCTTCATCACCACTGGGCCTGGACATCTATTTCGTTATTATCTATAGTACTTGTAGAGTCTCAGGGCTTTTATAGCTCCTACCAATTAGTCATGAGAGGAACCAGTTTGGTGATAGACACATGTCCATCCTGTAGAGAGTGTCAGAGTGTCTAATCAACCAGTTTTGTGATCTTCAATAAAGACGGATGATACGGATGATACGGGCCGAACAATCTGATGTCGACGATAGTTACTCTCCTTGACTGGGCGTTTGTGAGGGCGCGGTGAGGGAGAAATAGGAGGTCCCCCCCCCCCCCCCCCCCCCCCCCCCCCCCAAGACCATACTGTGATGACACCTGCCCGCGGTGGACAAAATTCAAGGAGTCAAATGGGCCTTCACCTACGCCGGTCGCCCCCTTGTCTTCCCGGCTCAAGTCTTAATCTTGGCTTGCTTCGACCCTGACGACTTGGCCTGTGAAGAGCCCGAAGATGTAGTAGAGGTTGCAGAACCGGCGTCTGTTGAAGATGTTGGCTACCTCAGGATGACCACAGCTATGACCATGGTTATCAGATGTGCCCACATCTAGAAATGCCTGGACATTGGCTATGCGTGGGAAGTTCTGACGGCCGGAGAATCTGACCGAGGATTGGGTATACTCAGAGTTCAAATCAACCGAGGAGTATCGACATCCTTTTGAACACTCATGTATCCACAAGACAGCACTTGCCATGCTGGATGTTGCCCAAGTAAATACACATCAAAGAGGTATCAGCGGCCCTGGAAATCCAATGGGACTCTGGCGTCAGCATCAGAGAGTAACACACGCCGCTAAACTCCCAGCACTTGTGAAGACGAGGTTTCTGTCGCAAGTCACGGTATAAGGAATCTTGTGGAATGCCACTTCACGTCGTAGAGAGAGGCAGCATGAAGCACAGCAGTCCTAGGGCCTGGTAGGAGGACTCTGGTACCTTCCTTACCTTATTGTTGACTCCATGAGCCGTTTTCCTGGTGCTCACCAGCAGAACCGCAGAAACTTTCAGTCCCTTAGTCCGTATGTGTGTTCCAAAGATTCTTAAGAACAGCCTTACACGGTGTGCAAGATGTTTGTATCAAGTTGCTCCGTCATGGTGAGATATACAGACCAACTACCTCCGAGTCCAGATTAGGAATCCTCCAGTGACAGTGAGCTGTTCAACACTTGGAAGGCTGGCAGTGAGTTAGCAGCCCATTCACATTCTTGATTGTGATGTGCCCTCTTCCACACACCATTGGCCATTGCGGTTGTGGAGAGAGACATTCCAGTAGCCTAGGACTCGGCTTACAGTCTTGCCATCCGGTCCCTGAGTGGTAATCATCGCCAAGATGAGAGGTGCATAGTCCATTTGTCTGACATGTAGATTGAGTGATGCCTTGTGTGCCCGTGGTCGAACATGGTCGAGCATGGTAGCAGCGCTGCAGTTCGGAGTACCCACCTCCTAGATTGTAATCAGATGGGGGTGTTTTTACCTGAGTAGACAGGAAGATATCGAAACAACTTAGTAGATTAGGTAGTTCCCAGATAGCGCGGGGTTAGTCTGACTGGCGTAGATCCGATAGGACTTGGGACTGGCAGAGTCGTAGAGAGAGGATGGAAACATCACTGCCGTATTGGCCTAGAGCCAGAGCTTTTGGACCTTCAACCGCAAGTTTGTGTACATAACGCTTCCTCCTGAAGTGTCTTCAACCTTTCGCATTCCTCATACAGTGATACGGACGGAATATCGCAGCAATCGAGAGAAGTACCGCGCGCCATACAGCTTCTCGAAGTAGAAACCGAATCACTGAATGACCCAATTGAGATGTTTTGCCAAAAAGTTGTAAACATCGCTGCCCAAGTTATAAACCTGCTTGTAGGTTGACGCCGAGGTGGTAGAGATGGTTCATGGTCTGGTTCTCTCTGAGTTGGTGAACGTGATGCAGTTGATGCAAAGGGATTCCACAGGTTGGTGGATCTTACGGGCTCAATATTTTCCTTCAGGTCGCACATGTTAGAGTGTGGCTTCTGCTTACAAGTAGCAATCGTCATCTCTCTCTTCAGCCACAGCCCCCCGCTATGCCAGAGCGCACCATGTCCTTAAGAATCAGCGTCCGTCGTTCGACCAGCCCGTTAGAGCTGGTATGGTAAGCCGCAGAGTTGTTAAAGGAGATACCATAGTTGTGGCAGGTGTTGACGTAGGCATCCGAGTTGACGGGTGGCCTTGGTTGGTCAAAATCTCGGTACTCCAACTACAAACTTGGGGGAAGTGGTCATCTGGATGTTTCAGGCTGAAACCAACCGCAACTGAGTCGTACCATCTAGTCGTGAGGTTGCATAGAGAGTTAAAGAGAATTTCTTCTCGTCATACTGTGGCTTCTTCAACAGCTGTTGATGTTTCGAAACCGGCAAAGCCTGAGTACATACAGTACAGTGCCTAAGTATGGTGCCCAAGTACTGTACTGTACCTGAGGAACAGTACCTGAGGAACAGTACCTGAGGAACAGTACCTGAGGAACAGTGTCTCTCTCACTTTGGGAAACTCTTCTACTAGAGATATATCAATTACTTATTACAACAAAAAAGCGGCGGCTCCCAGCGCCATGGCCAGTCTCGGAGCGGCACGGGAAACAGCCGAGTTGGCCTGTTTGGGGAGTTGGGCCGGGGCGGGAGCTTGAGCGGGCGACTTTTCAGCTTGAGCGGGCGACTTTTCAGCTTGAGCGGGCGACTTTTCAGCTTGAGCGGGCGACTTTTCAGCTTGAGCGGGCGACTTTTCAGGGACTTGAGCGGGCGACTTTTCAGCTTGAGCGGGCGACTTTTCAGCTTGAGCGGGCGACTTTTCAGCTTGAGCGGGCGACTTTTCAGGGACTTGAGCGGGCGACTTTTCAGCTTGAGCGGGCGACTTTTCAGGGACTTGAGCAGGCGACTTTTCAGGGACTTGAGCAGACGACTTTTCAGGGGCTTGAGCGGGCGACTTTTCAGGGACTTGAGCGGGCGACTTTTTAGGGGCCGGAGCTGGAACTGATTTGGCGGCAGCTTGAGCAACTGGAGTCTTAACTGGAGTCTCAACTGAAGTCTTTACAGAAGACTCAGCTGAAGCCTCACCTGAAACCTCTCCTGAAGCCTCACCTGAAGCCTCAGTGTCACATGGAACAGTAATGGTCACGGTCTTGCCCTTGCAGGCATCACAAACAGTCACCAGAGTGGTGGAGGTGGCATTGACGGGCACATTGGTCGAGAGAACCACGACAGGAGTGATACATCCGTCCGAGTCGCAGAAAGTGACCGTTTTGGTGATGATGGAGTTGGTTCGCTGTACCGGAGTAGTCAGAGCGGTGGAGTTGTAGTTGGAGTTGGTGTTGGTGTTGGCATTCGAGTTCACATTCGAGTTCACATTCGAGTTGACATCCGAATTGGCACTGGAAATGTCTGTCGCTTTGGTCGACTCGGTTGAGGAACCTGTTGTCTTGTCTGAAGTTTTTTCCGAGGCTTGGTCCTTCGGATCTGTTGACTGTGTTTCCTCGCCCTCACCATGGCCTTGACTGGTGACACTGTTGGCGGTAGAGTCAGATTCAGGGGAGTCGGACTCTACAGCGGTTCCAGTTTGAACGGAGGCGGACGGAGGGATCGATGAAGAAGCGGGGAGTGGAGTGACAGGCGCAGATACGGAGGAGACAGACGAGACCGACGAAGGTACGGAAGAAACCGACAAAAGAGTGACTTGCTCTTCCGAGGAAGAAACCGACAAAGGAGTGGCGGGCTCTTTCGCCGAAGAAACCGACAAAGGAGTCACGGGCTTTTTCGCCGAAGAAACCGATGAAGAAGTCACGGGCTCTTTCGCCGAAGAAACCGACAAAGGAGTCACGGGCTTTTTCGCCGAAGAAACCGATGAAGAAGTCACGGGCTCTTTTACCGAAGAAACCGATGAAGGAGCGACGGGCTTTTTCGCCGAAGAAACCGATGAAGAAGTCACGGGCTCTTTCACCGAAGAAACCGAAACAACAGACGAAACCGGACACTCAGAACTAATGAATCCCAACTGACACTCCAAAGAAGTGACCACCTCCAAAAGAGTGACAAGAGCCCGGGAAGCGGCGGGTTCTGTTGCAAACCCTCCAATTGCACCGCTTAGAAGGCCGTACCACGTAGCAACGTTTATAGAAGCCAGATGGATGGCCAGCGACGGGTTGTAGTTGGTGATGATGGAGGAAACCAAGTTGGTGGCGCTGACGTAATCGGAACTCTCCTCGTATTTGGCAATGGTATCCTGGATGAGGGAAACAAAGGGAGGGATAAGCGCCGCACTCCACTTGAACTTGACGGTGTTTTCGAGAGCGGCGGTGAAGGCGGGTTGGAGGTCTGAGTTTCCCAGCAAAAGATTGACCAGAGTTTCTACCTGTTTGCTGGCAACATCATCGTCAATGTTGCTATTGTGGGCAGAAACGATACCGTTAGATATTCCCGTGGCAATGTCGTTCAGAATAGCATTGTCGAGTTTGATCAGAGCAGCTAAGGAGCCCCCGGCGAGAAAGATTGATGATAGTCTCATTGTTGAGAGCGCAGATGGGTTGGAGGTGTATCGGGGGGCGTTTTGTGGGATTTATATAGTCCATTGCAATGTTTATGAGCAGGTCGTGATCGTGGGCTAGGTTGAGAGGTGTTTGAAGAAGGAATGTGCCGATTGGGAAGATTAGGAGAGCTGATTCGTGCTGGTTCATGGGCTAGGTCGGCGACTGACTGACTTACTGACCCCCGACCTACTTCTGTTCTGTCAGTTGCCGGACCAACTTCTTTGTCCGCGCTGGAATCTTTCATGAGACATGAGAGCTGATATACAGACATGAGTTTGGTCGGCGTACTTGCGGCCATTCCGTCGTTCGTGTGTGCACTGTTCTTTCCGACAGGAGGACGGCAGGGAGAATGGTTCCAGTATCTTTGGAATGAAGGGGGAGACTATGCCCAGAAAGTCGCCAAAACAGGTGCATTTTCAACATACCAGGCTGGTTGCTTCTCTAGAAGGAAAAAGGTTGGAGGAGCTGATGGTGGTCCGGGGTTCGCTGAAGATTTCTGAGTGACTCGACGTGACTATTCCCTTTCTTGCTCAGCACACTGGTTCGATATCAACTTGCGAGCAGAATTCCCGTTTGATTCCATTGGTCCAAGTCAGAGGTTGCCCAAACATTACAAAACACTAGACCCACTCGACCCGGTTCTGGACCTAGTGGGTTCTGGACCCTGGTCCAAACAGATGCAGGGCCTGGACCGTTTTAGTTGACAGAAGAGATGGAATGTGGGCAAGCCGGAAAAGTCGCCTTTTCCAACGACAATTCTGCCTTAATCGAGAGTAGAGACGACTAACCGGCTTCTCCACTCCCCCCTGGGTTTGAGACAAGTCCCCGTCCGATTCTGTCCAGACTACCAGATAATGTGACTGCGATGAGAGAGACGGCGTCATCTCTGGACCGATAGCACTGACGACGTTATCACTGACTCGAGAGACCTAAAGATGTCACCCTTGAACTCAGAGCCTGACGATATTATCACTGAATGCCAACGCCAAACACGCCCATTATGGACCCGCTATCCGACATTCCACGCCCAGCAAACGATGCTCCTCAAAACAACGAGGGCTGTGGCATTAAAAAGACGCCAGGCTGTCAGTCTAGATTAATGCCGTCAATAAATGTTTTTTGAAGTCCTTGCAACTTTTGTGTTAATCTGGTTGTTTTTGGAGTTGTGACCAGTTAGGGAGCCTGGTTGCTGAAGGCAGGACCCAGAGAATCCATTGTTGCGACTGTATAACACCAAATTACTCATTACGAGTTCGGAAAACTGCTGCAAACCACTGCGTCTATATGGACCATCTACAGTAATCTCCTGGGCTGCAGATGATGACGTAATAGCCCTCTCCAGGGACGTTAATCAGGACACACTGTGGTAAAAAGATGACCGATTTGCGCGGACTTTGCCACTCTTTAAAGGTATGCTAACACCAGCCATACTTGATAGTTGTAATCCACCACGGTCAAATATGGAATTTAGCACCTCCTATTTCATGTCAGAGTCTTATTTAGACCTCTCGGAGTGCAATACAGCGACAATACAACTGCCAGCAGACTCTAGAGACATGGAGACGAAGACATGGATATGATGAGATGGATATGAAGAGACGGATATGATGAAATGGATCTGAAGAGAAGCAGATTCATGGTCTGTGGTCTTTTTGTGAATTTCAATGCTGGCCAAACTCGTAACAGTACAAGCACGAGTGCTGTCACAGGCCAAGGTCAGACTAGACCCACATTACAAGTACAGTACAAGAACAAAAAAAAAGGGTATAAATGCACCTTGGTATGGTAACTCCTTAGATTCTGGAATGCTTACTGACCAATTCCGCCACTCGGTGACTATTCCGTGTTGTGACTCGGTTTTTCCTCAGTACAAGTGGGTATATGTCTACCAAGTAGGTGTTGTAGTACTTTTGTACTTGTACTTGTTGGTGAGAACGCAGGAATTCCGAGAACGCAGGAAATCCGACAACTAAACCACTTGATTTCTTTCTTTATCTATTGCATTTTCTCTCTCCGATATCTTTTTCCCTAATATATCGTTTTCTTTTTCTTTCTGCGTCCACAATATTCTCAAAAAACTTCATTATTTTCTTCATTATTTTATTCTAATATTTCACACTCGCACACAAAAATGCATATAAGCTGCATGACGATGCACCATGCCGTGCGGCTCGAAAAATACAATCTCCATTGGGACTAAGTAAACATGCACCGTGTGCCAACCTCCGTCATTTCGATCACAACCTTGTAGACACCGCGAGCGACGGAAAAATGGACTGGATTTTTTCGGAAAAGCCCGATCCCGCAACGCCGCCCGTGTCGTGGGCGCTGGGAGCCATTCCGGCCATGTTTCGGCGTGAAACGCCGCATTTCGAGCGAGATTTGGGCCGGCTGAGACGGGCAGACAGAGACTCGGAGGGAGCCAGAGACACAGAAACGTCCACGGGAGACGATGTGGCGACGGAGCCCACTTTCGACAACTTTTTGGAGATGAAAGCCAGCAGCACCCCCTTTTTCAAGCCGGAAAAGGTGCATTTGAAGCGGCGGGCGGCCAATGATAACCTCAAACCGTGCCCAAACAAGTTCCCCAAGACGGGCGGTATTTTAAAACAGACACAGACCGGAGCGCACGGCGAAAACGACACGGTGTCCAATTTCGGGCACAAAAACGTGAGTTTTGCCGCGTCGTTGGGATCTACTACAAACAGCATCTCGGAACAGCTTCCGTCCGGGTACGAGGGAGCCGACCAGACCCCCGTGGCGTCTTGTCGAGGCCCCAAGTTTGTGCAGTACGACCCGGTCAACGACGACACCAAGACCATGTTTCGCAAACTCGACAACAACATGGATTTGTTGAACGAGAGGCGGTTGAAGTGGGGAGGAGGAGGATCAGACACCAGGCCGGTGACGCAGCATGTAGCGAATGGAAAGGAGGAGGCGGAGGAGCACAGACTGGTCAAAAGCACGGCTCAAGTCGAGCTGGAGCTCGCTTTGGAGAAGATCAAGCGACTGGAGGAAGACAAGAGACGGTACATGAACCAGAGCAATAAGCTCGAGATGGAAAAGAGGACGGTGGAACACGATCTGGAGATGCTCAAGCACCAGCAGCGCAACGAAATCGATACTATGAAGATGACCATTGAGCACCTGCAGTCGAAAATGAGTGTTAGTGGGTGCGAGACTCGCGTCAAGGAGCACAAGTTGAACGTGGCCGAGTCACGTGTGGGAGAGCTGCAAAGAGAGCTGGCTGATACCAAGGTGGCTGCCGAAGCGCGCGAACACCATCTGAAGGAGCAGGTGGCGTTCCTGGAGGAGAAGGTGGGCACACTGGAGCGCAAAGAGCGGGCGTTCAGGGCCTCGGAGAAGATTGCCATGCGACAGAGAGACGATTTCAACAAGAACTGGACGTTTCAAAACCAGGGTTCAGGGAGCCAGGGCTCTCAGAATGAAACAAATCATAGTCAGAACCACGTGAATGATTTCCATCAGAACTGGAATCGAAACCAGGGACCTCAAACCAGCTTCAACCCGAATCAGAACTGTGGTAATCAGCATAGTGGGTTGCAGAAAGGCAACGAATTCAACTTGAATCACCTGAATCCCCAGCAACAGAACCCCCAGCAACAGAACCTCCAGCAACAGAACCTCCAGCAACAGAATTCCCAGCAACAGAACCCCCAGCAACAACCCAACATCTTCCAGAACCCAGGCAACCCGTTTGCAAGCACATTCCATCCACAGCCGCAACAGCAGTCGACACGCCAACCACTGGGCTCTTTCGATCTCAACATCAAACGTGACAGTTGGCAGAAAAGTAGAAACATTTTCGGTCACAACCGACAACCATCGACGACACCCAAACAGCCCCCTCCCTCGTACATGAGAGGTCACGATGTGGACATGGCCGACGGTATGCGGTTTTTTAGATAGCCATACTAATTATTTATTCCATGGAATGTACAGTAGCCATAATAATTTCAGTTTATCACGAAAATACATTGTTTTGAACACCTGTTGGTAGATGGGCAGCAGAAATGGCTGCTTTTGATGCCACAGCACAGAGACTGGAGCAATATACAGTATGTAATGTCAGCTTGGGGCGTGCTGGTTGAAGAGAATATGGACATAAACATGAACAGGTGTGTTTTCACACCCCAAAGGGGATTGAAGAGCAGCTAACAGAGCAGTGAATCGGTCGGCGTCAATAGATCGACTCAAGGGCAAACGTCTGTACTATCCAGACACTGGTTGTAGTGTCACTCTTGTACTCAAACGTCCTTCTTCTTGTTGTAGACCTTCCAAAAGTTTCGCTTTCCCTCAACACCGAGATCTGGACCGATGCTCTTGAGTCGGCCCACCCGACAAATGCTCTCCACCAGTGTGTTGTTGACGTTGGTGTCCTTCGCGTAGCACGGTTCGGCAAACCGTAGAGACACGTGCCATCCAGTGGGGTTTGAGAGCAGTCGGAAGACCCACATGGGCAGCGTCACGGGCAGAGGGGTGGTGATGTACTGGGGGGCGAGTCTGAGGCCTGCCGGAATCACCTTTGTGTTTTGAGAGAGCTGGTGGAAGTCAATGTGTAGCAGGGGCAGCAGACCTCGTCCGTTGGAGGTTGTTCCCTCGGCAAACACAACCACGGCTCGTCCCTTGGAGGTGGCGTCAAACACAATCTTGGACAGCGACTCCCCATGGGTTGGAGGCACGATTTCGGGGATACCCAGGGCCTTGAAGAAGACTCCAAACGGACCCAGCTCCTGGTAGACTCGGGAAGAGGCGTGGGGGACGATGAAAACGGGGTCGAAAAGTGCAGAGTACACAAAGGCGTCAATGGGCGACAGGTAGTTGGACACCACGACCTCTCCGGGCTTGGGGTAGGCCTCGGTCAGCTTGTTTCTTCTCACCGCTTCGGCGGACACGTTCCAGAACCAGAAGCCACTGACAAACAGCAGCGTCGAAAAGTAGGCCTTTCGTACCGGCTCGATTGTGATGAATTGGATGATGCCCGCATACAGCGCCAGCAGGGCGAGCAAGAGGGGGATCTTGATCACACTCTCCACAAGAGCCAGGGGCGCCTGCAGAACGACGAAAATCGTGCTGGGGAGCGAACCGTCAGCCTTGGAGCGCGGATGCGGCAGGTAGGGAGCAACACCTGTGCCCTTATCGCGGTACTGGGAGAACTTTTCCATGCTGTGGAGTTGTGTGGAGTGCTGCTCAGTGGTTATACAAGTAAGCCTGATGCCTGCACTGTCTTTTAGAGTTTCACAGTTGCGCAGTCCATCCCGGCATGGGCCGAGGTTGGCCGCTGAAGCGAGTAGAGAGGGGCGGAATGGGTGTTTAGACTGATTGCGAGGTTGCAAAAAAGAGTTAGAGCGGTTTCAAGCTGTATTTGACGGCGGTAATTTGTCATTCGATGCATCGGATGGGCGGGGCTGTGATTTACTTTTACTTACTTGACGTTAGTTAGGATCATAATCTTTAGTATGTGATTTAGTGAGAATATTTGTGGTGAGAGGTTCGATTCCTGCTTGATGTGAATAAAAAAACCCGTACATAAAACAGTATATAAAATACAAAACACAAAAACAATGCATATAAACAATACATAAAACAATGCATAAAACAATACATAAAACAATACATAAAACAATACATAAAACAATACATAAAAAACAGTACATAAAAAACAGTACATAAAAAGTGATGTAGTCATAAAGACAGTGAGTCAAAGTACTTCCACACAATGGAACTACGACTTCAGTAAACAATCTTCAGTAAACAATCTTCAGTAAACAATTTCCAGTAAACAATTTCAGTAACCACAAGATTCCAAAGTAAATCGAAGTAAATCGAAGTAAATCGAAGTAAATCGAAGTAAATCCAACTGACTTCCACACCGCACACACACCAATAGGGTTCCTCACATTTCGCATTTCCAAGTAGCACGAACCCGGTTCATTTGTGGCCAAAACTCATGAAAAACAGACCAAATTGTAAATCACAGTATTGCGACTTGCCAGCCCAAATACTATCACCTCTCTGTTCATATTACCCCAGTGGCGTCCATTTTTCAATTTTCAATAAAGTTTTAGATCATTTCACATCGGCGCTCTCACCACCATTCCGCGCCCCTCGTTCATCAACATGTCTTTCCGAAACGTCTCGCTGCGGGGCTCGCAGCTGCTCGGCAAGCTCGACAGTCGCGGCTGGGGCTGGTACGTGGCAAAAAAATGGAACATTGGGCTGGTCTACACGATGTGCAAGGTTTTTCTGAGATGCAAGAAAGTCGACATCAAGGGCCTCGACAACCTGCTGGAGGCCCACCGACAGGCACGGCTGGAGGGCCGAGGTCTGCTAACCGTCATGAACCACACCAGTGTGCTGGACGACCCGGTCGTATGGGGCATGCTGCCGAACGACAATGGCTGGATCCCGTACCTCATGAGATGGGCCACCGGAGCCAAGGACATTTGCTACAAGAACAAGCTATACTCGTTGTTTTTCGGTGCCGGCCAAGTGCTTCCCATCACGCGATTTGGTATAGGAGGACCCTTCCAACCCGGTATGGATATGTGTGTGCGTCTTCTGAACCCCAACAACAAGATCAAGTACTCGGCCAAGTACACCCCTTATCTGGTTCATACCAACGCCACCAGCTATCCGTTTTGGCGAGAGTCCAACTGGGTGCACTTCTTCCCCGAGGGCTACGTTCACCAGGCTCTGGAGCCCCATGAGGGCACGATGCGATATTTCCGATGGGGAACCAGTCGAGCCGTGCTTGAGCCGGTCACTCCTCCCATTATTGTACCCATGTTCTCACACGGCCTGCAAAAGGTGTTCCAGGAGATCCCCAAGGGCTATGAGATGGAGGGCAATAACACTAACAAGGATAGAACCATCAGTATTCGGATTGGAGAGCCCATCAGTGAAACTACGGTTGCAGGTTTCCGAAACGAGTGGATCAACTTGTGCCACAAGGAGAATGTTGGCTTGAACGCCGAAACAATGCCCGACGTGCTCAAGAATGGACAGGAAGCCAAGGATCTGCGATCCAAGGTGGCTGCTTATCTCAGAGAAGAGGTGGAGAAGCTGCGTCTGACCGTTCCCAACATGAACCCCGAGTTGCCCGAGTTCAAGGAGCCCGAGTTCTGGAGCGACATTGACAAGGTGCACAAGGGCGTCTACAACCACCGAGGCAAGGTGCGAATGCTCAGAAACCCCACCAAGGGGCTCATTGAGGTGGTGGAGGCCAACAAGGACTAGAAAAAACATAGATAGACTTGTATATTGTATATAGAAACGGGACGCTGTTAACCGGAACGGGAGGGTGTAGTTGGAACAAGTTGTGATTGGGCAGTATTGTGTCGGATATGAAGGAGTATGGGTGGGGTTCGGGTGAAGACTGCTGAGGGCTCAATGTGAGGGCGCCGTTAAGAGCTCGAAGAACCGATTGAGCCGAGACCGATTGAGCTTCTGTTTGGCCCGGTTCAATGTGGCTTCCAGGTTTGCCACGGTTCTTTCCTGGATGTACTGGCACGAGTTGTCACCGAATAACATCTAGTCAATCAACGTTCATGAGTTCTCATATATCGCTCCTTGTTGGGCTCTCCTCGGCAGTTCTGAGCTCACAACCACCCTTCTTTGCACGACGGAAATCGCCAGGGAAGATTCTCCAGACTGGCATCCGGAAGATCAAGGAGCTGGATACCCGGCAATGAATCGAATGCCGGAATGCATTTTCGGCTGTGAAGCGTGACTGACTGAGGATCTCTGGAGTTTCAACTTGGAGAAACAGCTCATATCAATGGTAAACAAGGTACCTCCTGAACTCCCCAGAAGTACGTTCGCCTGGACGTCAACATCAGTGGCAGAAATGACATAAACAGCTTTCTGTGGCCAAATCACCGTCAAAAGCCCGGGTTGAGCCTTTTGTCAGACAAGTCCCCGTCATTTTACGGCGTGTAGATTTCAAGAAGAGACGATAGGAAATGACGATGATGAAGATTGGTGATGAAGAATGGTGATGAAGAATGATGAATCACCCCAACTGCCAAATCACCACCACCAAATCGCCACCACCAAATCACCACCACCAAATCACCACCACAACCCCCGGCCTCCCCCGATCACGTGACCAGGATACCCCAGAATGCAGATTCGCTGCACGTCATTATGTGGTGGTCAGTCCACCTCCTCCCAAACTCTCCAACTCTTTCACTTTTGGTTTCGACACAAAACGACATCGGCCAGCTCAGCGACAGTTTCCAGCACCAGCACCAGCGCCATCCAATCCGCCGATCACGTGACCTGTCGACTACTCACGTGCCCCATTATCGATTCGTGTTTGCAAGCAAGGCGGCTTTTGAAGACTGCGGCACCGTTTTATATATATTTTTTTTTGGTTTTTGGTTTTTGGTTTTGTTTTTGTTTTTTGGGCTTGGACAGAAATCTCGACTAGTTGTCCTTACTAATCATCATTTAACCTGTGATTCGCACCACAAGTCATAATTACGCATCGCATCTCATCGCACAGCATCGAATCCGACCTACTAATTGCATCACGTGGACATTGGACCTGAGCTTTGATTTGATTCGTTCAGAAAAACACTCGGCATCCATCATACTAATTGTGACTGTTCGGAATTAATCACGACATTTACAAACACACAGTCACTCACACAAACTAATCATATCCTCACGACACATCGGGTGAGCACGTGACACACACACACACACACACACACACACACACACGCACATACTCATGAGCGACATGGAAGACGACTCCCTTTTGGGAATCCCCGACAAGGAGGAAAGCGTGGAGGTGGAGGTGAAACAAGAAGACTCGAAGGACGCAACGCCAAAAATCGAGGACAAGGAGGAACATCATCAGCAACAACAGAATGGCGGCATAGCACCGTCCATGATGGGAGGTGGTGATGCAGGAGGAGGGCCCACCAGCATGAGTATTGCTCCAGGCAGTCTCAGTGGAGCAGGAGGCACTGGGGGAGTTGCAGCGGCAGCGGCGGAAACGGCAGCGGCAGGAGCAACACCGACAGCAACACCTGCAGCATCTACGCCTGCGGTCGGAGGCACTCCTGCCCCGTCTACTGCTGCTGGATCGTCGTCAGCGTCTCGTCTTCAAGTGGACGATATGATGACTGCTTTCCAGAAGCAGCTGGGACCCAACTGGGAACGGTACAGAGACGTGCTCACACATTTCTTGGTGGGTAGATTGAGTCGACACGAGTTGCAGGAGGCGCTGGATGGCATTTTGGACCGATCGATGGTCAAGATGCACAACCAGTTTCTGCTGGCCAACCTGTGCAACTCGCTGCGAGCTGCTCCGGCAGACGGGGCCACTGGCCGAATGACTAGTTGGAGTCGCAAGCGAGGCCGAGGAGGCGCAGGCGCGCAAAAGGTCAAGGGAGACACACAGATGGCCCAGCTAAAAAAGGAGGTGCTTTCTCTGCCGCCGCGTGAACGAAAACGGATCAAGGCCATCACACGAGAGGCCGGCAAAAAGGGGTACATCTCGTCGACGATCATCAACACACGACAAGCTATGCTGCCCCGGATTCCGTTTGTGCAGGATAAGGATCAGGTTGGAAAGCAGGGCAACACAGTCACGTGGACCCAGGACATTATCCACGCGTATCAGACGCAGCTGGCTACAGAGTCGCGTGAGCTTCCCGATGCGGACCACCTGCGGTCGCGCATGATTGGCATTGCCCTTGAGCACGGTGTTCTTGGGGGGCTTGGCCAGAATGTCGTTGAGCTGATCCAGGTGGGACTCGAGTACTATCTCAAGGGCATCATTCAGGAGACGATTGAGATGGTTAAGCTGCGCAAGATAAAGGACAAGGAGGCGATTGCTACGGCGGCTGACATGGCTGTGGTTCTGGAGAGCACTCCCAACCTGACGGTTGAGACGTGTGCTCCTGTTTACCGACTCAACAATGTCATGTTGCAGAACGATGAGGTGATTGAGGAGATGCAGCCCAAGGAGGAGCCTCTGGGTGACAAGAAGGAGTTGAATCATTTGCTGGATGATTTGCTCGCGGAGTTTTAGCCAGTCGACGATCGAATCTACGACTGAGGTATCAACAAGCGCGATCCAGTCATGTGAACTGCTCTTGGTATCATTTGTCCCCAGGCTACAACTCCACGAGCTGGCGTCCAGAGTCCAGTCTTAATTTATAGTGTATAGAGATGTATTATATGGGCCTGTCATCGAGCGGGTGACTTAATGGTGGTGTATTCAGTAGTCGGCTTGAGAACTGGTACAGATTCTTGCAGCTTCCATTCTAGTGATCGTGGTTATGGACACCGGGAGTCCGAGACAGTTTATATCCATATCTGACTGAAATATCTACGTACTTCCATGCGTGCCCAATGGCTTCTCCATGGTACATTGCTGAGCGTTTTTTTCCCAGAATGACCCGCCAAATGTCACCTCAGCTATGTTCAGGCTATCCCGGACTCCACAAAAGGGCAACCTGGCCGAGTGGTCTAAGGCGCCAGGTTCAGGAGACTGAATCAATATCCTGGTCTCTTCGGAGGCGAGAGTTCGAATCTCTCGGTTGTCAGCGTGCGAATGGCGCGTATTCTCTTTTTACTCTTCGTCGGGGTGAGTTCCATCGCATGTTCCATCGCATGTTAGGAGAGAATGTGCTTTCTCAGGTTCCTTTTGTAATATGCACGGGAGTGACCTGGATACAGGTCCAATGGCAGTATTAGGTCAATGGTTGTATTATTCAGAGGCACTCATGCGAGCTCGTCGACCGCTGAAGATCTGACAGTTGCTCATGCTAACATGCTGAATCTGTTGTAGGATAGAACTGCGGTCTGACTATAAGTAGCACAAGTCTCCATGCTAAACGCCATGTCCACTCATCTTGGCGAACTGTAGGAACCGCTGTTGATCGTCCGGTGACAGGAGCTTCCACAGCTCGTCTTCGGGGACCTGGTCGAGCAACTCGTTGAGCTCATCCTCCTCCTCCTTGGTCCATTTCGGCTCCGTGGGGCTCGAATCCAGCTCCTTTCTGATCTTGTCGGTGTCAACTCCCTTGGGCACCTCGTACTTCCACCCGTCATATTCCTGCCCGTATCGATCCACAATCTCCAGCACCTTCTTGCGATCGGCCACCTTGTCTGGATTCATGTGGCTGGAGTTCTGGAACTCGTGCTCCTCCTCCACATTGGTCTTGTAGAACTTTTCCGAGCAGAAGACGTGTTTCTCGCCCTTATAACACGCCAACGAACAGTATAACGACTGACATTTGGGACAGCTGTAGTTGCTGGGATTGGGGCAAAAAGCACACGTGTGCGACTCGGCCGACAGAGACGAAGCGTTGGTCGACGGTTTGAGCATGACAACAGACCGGAGCGTGGTGGAGCACAGTTGTCAGGTCAGACTGGTGTTCTAGAGTTTCTCACAGGTTATGAGCATTTTAAACGTCACCGGTCATGTAGAACACGGCCAAACAGGATGACAGTATCGTATTGGTGCTGGTACAAGTACGATATTTGTAGCTGGTGACAGTGACGAATGAAAATTTAGTTCCGCCAAAATAGAACATACAAAAAATATATAAAATTACAGTATAATGATTACATAATCAAACTGTGAATTTGATAGCAATTGATATAAAACGTATATAAAAAGAATCCGCGCTCGAATTTTCTCCTGTCTATCTACCTGGAATCCACCTCACATCACTATATGCCTTTATATTCACCTCTTTTCGGGCTGTGGGGGCAACCTAAACTCTTGCTTTCACATGCTACCACTGCGTTTTCCAAAAGTCGTCAAAAGTGCGATAAAAGCGGGATATTTTGGGGAAAAATCAATCTACTGAATCCCTGTCTCTTGATCTAGGTGGAACACTGATTTTTCTCGTCAATTTCTTCATTCTGTCACCATCAACTAGCTCTGAATTGATGCCATGGTCAACAGTACTACCCCTACCCCCACAAGCACAACTCGCCACCTCCTATCGAGCCAATACATCACCTGCATCCGAGTCTACGCGTGGGGATTGTGTGTTGGAGGCCGTCTAACTCACCATCTTGTGAGCGACACAGATCGGGTGCTTACTAAGATCAACCATAGTTCTCCGGGACTGGACTATCGGGGCATTCTGGAGCAGATGGATGTTTTGGGGGGCAAAGGGCTGGCTGATTGGCTCCAGCAGGGACGGTGTGAGAACGAGATCTTTCTCAGCGCTCTCGTTCTGTACCTGTTCCAGTGGATAGATGGTATTGACAAGGTGGTTGACAAGTTGTATAGGAGGACCTGTGTTGAGATTGAGCTGTCTTCGGGGCCTGCTAAAGGTGAACTGAGAGATGAGGACAACCCAGGGTCGGCGTCTCAGCGTGTTTTACACTGGTTTCAGACCAAGGTTCCCGTTTTGGAAACGGTACCGTTCTGGTCAAAACTTGTGGGCAGGCAAAACAAGACTGAAGGAGCCTTTTTCAAAGTCAGACACTCCACAATTCCTCTTTTAGACACTTTGAGGACCCACATCAAACACTACAAGACATGTCTTCCCTCTGTTCTCGGACTTGGAGATGTTTCGGGCAACCCCATTCCACTGGATGCTCAGTATCTGGCTGAGGAGATGAACATGAAGATCGTATTGGGCAACAGTCGACTTGTGGAGGCGTTTCCAGCTGCTCAGGGACTTGCCAGAGACTGGATTGATGGAGCTCTGATGGTCACAGCCATCATGGTCCGGAGCATAGTCTGGTGGAGTGCCTTGTTGGGGGAACAGGAAGACTCTGCGTTGAGTGACGGGTTTGAGGAGATGGTGGGGGGTGGAGGTGTCGAGGAGATGGATTTTATTCAGTATTTGGAGCAATCCAGGTTCCAGCAGAGGTTGCAAACCCTCAGTGACTGGTTCTCTCAGCACAGCGGGGATACAGCTAGCGTCGACTAACCTAGGCCGACCAGACCGACAATGTTTGATTACAAAATTGCAGCACCCGCACTGTTCAGTTATCAGAACACACCCATGTCATAATACTGTGTTCATGGGCATAATAGGCGGGAATAGACGGCAAAATAGGACCAATTGCGTAGGATACAGCGTCGGTTGTGCTCATAAGTGCGGATCAGTGCGGATCAGAGCAGCAACTTTGATTCTACTACTATATCCGTCATAAATCGAAACTACCATCTGTACAAGTGCGTACAGTACAAACTGTTGATGGCAAACCTGATGGCAAACCTGGCAAACCTGGTCTTCAGGCACACATACCTGAACTAATAGCTTCAGGAACATGACACCTGGTCACTCCATTTGACAAGGCTGCCTGTCAAGCCACCGTCAGCTGTCAGACTATACAGGGTGACAGATTCTCCAAGAAACACCCATGCCCAGTTTATAATTGCGAGCTATAGACGGGACTATCGTGACGGGCGAATGAAGAGCATTAGCCAGGGGGACGCCAACATTCACCAACATTCACCGACAGCTGGCGATTTTGCCCATGTACAACTGGTCTGGTCGTATCGACAATGTGTCATCTGGCTACATACTCCACTGGCTTGACTCCAGGCAGCCTCTGGAAGCAGCCATCAGATAAAGGTGGGGGGTAATCTTGGGTTTGATAGAATTGCCGCTATTGTATAATATTGCCAGGTGGCTGTTTTTGGCCGGTTATTCTCCATCGAAGCACGTGGAAGGGTGGAAGGGTGTGTGGATGGACTCCAGGTTCGCAATTGCGCAACCCGGATAGACATGCACATGGCCCACCCTGCATTTGTCTGTGGTGCGTCTCTAACGTGGCCGGAAATGTTCATCGTCGTCGAGTTACGGGTATTCTCTCCGTCGTTCGTCTTTTGTCCTTTGCTGGCTCTGCACCTGCCCGTTGTGTATATTATCCACCCCAGGAAAAAAATCAAGAAGTACATTGTAAAAACAAAAACCAAGAAGGAAAAAGAAAAAGGAAAAAGGAAAAAGGAACAAGGAAAAAGGAAAAAGGAAAAACACAGTTGTACTGTATGTATATGTACTGTCCGGAATACGAAGAGATCGACGGAGGGAGCCGGGAAAGAGGGCGGAAATAAGACGAAAGAGATCTTGAGTCGGAAACAACACAAAACCCCGTCGCCAGAGTTTGGACACACACAAGTAGAACCTTTCATAGATCTAAATAATATATCCACTGTGCAACCTACTACCATGTAGCCCAAATTTAAACCCATTTACACCAAACAAAAATTAGCCCAAAAAATTCTTCCAATTAGACTAAGTTGGCTGGAGAGTAATAGACAGACCGACAGAAGTAATGGACCCGAGGGAAAGAAAACACGTCCCGGCAGACATGGGAGGAGCAGTCACGTGACCGGACCAGAGACCTGACTCTCTCGTCCAGGCCACCCCTCCATTTCCCTCTACCCCGCTATTCCACCCCTTTGCTCTCGAATTTAATCACACTGCATCTATGCACTAGGGGCTCCTTTGTATGCACCTAGACCCGCTCCTCCACAACTTTAATAGTGTCTACTTCTTCCTCCATGGCGACGAGAGCAGCATGAACATGATGGAGGAGCTTGAGAATCACGCCTTGAAGAGTGAGTATGGCGCTGTGGGTGGGTGTCAAGGGGATCCGGTGGCTGCGGCGGTGTTGGGGCCGCTTTTTGCCGCTTTTTGCCCGCTTTTTGTCCGCTTTTTGCCGCTTTTTGCCGCTTTTTCCGAGTTTTTCCGACCAAAAAGTCGGTTAATCCAGACAAATTCTTCACAGCTCGGAGTGTCTAATTCGGTGCAAAATCGTCATCTTCTAACACAGTCCTGGTGGTTGGAGACTCGGGGGTGGGAAAGACCAACATTGTGGGCCGGTTTCTACACAACACGTACAATCCTCACGCCAACTCGACAACCCATGCCCAGCAACACATTCACACACTCAATATCGGCCGAAGAAAAGTCACGGCGCAAGTCTGGGACACTCCCGGAGGCGAAGAACACATGGGAACCATGTCTGGGCTCTATGAAGGAGCGGTGGGGGCCATGCTCGTCTACGATGTAACGTCGGCTCAGTCGTTTCAAAACATCACAGAATGGCTCGAAGATATGAAGGAGGAGAGAGACGACTACATTGTGCCGATGCTGGTGGGCAACAAGTGCGATCTCGACAACCAAAGGGCATTTCCGGTCTTTGATGCCGAGTTTTTCGCCATTCGGAATGACATGCTGTTCATGGAAATCTCGGCGCTGGAAGGAACCGACGTGGACTTTGCTTTCAAGACCCTACTCAACCACTGTTGCAGGTACAGCAGTTCGCATTCCACGTCCACCAAGTCATTCACCTCGTCGTCCTTCACTTCCTCGTAAAGGCCACAAGAGAGCAAAAAATATTTATTCAAGGAGAGGGTGGAGTCCAGATTTGCTCCAGGAGTTATACAGTTTATTGATTCTGATTATTAAGAGCTAGCACTTGTAACTAACTAGCATCTCTTCCTGGCGCACCTTCACGTCACTGTTGACAAGACATGTCTCAGAATTGCTTTTGTTCAACACTGACCGTTACATTGTTCTGTGCAACTGTGTGTTGCAAGTAAAAGGAGGCAGTGGTTGCAAGATGGAGAGTTATCAGTGATCTCCTTGGTCCTGGCGTCCGTTATAATCACAATTGTACTTCACATTGCTCGTCAGACACTGCACAGAGGATGGTAAACGTGGGACCGGCCCAGTACAGTCAATGTAGCACGAAGAAGTCATGATTAGGACATTTAAAGACAAAAGGGAGACTCTCATGCCTTCTTGTGAAGCTCAGGATCTCTTCAATTGTCATTTGTAGCCATCTCCTACACTTTGCAGGATCAGTAATCCCGAACGGGAATGAGCTTTCAACACAACATGACGGAGGCGGTAGAGAAGCGTAGGTGCTGATATCCGTATTTAAGATCCCCTATGCCACGAGACGTAGGACTGTGCTAATCCACTGCTTATAAACCCACTCCATGCGGCTCTGGAATACGGGTTCTTGCCGAGATACCCGAAACTTAATTGATACTGTTCAGTCGGCGTGGAGAAGAGAAAGTGGAGTGGATGGGCGGGTAATCATGCTGGAAATATGTCATATTTGGTATCATACTGACCGCGTCGAGCTCCTAGAATCAACTGTGGTTTTTTTGGAGCTTTAGACGTGACATTTGGCAGAAAAAGGACTATCCCCTCAAAGCCTACTAATCATTTCCAAATACTCAACAATCTAGTTAGTGTTAGTTGGTCACGGATCAACGGAGTGTCTGGAGAAGTCTCTCCTCAGACACCGGAAAATCTCACAAAGCACCTGCAATCATCCAAAGATGCCCGATGTAATGTTGCGTCTACGTCGAGAGTAAGACATTACCAGCTTAGGTTGGAATTTGCCCTCTTTTGGAAAGTGAAACATACCGAGGACAATCTTTTTTCTCCAGGGCCTTCCGAGTCTGGAGCCAATGTTGTTATTGAATGTATAGCTCTTCTGCTATAACTCTTGTGTCAACGCGTTGCTCGTGTAGATCCTCCAGTAAGATTGCTCTGAGTCCACGGACGATCTGATGCGGCCCCATGCTTGTGCTTCTTGAGGTGTGCACCATCTCAATCGCTTACTAACACGTGTCTTGAACGCGAATTGTCTCTGATTTACAGAGGATGTGCACCGGGGCGCGTTTCCTGTCGATCCGCGGAGACGGGTGGTTGAGGGCGGTATCGGTAGTTGAGTGTGGGTCGAGATAGCAAGCAAAGAATATCATTGCAAAGCCCCGGCTATGGCGATTCAAGCGATGCCCACAGGTTCCATGTTCATCCATTCAGAAATGTCGAGCATTTCTGTCCAATAGCTGAGCATGTGATTGTGTGTGACCAGGACAGGCATGGGAGATGTACCCGCGCGGTAGAGACAACCCAAACGTTCTATATCTTTGCTCCTTTTGGTCATTCAATCACAACTGTAACTTCCGCGGGCTCGGGGGTATCTCCATGGCTGCTATCTCCACGGTCTGTAGCTATAATTACACAATGGAGAGTGGGTAATCATACAGCCAGACCTCAAAAGAAGCGAGCGAGAGATGAGGGATTTAGCCGGGCTCTGAGCAACGGCGGCCAGGACCAGGAGTGAAAAGCATCTTCAGAGGCGCTCGGTTGCCAACCACAGGCTCCTATCGGTCCTGTCTATCTGGCGTCCACATGTCTTAGTCGCGTGCCATAATATCGCTGCCGTGCCCATCGCCTTTCCGTCGCGTACAAGGAGAAAACCATGTATGCAGGCACGTGTCCGCAGAGTAGAGACATTCTTGTTGGACATAGACTTGGTCTAACTGACGGCCTTGTTGGTCGTGTCGAGTTTAGCGAGAGCTTTGACATGTTGTAGCCATGACGGTCCAAGCCACCGCTCCACCTCCGTCCAAGACTGCCAAATGGGGAACGCAATCGCTTCTGGTCATGCTGGATAACTGCAAAATCCGCCTTCTTTAGGTTGCTACCCCTTGAAAGTGGCCGACAACACGTGAACCGTGAGTCTATCTCTGTAGAATGACGGGCGTCGACGCAAGAATAAGCAGCGCGATCTAAGCGTCCTCAGCGAACCCAACTGTGAGACACGGCTTGGGTCAACAATGTACGTCTGTAGAAGTCAGAAGTCAGAAGTCGGAAGTCAGAAGTCGGAAGTCAGAAGTCGGAAGTCAGAAGTCGGAAGTCAGAAGTCATTGAAGTCATTGAAGTCATTGAAGTTGGTCAGCAGAAAGACCTCAGAAGGACCTCAGAAGTTGGACAGTGCAAGTGGGTCAGTTAAGTACGCCGTATGTACACACTGTACACCACTGGGACGTAGTTGTAACATACAAACCAAGTCGGGGCACGACAGCACTCTTTCACCGTCGCCACAAGAATACTCAGTCTCCAGCTCTTGGCGCAAAACAAACGTTTCCGCAACAACACTGCCCATACCAAGCGCCCAGGAGCCCCACAATCCGCCAAGGCCCAGGTTGCTGCCTTATGATGTGCTTTTTAGGTGGAACATTGACATGTGCATCTGTACTTGCAAGTCGAGTGAGGATCGAGTCCCGTAGTAGTTGGCCATGGCCGTCCTTGCCAGCAGAAGAATGGCACGGGAATCTACGGCGCGGGAATCCACGGCACGTGATCTGTCGCTGTGACCTGTCGCGGTCGCCCTCCTGACGCCCTCTCGGTAGCCTTCCACTCCCCTAACCGCCTAGCCCGGCTGAAGCCAGTTGCTCCAAAGTGTAACGTAAAAAGTTCTATTTTGAGCATTTTTTTTGCCCATCACCGCAAGTTAAGGTTGGATTTTTTTTCCCTGCAAAACGCTGCTGTAGCGAGATAGACAACCAGCCGCGGCAAAACCGGCCTTCTGGGGCCAAAGCGCGGATATGTAGCAGTTCCCGGGACAAATATGCCCGTGATTGTACGATTTCCGTCTTTATCTGGCGATTTTGAACCCCGCAAACCCTCCAAAAACCGCAGTGTTGGGTGGTTTTGCACATTTCTAATTTTGGTTGGTATGTACGTACCATACAGACACTGCCTCCTGAGTTAAATATGTGAAACGCGTGAAATTTGAGGTGGAGCTGGCGGTGATTGGGACGGATGGAATTGAGGCGAGGAGGTCGGCGGCAGGCGGCTGGTCACGTCAAGTCCTGATTACGTGCCTTGTCGGTCGCCTCCCCGCCTCCGCCTCATCCCCTTCCCCATCGTCGCCCATATCTCCGACATATCCCACATCATGTCTCCGCCCTCTAGTGCTAGCCACCATTAGCTCCAACAGTGCACCCTACATAGTGGGTAGGAAGAGAGACCCCCAAGCCAAGTACAAAGTGCAAAGTAGACTAGGAGCGCAGCTAAACTTGTGCGCGTTACGTTAAAGTTGCTGCTGTGTGACACCTAAGTCAAAGTAGTAATACACACCACATTACGGCCTCCTTCTCCTCCACACACCACACTACCACCACCACCACACTCGCTACCCACCACCCACCGTGATAATGCGAAATCTGACAGGGGAGCCGGAAAACCCGTTTGACCAGCAGTCGTACCAGTCATCGGACGAGCGGTCGCACGGGTCGGGCGACTACCTATACCCCGAAAACGACAGCTACCACGACGTTACCAGCCAGACGGACACGCCAAACCCCAGCGGCACCGAACATCTGATGCCGCAGGTGCCCAGCCGGGCCACAAAGCCGTACTTTGACAGCAACCACGACGGCGCCTCGTCACGACAACATCTGGTGGACCGATCTTCATCTTCGGGCTCACTGGCAGGCATGGGCGGAAGCATGACGCCCAACGGGTTTGATCGGTACCCGGACCGGATTTCCTCGGTCAACATTCGATCTGCCACAGCGTCCGAGGTCGGCTCCATCTCGGAGAATGATGACAACCCGTTTGTGGTGAACGCAGACTTTTCGCCGTTTGGCGGCTACCCAGCATCGTCCTTCCCCCTGCACATTGACGAGAAGGAGCAGGACGATTATCTACACAACCCGGACCCGGTGCTGGACCAGGAGATGGACAAGCGGTGCCAGTGCCAGAAAATGGACCGCCGGGGAATCTCGTCGCTCATCGCCTTCATTCTGCTCATTGGCGGCCTGATTGTTGTCTTCATCGTTCTGCCCATCCTCACTTACTCCGGAGTCACTGAACGAGTGGCACACCCCGTCGTGCACAGGGAGGTCGAGGTGCTGTCGGCATACCAATTCCCCCAGCTCTCGTTCCGAAAGGAGCTCGTGGACCCCGATACCCCCTCTTCGGCCATGACACATACCGCCGACGACGGCTCGAAATGGGACCTCGTTTTCTCCGACGAGTTCAACATGGAAGGACGAACCTTCTACCCCAACGACGACCCCTTCTGGACCGCCGTCGACATTCATTACGCTGCCACCAAGGATCTGGAGTGGTACGACCCCGATGCCGCCATCACCGAAAACGGAACCCTGGTGCTCCAGCTGGACGCCTTCAAGTCGCACGATCTCTACTACCGATCTGGAATGGTCCAGTCGTGGAACAAGGTCTGTTTCACTCAGGGGTATATTGAGATCTCCGCGTCTCTGCCCGGCCAGGGTCGAACCCCCGGTCTGTGGCCCGGTCTCTGGACCATGGGTAACCTGGGTCGTCCCGGCTACCTGTCCACCACCGATGGTGTGTGGCCCTACGGATACAACAACTGTGATGCCGGAATCACTCCTAACCAGTCTTCTACTGATGGTATCTCCTACCTGCCCGGTCAGCGACTTAACAAGTGTACCTGCAAGGGTGAGGAACATCCCAATCCCGGTACTGGACGAGGAGCTCCCGAGATTGATGCTCTTGAAGGTTCCGTCGGCCCCAAGGTCGGTGTTGCTTCCCAGTCTCTTCAGGTCGCTCCCTTTGATATTTGGTACATTCCCGACTACAACTTCATTGAAATCTACAACGCCTCCGTCACCTCCATGAACACATACGCCGGAGGTATGTTCCAGCAGGCCATTTCTGGTATCACCATGCTCAACAACGACTGGTATGATGTGGTCAGTGTGGAAGGCCAGGACGAGTCCGAGCTGCATTACCAAACGTTCGGTTTCGAGTATCTCAACGATGACGACAAGGGCTACATCAAGTGGTTTGTGGGCCAGGACCCTACCTTCAACCTCCACGGCTACGCCCTGGGTCCCAACGGTAACGTGGGACGACGAGACATTTCCAAGGAGCCCATGTCCATCATTATGAACCTGGGTCTGTCCAATTCTTGGACCTACATTGACTGGCCCGCTCTTAATTTCCCCTCTAAGCTGCGAATTGATTACGTTCGAATCTACCAGCCCTCCGATCAGCACAGTATCACCTGTGACCCGGACGACTACCCTACCTACGACTACATTGAGAAGCACAAGAACGCGTACGAGAACGCCAACTTGACCCTGTGGACCGATGCCGGTTACACCTTCCCCCAAAACACCCTGATGCACAGTTGCACTTAGGCGGGGGGCCCAGTGGAGGAACCAACATACATGAGTCGCCCAAAAACGACTCCTTTTTATAGAGTACATTAAGCATTAACGGTAACAAGAGTGCGTAGACAGGCTACAAGTAGCCAAATATGGGAATTGGTAGTGCTATTTTTAGATCCCCAATGGTTTGTAAATAGATCAAGTACTGTGGTAAAAAGGAAGCTATAAAGGCCGGGGCGATTAGTCATGCGTTAGCTGCTCTACAGCTGCTCTAGGTTTTTATTCTCTTTTATTCTCTTTTATTCTCTTCTATTCTCGTATTTTTTTTTCTGCATTTTATTTTATTTTGTTACTCTTATATTCACACTCTAACTAAACAGTTGCTATTTCTGAATCTACGGTAACTCCATTTCTACCTGTCAGAAGTGAGATTTGAAAAAACAATCGGGTCATTCTCGACCAAATTATGAAGATGACGTTTTATTTGATCCTATAATTCCGCGATATCACTCGTTTCGAGCAGCTTCAGAATTTGAAAATAGGGTTCACACGTGACATTTTTGGCCCATTGTGTATGAAATTTCATTTGGGACGGGAACTTGTCTGGTTTCTTGGTCTAGTTGGTCATGGCATCTGCTTAACACGCAGAACGTCGGCAGTTCGATCCTGCCAGAAATCACTTTTTTGCTGTTCCCGACACCATCCGCTAGTATATAAGTTAGATGCCTGCGTGCTCGAGAATATGGATGCCAACTCTGCGCTTGAGTCTGTCTTCGTGTTCTTTTTGAATTTGATCTTCGTGAGGTGTATTTTGTTTACTTGATGAGGTGTGATTTCGAGTGACTGTGGAGAATAGAGTCCTATGGCGGCAGCATTCGGCATTCTCGTCGACCGTCCTCCGCTCCGCACAGTACATACGGTACTCAGAGTGCCATCGACTCCAACGGTTACACATGCACCTGTCACACTACCACTACCAATACCGCAGCTGTATCGTATGTACTGGTAAATGCCTTCCGAAACCTTTCTTGTTGGCTCTGACTTCAGCTTAGACTCCCGAGGAACGGCCCAGTGTTTGGCAGGTTGTCCGCGGAGGAAGAGGCAGATTTGGACTTGCAAAGTTCCATGGAGAGCGGCAGTGGCAGTGTTTGTATATGCGGTACTTGTACGATTACTTGTACGTGTACTCGTACATCGATCTGGTCCGTGGAACAGACTAAGCGGACAAGATAGCGATGAAAGATGAGTGTTGGTGAGAAGAGTCGGTAATTGACTAAAAACCGCATTACAACAAGAGGCATGTATAGCCAGAGGTGAATAGAAAGTCCAAAGTTGTCAAGGCAACCATGGTTTCTGTAGAAGAAACTGGCCCAGGCGTCCAGTACCCATATTTCGAGTCTGCTTGACAAGACATGTGTAGGTGTAGATGTAGGTGTAGATGTAGGTGTAGATGTAGGTGTAGGTGTAGGTGTAGGTGTAGATGTAGGTGTAGATGTAGATGTAGGTGTAGATGTAGGTGTAGATGTAGATGTAGGTGTAGATGTAGGTGTAGATGTAGATGTAGGTGTAGATGTAGGTGTAGATGTAGGTGTAGATGTAGATGTAGGTGTAGATGTAGATGTAGGTGTAGATGTAGATGTAGGTGTAGATGTAGGTGTAGGCGGTACGACGAGGTCAGTCCAACCCTCCATTCCCTGTACTCATAGGTACACGAGTCTGACTTCAAAAAATACCTCCTACGGTGCCTGACTGGAGACAGTGAGACCCTAACGAAACATTTCAGAATGAACTTTCATCTGTCATCGCTCTCTACGCCTATTGTGCGGGTCTGTCGTCCTTCTGCAACGTCATCTTCACATTGGAGAAGTACAATAAGACCGTAGATCGCACCAAATCTACTTGGCCCCGCTACTTTAACGTCCAACATCTCTACCCTCCACCTCCCCTTCTGCATGCAATGAGACATTTACTCACACTTGTCAACTAACTCAAGCCCCTTGTCAACTAACTCAAGCCTCGTCAACTAACTCCACCACACTACTTGAACTTTATGGCGCAGATAAGAGCCGCGTCAACCTCTTCCCATCGCGATGCAAGTCTGTGTAAATTTTATACAAAGAAGAGCAACGGAATTGCAACCAAAAGTTATCCTCATAAATCGCCTTTCCGCACACTTGTCAACGTCTCCATCTCCACCACTTCCGCATCCTCTCGTGACCACCAGCCACACGCCTGTGGGTGCCCTAACCCCCAAACCTCCCAACACGTCCTTCGGTTCTCATCACCAGGTCTCCATTGCTATGCCGAAATTTAACATCAACTCGCCGAGTTTCACTCCCAGTGTGGTGGACAAGGCGGCTATCGACTCCACGGGTCCCGCTGCGCCCGCAGCCGCGCCCGCCTTTGTGCCAGGCAAGTCGCCCATCGACCTGGAGCAGATCAAAAACAAACTGACCATCAGCAAAGACAAGAAGGAGAATGCGAAAAGCGCACTGCCCAAATTGAACCCTGCTGTGGCCGGCTTCACGCCTGGCGCGTCGGCTTCAGGCTCAACCACGCCCAAAATGGCCACAGCACCCAGCTTCCAACCCAACCAGACATCGGCCATCAACACAAACAGCAACAGCAGTGCGTCAGCAACGTCTCAGAGTGGCCCTCCCGGCGCCTCCTTTCAACCCAACCAGTCGTTCCAGCCAGGCGCAGCCTCATTCCAACCGCGTTTTCAGTCCGGACCGTCTCAAATCGAACCTGGATACGACAACTACTACGATGAAATGAGTAACGGAGCAGTCATGGCAGCAGCGCAGAACCAGCAGTTCCCCCTGCAGTACCATCTGTACGCACCCCACTACCTATCTGCATCGCGACAACGACAACTTCTGTCCCACCAGAAGACAGCAAAGGACTTCTTTCTGGACCCTCACCTCCACCAGCGCCTACACAAGCAATCCGAGGACCTGCTCAGGGTCGAGGGCTCGTCCAACCTGCCGCGGTTCGTCGACAAGTACCATTCATTGGTGTTGCTGGACTCCAATCTCAACACCAAAGAAAACGGAGCTCCAGGAGAATCGCCTCAGTGGGTGTACAAATGCATGAACGGCAAGGACGGAAAACAGTATGCGCTACGGCGCATTCAGGGATTTGTGCTTACCAATGAACAGGCCATGACCAGCGTAAGAAAGTGGCAGAGCATTGTGCACCCTGCGTTTGTGTCTCTGTGCGAGGCCTTCACCACCCGAGATTTTGGAGACGCGTCTCTGTGCATGATTTACGATTTTTTACCTTCGGCAGAAACGCTTTTCGACCTGCTCAACCGTGGTCAGCAGTTTTCCCGTGACGTGATCATCTCGTATCTCCTGCAACTGCTGTCTGTGCTGGATACCATTCATTCTGCTGGCTTGGCTGCCAAGACCGTGGACCCCACAAAGATTCTGGTCTGTGGCCCCGGGCGAGTCCGACTGAACTGCTGCGGACTTTATGACGTGATCAATTTTGACAAAGACGAGAACGTTACGCTTTTCCAGCAACAGGATCTTCGAAACCTCGGTCTGCTGGTCCTCTGCTTGGCATGCAACTCTGTGGAGGCCACTAAGAATGTTGAGCAGAGTCTCACTCGTCTTGACAGTGAACTTCAGGAGATTGTGCAGTATCTGCTGTCTTCCAACACATCCAAGACTGCCTCTAGAGTGCTGGCATCTCTAACTCCTCTTCTGACGGCCACGTTCAATGAGTCTCTCAACACCAACGATTCTCTGGAACACGAGTTGCGTCGAGAGCTGGAAAACGGACGGTTGGTGCGGCTCATGGCCAAGCTCAACTTCATTACTGAGCGGCCCGGGCCTGATCCAGAAATGTCCCAGCAGTGGTCCGAGACTGGAGATCGGTATTTGATCAAGTTATTCAGAGACTATGTTTTCCATCAGCAGGACGAGATGGGTAAGCCGGTTATGGATCTGGGTCATGTTGTGCGAACGCTGAACAAGCTGGACGCCGGAATTGATGAGAGAATCACTCTGATCAGCAGGAACGGACAGAACTGTCTTATTGTGTCCTTCAAGGACCTGAAGCAGTGTATCGAGAGTGCGTTGAGGGATCTCGAGTAGAGGAGGCAAGTGTTGCAGATGGCTGGATCGGTTGGTCGTTCTCTCTGGCATGCTGCTCTGGACTACATCGGCTGAGGGTGCGCGCTCATGTGTTCAGATCTAGGTGATGCAGGGCAACATTTACTGGTACTGGGCATGGTGGAGAGTGTGTGGCAACCAGAACGAGTTGGAGTGATGATGTAATGAATGATTTGAAAATGACTGAGGTGGTGGTTGGTAGAATGTGGCCAGGTATTGTATATATGTAGATGAACTGTAAGGTGGCGATGCACGACAAGCGGTGTAGGAGTACCGAGTAATTGTACATGGTTGCTTACGGGAGCCAAAGTTCACAGGTATGTATGGAGCATGATCTATAGGGGTGGGAAAGAAAAGTAGATTAGTTGAGTTATCTGGAGTTGTTTGGTTGCCCCTAAGCTGTCAAAATTGGACATTATATTCATCTAGAGGCGCTTTAAGAGATTGCCGCACTCAGATAGTATCATTTGGGCAATTTTTTTCGGTTTTTTTTTCTTTTCTTCGGCCTCTTCTGTTTTTACGCCTTCTGTAAGTCCAACCGACCTCGGACTCCACATTGGGGCAACCTGGCCGAGTGGTCTAAGGCGCCAGGTTCAGGAGACTGAATCAATATCCTGGTCTCTTCGGAGGCGAGAGTTCGAATCTCTCGGTTGTCAGCAGCAGAGCGTGAGCTCTTCTTTTTTTTCTTCTTCCTCTCTCTTTCTCATTGGAAATTTTTTTTTTTTGGTGAGACTCAACGCAGGTAGGTGTGTTTACCCAAGTGACAAACAGTTGCAGTATCTGTTATAGTACTTCATTTAAGAACAACCCCGTGGGCCACTGTCCATATCAGTCACGTGTCATTCGCAATGTACTTATGTAGCGGAACAGATGCAAGCAGCACTCTCCTGTTTGATCACCACCTCAGACCTATTCTATATGTCCAATAGTGGATGAGGTGGGCATTCATGTTAGGATATGTCGATATCGTCTCATTTGACACTGTCAGTGGGCGTTTACAACTGTCCTTAAACGTAAACATGCCCATCCATCAACCGTCTCGCAGTTCTGATCAAACTCGCTGCAGCCGCCTGTTTTCCATCGTCCTCCAACACACCACCCGTCACAAGCAGCCCCGAAGTATGGCCGACCCTGAGCATACCATCTGGGGTCTTTGTGGCCATCTCGTTCACCACCGACCCCTCCAACAGCGCAGCAATACCAATGGCCACAGCTCCAGTACCAGTGTATGCTCCGTGCGGAATTCCCATTGAGAAAATACGGGCAGTCACGTCAATATCTGTTGCTTCCATGGTTTCTCCATCCAGTCGCCTGTACGTTTGGGGTTTGGATACAAACGAAACCTTTGGAGTAGCTGGTCGTTTCGCAGCATCTTCTGGAGTGTCAACAAGACCCATAGTGTAAGCGCCCTGTTGTCGAATGTCTTCAATTTTTGCGAGAAACTTGGGATCCGACAGCTGAGGAGGCAGCTCCGTTCCTTTCAGACCGAGATCAGCTGCTCTCACAAACACCGTGGGGTTACCTGCATTGACCAGAGAAGCCTCGATTGTAGATCCGTCTTTGAGAGTCAGTGTGTCGATAGCGTTGTCTGTAGGAAGTGTTTTTCCCGACGAGGGCTTCAGAAAGTCGATTCGGAACGCCCTGGCTGTACCGGAGACTCCATCCAGTGTATCCTCTCCTTCATAGATGGGCAGGCCGTCCTCCTTGGAAACCGGGACATGGGCAATGATTCGCTGATCCACGTTTGTCTGCCAAATTCGCACCTTTTGGACCAGGCTGTCACCCTCTTCCTGTGGCTTCTCCTTCACCAGCCGCTCCTCAATGGCGTAATGGGCCACTGCCGCCGTCAGATTACCACAATTGCCGGTCCAGTCGATGATCGGCTTGTCGAGACTCACATGACCAAAGTTGTAGTCCACGTCGTAGGCTGCATCTTTGCTTTGGTTGATGATGACGATTTTCGACGTGCTGGATGTTGCCCCGCCCATACCGTTGAGCTGCCGTTTGTACGGGTCTGGCGAGCCAATCGCCTTCAACAGCGTCTTTTCGAGCTCGGAAAAGTCCGCCGGAACGTCCTGTTTGTTGAAAAACAGCCCCTTGGACGTTCCTCCTCGCATCCAGACTGCGGCGAGCCGTTTTTGGGCGTTTCTGACAAGACTGGGGAACATTGCAGATGGTTGCGAGTTGCAAGACAGCTAGTCGCAAGTTTATTAGGCGAAACTGCGTGCGGCTTGGAAAATAATTTTTTAAAAAAAAAATTTTTAAAATCGCATTTTTCACGCTAGAGCAATGGTATGGTATGGTACGGTACGTTCGTTTCCAAACTCGCAGCAGGAGATTGTGGAGAGCTGTGTATACGTAATAATTGATATGGTCAGCTGGTGGTCCAGGCAACGAACGACCTTCAAAAGATGAAGGGTACCTCCAGTGTACTACTGCCTTGAACTCGACTGCTTTTACTGCTGGCTACGGAGTAAGATGGTGGAACCAGGAGATGTGGCAGTACCTACTTGGTGAACAAAAGGGTGGTTCCCTCCACTTTCTAATCAGTGGCCTGTGGCAATTATACCGTACAAGTACTTCTAACACCAGGCTGAGTGATTCTTGTAGGTGTGACTTACTAACACCAGGCTGAATTGGTTCTTGTAGGCGCGGTTCTAGGGGCAGAGTCCAAAGCACAATGTCCAGCCAGTTACTTGGTCTCTTCTTATATATTCTTGAGCTGGGTGTCCGTCCGGAGTGATGATTCTGTACGACAAGTTCTCCTCAAGGGGAGATCTGTTTCAAACACGGGAATGCTTCTGGAGAGGCAGGATGGAAAAGATCTAGACAATCTGCGTCGGTGGGATTCCTGACCTTACAGTCTTGAACTCCTTGGGAGAGTAGATTCGGGTCTCCTTGTGGGTGTCATCTTCGTCGGCATCCGCTGGTGTCTTAGCGGCGAGTCTTTGGAGTTCAGAAGGGTCTTCTTCGGGGGTAGTAGAAGGCTGCCACTGGATTCTGCTGATTGTAACGGTTCAGTACGAACAGGAGTAGGAGCAGGAGTGCAGTCAGACCCACTAAAGGATGCCATAAGATCCAGTTGCTGTGGATGGAGAGACGTCAACCCAACAGTCATGATGGTATGAATTCTCTCCTATTTTGGTTGTAAAAGTTCTCTGATCCTCCATGGCAAACGAATCCCCAGGATTAGTGAAGTTTTGCCAACAATAAACAGTGTCTATTGCTCCTCTAAGTACTTGTGCTACAGCAAAAACAGTGGTAAGATCAAGTAAACTGATCCAGTAAACTGATCCAATGACTGACCCAGTGAACAGATATCAGACATTACTGGTACTTCAACACTGTCGGCTCTGACAAACAGTCATCACTTCGATCTTTGATATTCTGTTTTTACTGGTCTTGACAAGTGGACAACTGTTTGGTCATTCTGGAAAACAGTATCAGGGTAGAATTTCTATCCCTCAGGATGGAACTGCTATCCCTCACTTCAGAAACAGTACAATATCGTTCTGTAGAAGTAAGAACATTGTAATCGTCTCGATCGCACAAAAGACCCCGCATCTCTCATCACTTAACCCGCCTCTTCTGGAACTGTGACACTGCGAGCTGCTGTCTCTCCAATTCCGTCTTCCATGACTTAGATATGGCGATACTGGACTCGTACTTGTTCAGAGCAGCTGCTGAAGGCCTCGGGAAAAGCAGTATCCAGACAAGACAAGTATAGTACAGTACATACTGCATTGAGAAAGACCCACGATAGACTCTCGGCGAGCTTTAGAAAGTCGTCAGGAATACCAAATGGGGTGCAAGAGTGACTGTGAACATGCATTGTCATTCTTCAGATCACAGTCGAAGATTGCGAGAGAAACATCACCTCGGAAAGCAGCCGTGTGGAGGGGTTACTAAACATGTTAATGTCAGGTAGTCGCCGTCACCCAGCTCCGGCCTTCATCGTCACCCTTGTCATTGTCACCGATCTACGGTCTAGTCATTGTCACTCTTTGTCGTAGTCTGCCTCACATTCTTCGACTTCGAATCTGCGATAAAAGATGACACAATCTCATATACATGTTATTCATTTGCTATTTAAATAAATACCTTCACTTCTGCTGGTGCCCCTTGTGCTCCTTGTCGTCACCGTAGGCCTTTGTACCATAATGGCCGTTGATACAGATGATATCCTGGGGTCTGTAATTCTGCTTTCCCGAGAAAAAGACCTCGAGGATCTTCTTGGTACCCTCAGCGTATCGGCCCTGGGCGTCGATGGAAGTGCCGGAGATGTGGGGAGTCATGGCGTTTCCACCGCCGTACTTATTTCGCATGGTTCTCCAGGGGTGGTCCTTGGAGGCAGGCTGGGGGAACCAGACGTCACCGCCATATCCTCGGATCTTGCCCAACTCGAGAGCGTCGACAATGTCCTCGGTGACGCAGATGGCTCCTCGAGCAGTGTTGACGAGCCAAGCGCCGTCCTTCATGTGGGAAATGAGCTCCTTGTTGAAGAGACCCTTGGTGGAGGCGTGAAGGGGACAGTTGATGGTGACAACGTCACAGAGAGAGAGCTTCTCCTCCAGAGACTCGACTCGTCGGCATCCAATCTCCTTCTCCACATCAGCTGGCATAGCCTGGTAGTCGTAGTAGAGCATCTCCATGGGGTCAAAGGGCTTGCATCGCTTGAGCACTCGCTGGCCGATTCGACCGCCTCCAACGGTGCCAATGACCTTTCCCTCGAGATCGTACGAGTCCTTGGCGACAGCAGCCACATTCCAGCCGCCCTCGATGATCTGCTCGTGGGCGGGCACAAAGTTTCGGACCAGCACCAGCATGGTCATAACGACGTGCTCTGCGACAGACTGGACATTAGAACCAGTAACCTCAAGAACAGAGATATCTCGGGCGTTGGCTGCGTCGAGATCGACGTGGTCGGAGCCAACACCAGCGGTGATGCAGATCTTGAGCTTTTTGGCCTTGTCAATTCGCTCCTTGTTGATGTAGCCGGGGTGGAAAGGGGTGGTGATGACTACATCGGCATCGACAATCTCCTTGTCAAGCACAGAGTGGGCACCGTCCTTGGAAGAGGTGGTGACAAGAGTGTGGCCCTGTGACTCGAGCCAGTCTCTGATTCCGAGCTCGTTCTCGGTGCATCCAAGTAGCTTTGGCTCATCCTTGGCGTGGGAGCCGGCATCGTATAGAACAAGAAGGACCTTCATCTTGGTGGTTGTAGTGGTATGGTGGTGCTGTGGTGGTGGTGGTGTGCGTTTTTGTGCTGGTGGTGATTAGAGAGGACTTGGAGCCCCTTTTATATCGTTTTTTCGCCATTTCGTCCCCGCCTGGTTTGTATAGGTTGCATTAATCCTGCTGAATCGCGGCGTTTAGACGGATGGACTGTGCGGCTCATTTATTTCAATATCTTGCTAATTAAGCGAAGAACTTTGCAGCTCCATTTTCGACGAATTAGATTGTTACCTGGTAGTGAAAGTAAGGAAATCAAATCATTAGGTCATCTTAATTCACCCGGTACTATTGAAGCCATGTTTTTCTACAAATATACCGCTTTTTTGACCGTCTCGAAACATCCGCTAAACTATTTCCGAGCCGCATCAACGGTCCATGTGAATTTCCGAGCCGCACCAACTTGGGCCGGATTATGCAAACAAACAATGCACACATCTGAAAAGCACCAGCTCGCAGAGGTGTATAAGCCTAGGGGGAAGGAATAAAAAGTACAATAATTCAATATCAAAAAGATTACACCAACCACGAATCTCGCACTACAAAAAGTATTTACTAGTTAGATCTCTGAACGGATTGCGCCGACCCGGAATCGAACCGGGGGCCCATCGATGGCAACGATGGATTTTACCACTAAACCATCGGCGCTTTTTTTCTTGATGTCAAAAATTGAAGTTTCTATAACTATCCAATAATGAGCCAGATCGGCCGTTTTACTAGATGTGATAATTTCAATAAAAGATAAAGTCTTCTATGGGTCATTAATTTCCTCTGCTCCTTTTTTGTAGAGTTTCAAGTTATTTTGAATGATTTCTACGTTATTGAAAACTTCAAATTTGGAGCTCTTGTTTTTGAAACCATTGACACATGGTGGCTTGGGGTTTGGTTGAATTCCAGAGCAACACGATAACTCTTGTTACACTTATTATTGTTATTCTTGCCTTTAGTGTGTGCCTTTCCTGTATATCTCGCGTTTTATACAGGATTAACATCGACCCTGGATGTGGCACGATCCAAAACATGGCGTAACAGAAACTGAGACTCGAAGAGAAGCTGGTGGAGTTGATTTCCTAGTTACAATTCATTCAATTTCTCTATCTATTCACTACTGTACTTGTTTTCTTGCATCACTGACTAGGGTGAGAAGTCTACGGATGGAGGCTAGTGAGACCTGCGGGACGAACAGATTTCCGATTGTGGACATGATGCGAGGTAATGAGATGGGTTTTCAACTGCAATCAAAGCAATCTCAAGCTGTCTGATTCAGTTTGTATTTCCCAAGTTCAACATTCCTGCGATACAAAATTAATCGGAACACTTTTTTCAGACTGGTGCAACTGGACCCTTCATCGCGAAACTTGTAGCAAAACAGTTCAAAGGCAAGAAACCAGTTTCTACTGATGGAAATCTTTCGGGGAGCCGTTCACATCCCCCGACCTCGTTTGATTGTCTCCCTTCTGGACAGACCATGTTTGGACACATTCCAAAGGTCCAAATAATAGCACTTTACTGTAGTGTACACTCTGGCTAACATATACCGACGCATCCATTCGTAAGCATAATATTAAGAGATACGGTCATTAAGAGATATAGTTGGTGCAGTGCCGTCTTCAGTTGGCTCGGGCAACCCATCTCAATCTAACGTAACCCGCATACCACTTTTTGGAATGAGGTTCGTAGTTGGTGGTCTTGAGGGTATCGACAATGTAATCAAGAGCCGCGGACCGCTTGCTTTCATCAATCTCGCTCAGGAAGTTGAATCCGAACAACTCCAGCCACTTTCGAAGCCCCTCGCCTTCGGCGAGCTCAGTAGATCGGTAGACTCGCTCAATCTTCTCGACCGAAAAGCCCGCTTCCTGGAGAAATTTTGCAATAACATGTTCATGGGGAAAGTACCATGGCGAGGCAGCAGCAGCCTGCTCAACGGTTTTGTTTCCAAACTTCTCCACGGCCATAATGAAAGCGGCCTGGATCTCGGCCACGTTTCCGAACCCGCCCATTTCACACACAAAGGTGCCTCCGGGCTGGAGCAGGTGGTGGATCTTCTTGAATACTGCCACTCGCTGGGAATCCGTCTTAGTCTGCGACAAAATCCAATGGAAAGTGGCGTTGGAAAACACCTTGGAGTACTTGTGAGAGTGGTTCCACTGGTCGAGCTTTGAACAGTCCACCACCTCGGCGTTGAGACCGCGGCTTTGGCTGAGCTCGACCATGTTGGACGAGTTGTCAATTCCGAAAATGGACTCGCACCGCTTGCTGAGATCCTGGGTCAGCTTGCCGTCTCCACATCCAATGTCAAGGATGGAGTCTGAAGATTGCGGATCGAGCCATTGCTGCACGACAGAGGTGAGCTGAGGCACAAACGCCGCGTCCTCTGTGTATTTCTTGGCGTTCCAGGGATCTGACATGGTGAACAAGTGTGTGAAAAGTCGGACTGGGGTTCTTGTGGATTCCCGGACCGCCTCTTCTCTATATATGTTGACGTTGAGCGATATCGCAAACTCTAAACCGAGCGATATCGGCGGTCTAAAGGGGGGTCTGGAGAGCAATAGCAAGAGTCAAACCAGAGTCTTTCAAGGTGGATAGGGCCGAATTGTGCTAGAAATGATCATCTGGTATGTTACTTTGGTCATGAACTGGCGGTTAGAGAGTCTCATCGGCGTTTTAGGTGCCATGGTAGACTTACAGACAGACATACCAGAGTAGGTACTTAGTGTACTTACAGTAGCTAGAGGACAACTACAGGACAAGTGCTTGAACTCCTGTTCTGAGATATCATTACCGTTCGTTGGATACTCTTTAGATGAGCCTTCCAGATTTCGCTGAACTACTTCTTCTCCGCGTCTCGCCAGATGCACAATATGCACTATTCCCCACACTGGGAATATTGTTCTGTTTTTCGCCGGGGTGAATAGGGTTGTGGACAAGTCGACTTTGAGAAAAGAAGAAAAACGGAAAAAACGGAAAAAACGGAAAAAACGGAAAAAACGGGGGGGGGAAAGGGAAGAATATTAGATCCGTTAGATGCCACCATTGGCGTTTGTCGGTTTAGTTGTTTCTTGGCTCGGCTGTGTTTCTGTACAATCAGAAGAAAAGAAAAATCACAAGTACAAGAAATGTATTGTACCAAATGAAGTCATGCTTGTACAATACCGTATGAAGTCATACGGTTCGTGTAGCGCTTGTGCTTGCACTTTTGAAAGACAAACAATATCCACTGTGGAACTTGGAAACAACTCCCCCAACACTCCGGCGCCGGCTAGAACCCCTGAATGGCACTTGCATATCTAATCTGAACCAGACAAATAATCAAACCTGTCAACAAGACCACCAAATGAGACAAATGAGACCAGAAAAAGATGCCCTGGAATCGCCCAGTATCGCCCGGGATGGCACAGTAGGCACAGTATGGCACAGTAGGCACAGTATGGCTCGGTGGCTCTTCTCTCCAACTCAGGTAATCAACTTACCCTGTCTTCGGCAGAGCGTTTGGGCCGAGCCACGGACCAGTTAAAGAGGCGCGAGGGATTGGCAATGGACGACAGGCCATTAGATAAGCATTTTGGTGGCTGACAATACTTGTATAGTGTCTGCTTTCAAGTTTACACCCTCCAAGTTGTCAACCACCACCCCCCTCTCAGCCAAGCCAACTCCTCAATGATGTGCACATGACGTCAGACCTGCTTTGGGAGTCTAGACCGGAGAATTAGGGCAGGGCCTGGTCGGCGTGCTCTTGAAGCGGAGCACCGGTCGAGTGGTCGATTGTCTTCTGTCGATTGTCTTAGGTCGACCACTGAACTCCACCCGTTGTTGCGCCCCTCCGACGGAACATTATTGCTGGAGTAAATCCGTTTTTCCGCACGCTTGTCTCCTCCGGCAGAGTCTATTTGGTGGGCCAGTGCGAAGGGAGCCAATGTAAAATGCTGGGGAAAAACAGCTTGTTTGTGAAGGGAAAAAACGCCCCCAAAGTTGGTCGTGTGCCGGGGGGAAGGGGGCATATTTATACACGGACGGGCTTGGCGCGGGGAACACAAACACACACCCCGGCACCGCCCCGGGCCCCGGGCCCCGAGCATCAGTCCATCGGTCGACTCTCCGCAATTATACCGCCTGTAATTGTGCTTGGGTTGCACCTACATAATGGCACATAATTGCACATAATTGCACATAATTCCACATGCACCAGTCGCCCCCAACCAAAAACACCAATTATAGTTGCAACAGCACCAGACTCGGGATCACCACCACCTCACCTCCACCTCACCACCACCTCACATCAGGGTATCCATCACTCGCACGACCATGATCAGGGCGAGATACACGAGTCTGCGGCTGGCCGGCGCCGTGAAGCCCCGGGCCGGAGACCGGGGACGGCCGCTGCTGGGGGTGACTCAAATGAGTCAAATCAGCTCCACCGCCCCTCCACCCGAGTCGCACAAGAACCAGCCGTCGCCACTGCCGTTCTACGACACCCATCAGGAGCAGTCCGAGGCGTATAGCAAGCGACAGCGGCAGCCGCTGTTTGTGGCGACCCGCAACATGGGTCTGTTCCCCCTGGTGGACTGCGAACGATCGCTGGATCAGGCGCTCAAAAGCAAGGTGTTCCAGCAAAACTGGTTTGCGGCCGACTACGACGCGGACCTGGTCAACGCACCAACAACATTGACAATCACAGAGGCCGAGATCGACCGACAAAGGCGCGAGAAGGAGGCCAAAAAGGCAGCCAAAAAGACGGCCAACAAGGCGCCCGACAGCAGCAACACCGCAGACACCACCAAACCAACACAATCACCACAAACACCATCCAAGTTCAAACAGCTGACCGCTCTGGCCAAGGTGGCTCTTACAGTGTACAAGTCCGGCATCAAAAACGTCTGGATCAACCGCAGCCAAGCCAAGCAGCTGCTCAAAAAGTACGCCGCCTCCAACAAGACCGATATCACCGACGCCGTACTTGAACACTACTTCTACAACCAGGTGGCCACCCACAAATGCATCTTTTCAACCGTGACCGGCGAGCTGACGTTACACAAGCGAGACAAAGAAATCGCCCGAGAGCGAGACAACAACCGCCGCAAGATTGAGGTCAACATCCTACCACCAGACGGAGAGGCTCTCACGCGGTCCGAATACCAGCTCATTCTGCGAACCGCGCGCGACTTCCCCAAACTGCCGCTTTTCGTGGTGGTATTTTGCATCTGCTTCGAGTTCACACCGCTGGTGGTTCTCGCATTCCCACAGGTTCTTCCAGGCACATGTGTGATCCCTTCCCAGGCCCGCAAGATGCTGGAGGTCCGGTCCAAGGCCACTCGCGATCTGCTCAAGCTCAAGGGCGAGACCCAGCCCGCTCACTCGACATACCATCTGAACAAGGACCAATTGCACGCAATTTGCAAAGCCCTCAAGCTCACAGCCTCCATGGTGCCTATCAACTGGTATCCAACTTCGTGGCTGCAGACCCGTGTGGAAAACCACATGAAGCAGGTGCGTGCAGACGACATTCTCATTGCAAAGAGCGGAGGAGCATGGAACATGTCTCTTGCTGAGCTACAGCAGGCGTGTTTGGATCGAGGCATTCCTGTGATTGCCGAGGACGGAACCGCATACAACGTCGACTGGATGCGAGTCAACATCTTCTACTGGATCGTCAATTACTCACGAGGTCGCTACGATGCAGGATACCTGTTTGCGGACTTTGAGGATCTGCATCCCGAGGAGGCGTCGCAGGTCATGTATCTGCGAGATGAGTACGATTGGTCGCTGGTGAATCTCAAGCGACCTTGAGAGCCTGTGGGAAGGATGCCGTAGAATTGGACGCCCACGCTGACAGCTACACTTCCCAGATACAATATTGTACATATGTATATTATGATGATGACCCCATTCCAGAGAGCGTAGGTCTAACCATCATCTGACAAATGGTACGGTATCATAGACTATCGTTCCACATGTATTCCTGCCCTAATACGGTACCGCCCGCACCCATAGTGTATGTTCACCGTTTTCCGGTCAACATAACTTATGAGAAGTCCAATTTACAACCAGCACTTGGGGTATATATAACACGTCTCACCGGGTCCAGGAATGTCATAGCGAGTTCTTAGCAAGTACAGCATGTCTTTTATGCCCTGATTACCACAGATATAACCCCCCTCCTCCATCACGCTCAAATGGCTCTGTAGAAACATGCGATGAACACACTGGCGTTTGAAGTCACTCTGGCGCAATTGGACCGGCTCTGTATTCTCTATAGAGTCGACTATATGCTCAAACAGGACTGTAGAGCCATTTCTGCTGGCCTGACTTTGCTATATGACCAGGGAGAGACGTTGAAGAGAATAGGTACAAGGGCACAACTGGAGGAGTTTCATGTACATTACCGTTCCAAGTTGGATGCTTTGGATGAGGTGATGCAGTTGTTACAGAGGATCAACTACTTGAAGCGGAGAATCTCTCTAGAGGAGCTTGCCCGAGCTACGAATGTGAGACTGTTTATGAGGTATCACAGGTTTCACAATAGATTCTAATTTATCGAGTGAGAAATGAGTGCATGTATGTAAAAGTAGTATTAGAAGCGATCGTCAGGCCATTTCCATTTGAATATCGAAGTCGCCATTCAGATTCCTGCTACCAAACGTGGTTGATCTTTTCATCAAAACACCAACAAATTGGTTCAACAAATACTTAATCAAAACTCATAAATTAACTACTGTACTGGGCTATAACTACTCTTTCAGGTATCCCTCCTGGCCTTCGAGAGAGTCTGAGTGAAGTTCGTCAAACTTTTCAGAGGGCTCCTCGCTATGTTCCTCCTCACTTTCAGATCGGGTCTCAATTCTATAGTCGTCGGGCTCAATATCGTCTCCCACAACCACGTTATCACTACCGTCTTCCTTGAAATCGATAGAGGGATAGCACAAGGCGGTGAGAAAGATCATGGAAGCGCAGGCAAAGGTGCCGTACAGCATGTGTTTCATGGTCTCCTCAAAGGCGTGGTTGATTTCGTTTCGCACCTTGGAGCCCATAGGAAACTTGGTTGCCTTCTTGATCTTCTCAATGATCATGTTCCGGTCCTTCTTGGGGATATCGGGTGCGTACTTGTGGATGTATCGTGGGTACAATTCTCGGTAGATGGCGCCGAGAATGGCGTCTCCGATAATCTGTCCAATTCCGCCCATGGTGAAGTAGACGGCGGTGACCTTGGCGACCTTGTGTTTGTCAAACATGGCCTGGGCCATGGTTCCACAGGGGATGTAGAGAGTTCCTCGTCCCACTCCTTCGATGATCTATGAGATGATGAGAATGCCTAGGCCCGAGTGAGCCCGTCGAAATCGGTATGTGAGTCCGGTTCCCACAAAGTAGAGACAGGTTCCCAGCACCATCATGTGCTTGGGCTTTCCGTTCCACCAGAGGTAGGGGGCGGCAAAGAGAATGCCAAAGGCGTTGTTGGACACCGTCAGGGCACTGGAGATATTGGTAGCGGCCTTGGGGCTGTATCCTCGGACCACAAGCAGCCAGGTGATGTAGTAGGGCACCGACAGCTTGTTGGACATACTGGAGAAGAAGAGAATGATGCAGGAGCAGATCATGACTCGGTTTCGGAAGAGTTTCCACGAGATTAGGGGAGAACGGGCTCCGTATAGCTCCCACAGAGGGAAGACGGCCATGAGGAAACTTCCGAGCGTCAGCATGACGATGAAGCTGGGCTTGGACCATTTCTCCGTTCCTGCTGCCAGAGTGATGGGGAAGAAGAAGAGAATAGTTCCGGCGCACAGCATCACCAGTCCAACAATATCGAAGGACAGAAGGAACCGCTTGACTCCGCCGGGGGTGTAAAAGTCTCCGCGGGCTCCAAGTCGGATCTCCTTGACTCGCATCATTGAAAACAAGACAATGATTCCGAGCGAACAGACAGGGAGAATGATGGCGAACATTCCGTAGCCCCATCTCCAGGTGGCCACCTTGAGGATAGCACCTACGATGGGCGCCGCGGCGTAGGGGCCCCAGATGTTGGGCGATTGGATGAACGACGAGAAGATGATTCGGGTGTTGATGGTGGAGGTGTCTGATGCGTACAACTCGGTCATGAGATGGCCTCCAACCGTTCCGATCTCCCAGAAAACGGTGCCTGCAAAGTAGCAGCCAATGTTAGGGGCGGCGGCGAACAGCACCGAGCCCAGAAGATGTGCGAGAATAACCAGAGTCCAGCCCTCCAGACGTCCGATATGGTCCGAGATTTTGGCAAAGGCGGGCCGGGTGACGATGAAGATGGAGGATTGTACCACCGCCTGACTGGACAGTAGAGACAACCCAGAGAAATGGGAGGTGGCCAGGGGCGCCATGGTTGGGTAGACATGTTCAGCAATGGCTTTACTTGCTGCGTACAGGTAGACGAGAAACCAGCCGACAATAATGATTGGCCGGGTCCATCCTCGTTCTTTGGCGTTGGTGTTGAATCTCTTTTTGGGGTAGTGTTTGATCTGGGCCTTGGAGAAGAAGATGATTCTGATCCACGGGTGGAAGCAGATGAGGTTCTCGAGTTTCTCGCCCCACTGCTCCTTCTTCTGAATGACTTTATCCATGCTTTGTGTCCATCAGAGGAGCCTGGCGTCCCCTTTTGTTTTATACAGGCCGTCCACAAGGTTTCCCCAACTTTGGCAGATGCGATAATCGGAGCGAGCTCTAAACGGTGCCAGTCACGGTGCCAGTCACGGCAGATAGAGCGGCCGTATGGGTCCAAAATAGTACGTGGATGTGCATTAAGACGGACTAAGGCACGGTTGACAGGAGACTAGCGGGATCAGATACCGCTCTATCGACTGGCGACCCGGACAATCACATCCATCACATCAGATAATCAGTGCCACCAGCAACTGGGCTAGCGGGAGCCACAACGTACAATAAGTTGAAGATGATGCGGCATAACTCCAATTGTGAAACGCAAAAGGTTCTTCATGGCTTGGCGAGCGTTTAAACGCCGACGTCTCCAACAGTAATGGCTATTGCTCGCGTGTCGTTGGCCGGCTTGTTGCGGTTTTTTTTTTTAAATTTTTTACGTCAGTTTTAAACCCGAGACCCCAGGACTCACCATCTCATCAAAACCATCACAGCAAGAATTTGCGCGGACCCAAACCCTGCCCAAACCTATAACAGCACGTCTACGAAAACGTGGCCGTAGGTTTCACCAGATTCGGGCACCTCGGATACGCAAACCTAGAGTGGAGATGGCGGTGGGTGGTTTGGATCATGGTGCACTGTAGTCTGGGTCACCTGGGCCAAAACACGGAGGAAATGAGCGCAAATGGACGGAAAAAAGAAGATGCCCAAACTAGCTATCTCATCAATCTTCATCTTGCCCAGGTTTATGAAACAGGCCCACTCCATTAGCTTCTTCTAATGAAACCCTACTGAAGTTAAGCTGCAGCCAGATGCAGACTGAAAAAGCTTGGCCTGCACTGCCGTCTTGGCGTCGATGAGGTCGAACGGCCACTCAACGGTTTCTGGGGGAGTTCGGGAAGTTGGTCCAAAACATCATCGACGAACGCTCAAGACATTCGCCTTCAAAACCCCACCTCCATAGCCCAGCTCGTGTCGACTTCAGCAACCCTATATATTCTAGTCTGAAAATTAGTCAACGTCCAAAGTTTTTACGTAAGAAGTAAGCACTTTGGAATGCAGACCTGCAAGGTCCATTTATTATTTCTCAGACCGCACGATTGGAACTTCCGTGGTCCGATGGATTTGATTGTGAAACATCTCTTCTCGAGTGCAGCCTGTGAGTCCAAGAAGAGATGCTGGCCCTTCAACTTGCACAAATGCTCACACCAGCGCCCGCAAACTACCGTCAGGTACTGGTACTAGAAGACATGTAAAGATCCACCACAACAATGAGACAATAATCAACATAATGAACTTATCAGAGTGCTACGTAAAATGAGGAAAGGTTTCCGGATACGCTTTGCCGTCCACCAGGACACATGGCAGCAGTCCGAACAGAGGTAGACTCCAATATACAGCTTGCATGCCACAATGGCGCTTCAAACTTACATGGCCGGTAGCTATGGGTCCAGTCTCGATCAATACTACGCTGCTGAGGCTGCTACCAGTTCCTGGAGGTACTTGTGTTCTAGCTTCACTTGATCCGAGCTTCCGGGAAGGTTACGATTTCGAGACCTTGAAAAATTCTCAGACGTTGAGGGGACGTTGAGACGCTCTCAATGGGTCTCGGTGAATTTGTTTTTTCCTCTTGTCAAAAGTGTATTCTTCGGACTGCGGTAGCCGCCAAGGTGGCAGGTGGCGCATTTCGATCGTAGATTGCCAATAGTGCAAGATGTCAAATGTGACGCTGGATGCAAAACACCATTAGACGGAATTATCTGTCGAAATATGGTACAAGTAGTTGTTCTTTCGCTATAAACTACATTCCAGAACTTGTCTAGACTCAGTCCGAGGATGACATGACAGGAAACGAGCCCGTCAGAATCGTCATTTCCAACTCCGAGAAACAGAGAACATAGCAGTCTGCCTCGAGAAAGAGAAAGACAGATGCAAGTCAACGGAGATGCTGTAATTAACTCCCTTAGCAACCATCAACGGACACCCTAGCGATATAAAGAGCTCAGATTTAGTCTCCTCCACGATTTTTCAGTTCCACTAGACTCAAGAAAGAAAAGTCTGAAAAGAGAGAGAACAGTCATTGTCTGATTATCTAGATGACCAATGGCTACAAGTACAATTACTTGTTTATTGATTTGTAATTGTCGCAAACAGGACCAGTGGCTTGCTCAGAAATTTCAACAGGCTTCCGGAACGCCATGGGCTTCGTCCTTGTTGTCCGTCTTACTCGAAATGTACAGGATTATCTGGCCAGTTGGCTGTATCTACTTGTTGACCTACTTGTACTTGTACACTAGTGCCACTTCATTTGTTATCATACGGATAGATACCCGCACGTTTTATTATTTAATATCTAGTATCAAAGAATGCGATTGTGTGTCAGAAAAGGTCTGGATCTTCTGACTGTTTCTGTTTCTGTTTCTGTTGATGGCGCTGGCGGTTCTTCTGCAGCCAGGGCCTGATCAGGGAGGGTGAGAGATGTTGCTCGGATTAGTAGTCGAGCTCCACCTTCTCCCTCTTTGTCCTTCCTTCTCTATCTTCTCCTCTCCTCTTTCTCACCAGGCTCTCTGCCAGCTTTCCACTCTCAGCATAACAGGTGGCATGGAAGATCTTATCTCCAACCTGAACCGCGTCTGTCCACACCCAGTCCTCAGCTTCATCACTGAGTTCCGTGTTGAAGCCTCCTGTGCAAATGGGACAAACCTGCTTCTTCTTAGAAGCACTGCTGGGAGCCAGAACCCATTGTTTCTTGACACTTTCCATGTCCACCTTTTGCACCTTTTCTTCTTTTTCCTCCTTTTGCTCTCCTGCCACCCACAAATGCTCGGCCAGGTACCACCTTCTGTTCTGAGCTCGTCCCTCGTCCTGGCGCATCTTCTTATTGATTCGGAAATGCCAGTCCATGTGCTGCATACGGGCATGGTCCTGATTATCTCGGAACCGCCGCCCACAAATGTTGCACACCTTGGGCATCTTGCCGTAAAGGTTGAATACCAGATTGGGGCGAGGCTTCAGCAGAGAAGACGTAGAAAGTTCCACGTCGTTAGACTCCAAGGAAGACAGCAAAGAAGAGGCACCAGAGGCCAACAGAGAGTTAATGTCCGGTGCAGGAACAGTACCAAGGTTAGGAAACATGGGAAAAGGCATACCAGGCATAGGCATGGGTGGAACAGGCATACCAGGCATAGCCGGCATTCCAGGCATTCCAGGCATACCAGGCATTCCAGGCATTCCACCAGGTATACCTCCTGCTAACAAGCCAGCGGCTTGTAGGGAAGCTAGCAAGTTGCTTGGTGTCGTCTGCTGCTGTTGCTGCTGCTGCTGCTGCTGCTGCTGCTTTAGTCGCTCGTTTTCTTCGTATTCAGCAAGCTTCTTCTCCTCATGGGCTAGAGAAGAGGCCAATTGAGCCTCAATATTGGACAGGTACGACACAGGAATGGCCTGGGACTGAAGAACGGCCTGTAGCTGTTTGAGGACAGGAATCCGTTCCTTGGCATCGACGTCGCCTGGAATATGTTGTAGACGGTCAGAAGTCATGTCGATCACGTGGCTGCACTTCTCCAGCAGCTGGGGTTGTGTCAGGCCCGCATTGGGCACTCCGAAACCTCCTTGGCCGGGAACTGGAGTGCCTAGAGGTGGAGTAGCGGGGTTGGGGGTGCCCAGGTTGGGGGTTGCGGGGTTTGGCGTGGCCCGTGATGTGACTTCGTTGATTCGTTCCAGAAAAGAGGCAATCTTTCGCATGGGTTCTGCTGGGAACAGCATGCCGCCTGTGGCCGACGTTTTCCAGGTGCCGTACAGCTCGATCAGTTTTCGTCGGATCGATTCGGGAACTTGGGTGTATGTGTCGGCAAAAGTGCGGTACAAGTTGATACCGAAGCAGGTTGTGTATGGTGCTCCTACGTTCTTGCAGATGGAGTCGAGCAGGTACATTGCTGGCAGCTTGTACTCTGGAGCGCACTGGGTTAGTATGTAGAGATAGATATAGGCGGCGGTGGCATATGGAAAAGATTATTGATGTGTCGTCATTCGCAGTATGATCTCTCGTCAGTCACTAATCACATCGTTGTCTCGAAGACATAACGACAGCCTGGAGATACAAACTCCATCACACGAGTTGGACCAAGCCAATCGATGGATCAGAGGTTGTATACATGTGCCACGTTGCAAAATCAATCGTCAACCTGTCCCAAGCTTCATGTTAACGCCACCCATAACCACAGTCGCAGCACATGATCACCAACATGACACCCTACGCCTTATTAAACACCGTCACTCTTTGATAGAGCATGAGTCGGCGTACCGTGTGGCCGGCACCGGTGTTTTCAGGTCGCTCTGTGTCCTTTGATCTCGTCCTTGTCGTCGGCATCTCCTCATTGTGGTTCCTCCGCTACTCACCTTACTTATTCGCTCCTCAATGGCTCGGGTAATGGCCTTGGCAGCGTGTCTGTTTTCCTCGGCAATCACCGTGAGGTTGGTGATGATGGGCTTCTGGACCCCCGTCAGCTCCTCCAGAGCGTACAGGTAGTCCTCTCGAATCTCATCCAGCTCGGACATTACATATATAGTGTCGCTGACGTTGATACTACGAGGAGGAAAGAGTCTTGCAGATGGATGCACGGCCTGAAAAAACTTTAATATTTAGTCATGTGACCAGCAAAGTTGCAAGAGTGCTGACTTATCAACCACGGTGCGAATTGAACGGCGAATTGCAGGAACAAAAGAAAAAAGCCATCCATCAAACTTGCGCTCCCATTTCCACTTCTCCCCTAACCCTTTATATATCTACAATGTACTGTACGTGCTGTTTGTACTTGTCCTCCAACTTTTAGTGTATGGCTCTTGTCTGGTGGCATTTTTTTTTAATTTTTTTTAATTTTTTTTAATTTTTTAATTTTATTTTTTTCAAGTTTGCTCTCTCCAGTTCGATTCCTGCTCTTTTTATTTTTATTTTTATTTTTATTTTTATTTTTATTTTTATTTTTATTTTTATTTATTTTTACTTTTTACCAACTACAAGTGTTATCGTACGTTCGATTCTGACGTAGACCATTAAAGTTCGTGGAGATTAGCTCTCCGGAAATGAGCCGAGGTAGCACGAGGCGGAATTATGGATGGGATATGCGATGGCCGCGAGCCCGTAATGTCCACAATCAATTGTCGCTCACAAAAAGACCCGCTTTATCACCGCATTTCTCCGAAATTGGCCCTTGTTGGCGCGGAAAACCCCGACCGTTGGCTTCTCCACCTTTCTCACGTTGAGCAACTATTGTAGTTGAAACTTTAACCAACGTTATCAGATTTTAGTTGCCGAAACTGGCCAACCAGGAGGCGGCAAAAGCCACCACAACAGCCCTTGCAGCGCCCATGGCACACGCGCCTCTGCTATCTTTGCGCGGTTGGGCGCTATCCGGATAATTAGGCGGGGGTCCGCGTTTTGGCCGAGCGTCGGAAACTTTCGGATCTCGCACGGTAATTGTCGGGTGATAGACAGGGCCAGTATGACCAGCATCGCAGTTGGTGAGCAGCACAACAGGTCCGTCGAGCGCCGTCACGGAGGCGTTTGTGGCCTATCCCGAGCAATCCGGGCACGGTGGGCCACGTGACTCCCTCCCCTCCCCCTGCGCACACAAAACACACCCTGGTTTGAGCGCTGATACTTTGGCTGTTGGTTCCCAATCGCTGCCCCTCTGGAGAAACTTCGGAGCTGCATCCTGACTCACTTTGGAATTTTTGTCTTGGTGAAAAACCCAAACTGTATATCAGTGTCTGCTTTCCCTCCACACCTTTTGCACTTCTCCAGTCTCCATCGCTACCGTCCAACAAATGGCTCCTATTTCGTCCGATAAGAAGCAGTCTGGTGCTGCCCGAGTTCTCGGTTCTGGTGAGTATTGAATGTGGGCGTGGGCGCCTGGACCCCTGAAAACGACGGGCTCTCAGCCGGTCGCTTGGGATGCGCGCCGGTGTCGGCCTTTTTTCGGTCACCATGGCACCACCGCAGACCCATGTGGCATGTGAATATGACCACAAAAAGGTCGCGAGGAGGGATTGAAAAATAACAGAACCAGGGCGCCAAACACACCCCGTCTTTTTATCAGCGGCCGGCGATGATATGTTTCTGTTCCTTGCTTCTGGAAACACGCCCTTGTGTCTCTTCAGCCGTGTGCGCTCTTGTGTTGGGTGATATATGGGAAAAGGTGGTGGCGCTTGTGGGGTTCCCGTGGTTGATTTCAAGACACTTTGACGAGGTTGCACTCTGCCCAGCGACCGCACCTCTCAGTGACCCTGATTACGTTGATCGTATTGTCGTACGGCTGGGTTCAGGGAACCAATCAACTAGAGCGTTAATAAGCAAGTTTGATAGGAAGTAGACTGGCCCGGAAGAGTGTGAATTCACCCGTGGAGCTCCTACCGGATCATTCAGGGGTCCAGATCAACTGATTGACCGGTTTCAAACACCATTCTTCCATCGCTACACTCTTCACCCCATACGTTCTCATAACCCCTCCAGCCACACATGTGCTCCTTGTGGCATCATCCTCCCATGCCGTGACATTGTCTAACCCAGCCTCCGCCGGTATTGCCGAGCTCGCCGTCTTCCACCCCGTCGACACCATCGCCAAGCGACTCATGTCCAACCATGGTAAGATCACTTCTGCGTCTCACCTGAACCAGGTCATTTTCCGAGACTACGCCGACGCCTCCATCGGCAAGCGATTCAGATCCCTGTTCCCCGGCCTGGGATACGCCGCCTGCTACAAGGTTCTGCAGCGAGTTTACAAGTACGGTGGCCAGCCCTTCGTCAACGAGTACCTGTCCAAGGCCTGGGGCTCCACCTACGAGCAGGCCTTCGGCAAGAAGACCGGAAAGGCTCTTCTGTCTGCCACCGCCGGTTCCTTGATCGGTATCGGAGAGATTGTTCTCCTGCCCCTCGATGTCCTCAAGATCAAGCGACAGACTAACCCCGAGGCTTTCAAGGGCCGAGGCTTCTTCAAGATCATCCAGGAGGAGGGTATGGGTCTGTACCGAGGCTGGGGCTGGACCGCTGCCCGAAACGCCCCCGGATCCTTTGCTCTGTTTGGAGGTAACGCCTTTGCCAAGGAGTACATTCTGCGACTCCAGGACTACTCCCAGGCCACCTGGGGCCAGAACATTATTGCCTCTTTCTTCGGTGCCTCTGCCTCTCTGATTGTCTCTGCTCCTCTCGATGTCATCAAGACCCGAATCCAGAACCGAAACTTCGACAACCCCCAGTCCGGTCTGCAGATCATCAAGAACATGGTTGCCACCGAGGGTCCCGGCGCCTTCTTCAAGGGTCTTGTGCCCAAGCTTCTGACTGCTGGCCCCAAGCTCGTCTTCTCTTTCGCTCTGGCCCAGTCTCTGATCCCCGCCTTTGACAAGATGCTCTCCCAGAAATAAGTATAGGTGAGGAGCCTTTGTATATAATATATGGAATGATGTAACGACACAGCAATCGGTGTAGTTTCGTTGAATGGCCAAGCCCATGGCTCCACCACTGCATGCTGGATATACGCACTAGTGGCGATGGTAGTGGTGTTTTTTAGCGTCTTAGCGTGTCAGAATAGCGTGAACAGTAGCGTTGTCGGAGACAAACTGCCTGGAGTGTATGCCATTCCAATGAATGATGATGATATCAGGGCTTGTAGTTGCAGTAGTAGTTACTGTACATACTGAGATGTACGCAACACGGTCTCACAGTTTCAGTTCTTCTGGCACGCCTTCCATGGGTATCAGAAGAGTTCCAGTCCAGTAGGAATACGGTAATGGCAGGATCAGTGACCGATCATCGAGCCCGACCACGGCCCAATTGTATCCCCAGTAACGAAAATGGGGATTGACTGAAGGGACATGAGAAGTGGGAGAGCTCAGCTGAAGAAAATGCCACCCATAGCATGAGTACTCAGTGACAGTCTCAGACACAGCCATAGACTCCTGCTAGCCCTCGTGCCGTAGGGCATTCATAGACTGTCTCGTAGACCGCCATCATTCGTAGATCGCCATCATCTGTCATGCCACTTGCGTTAGTGTCATCTTGAGTCAGGGGTGAGGGCTGGGAGCGGCTCGAAATGGGTAGAGAGGGCCGCACGAGCCGTTTGTGGTGCAATTTATGCCGATTCAGTGTTGAAAAACGCTGCAAAAACGCACCTATCTGCTTCCCTCGGAATCTCCACACCCCGCAAAAGATTGCATAATCGCTTCTTAAAGTTGCCGATAGTGGGTTAGGGTTGTCTCCAATAAGGTTCTCCGCAGGCTCCAACCGAGGTTAGGGGACCACCCCGCCACTGGTGCCATCACACTGTGATTTTTTTACCACCCTTCTTTTTTTCCCCTAAAAAAAAAACCATCGCCACATCATGTCGACTGAAGCTACCGAAACCCATCCCTTCCCCGTTAAGCACGGAAAGGTGTCGTACTACACGGCCAAGGACGGGCAAAAACTGCGAGTGGGCGAGTGGGGCACCGAGCTGGCCCAGCCCAAGGGCAAGCTGGTTTTCAACCACGGATTCACCGAACATATTGGAGTGTTCGACGAGCTGTTCAAGCGAATGGTGGACAACGGCTACTACGTGCTTGCGCTGGATCAGCGAGGAGCCGGAGAACAGTGCCAGGGCAAGAAGTACGGCATCACCAACGAGACGTTTGTGTACGAGGATCTCAACGGGGTGATCAAGGAGTATCTGGTGAAGAACAACAGCATTGAACAGAGCAAAAAAGAGAAGCTGTTCATCTGGGGCCACTCAATGGGCGGCGGCATTGCTCTCAACTACGGAGTCAAGGGTCTTTACCGAGACCATTTCACCGGCTTTATTGGTTGCGCTCCTCTGGTCCAGCTTCACCCGGCCTCTGTGCCCAACTTCATTTTGCGAGGCGCCATGGAGGTGCTTGCCCGAGCCTGGCCCACTCTTCATTTCCCCGCCGACCTCAAAATGGACTACATTGTGTCCAACCCCGACTCCCAGAAGAAGCTGGAGGCCGACGAGTGGATCCGACCCATGTGCACCGTCAAGCAGATGTACGACATGTTCCAGCGAGGCAACGCCCTGGTTGACCCCGATTACGTGGCCAACTACCAGCGCGACGCCGCCGTGCTCATCTACCACTCGGAACACGACAAGATCAACTGGTACGAGGCCAGCAAAAAGTTCATTGACGCGGTTCCCGTCAAGGACAAGCAGCTGTTTGATGCCAAGGGATGCGAGCACTCCATTCATCTGGAGCAGGCTGAGAAGGAGAAGCCTGCCTTTGACACGTTGATCAACTTCTTGGACGAGCACACCAAGCAGTAGGTGAATGATGAGACCATGAGAGTGGCAGAGTGGCAGTACCACTGAGAATGGCGTGTTACGAGTCAATAAGATAGCAGAGAGCCCATTGAGCTCCATCAATAGTAATTTATGAGTTATTGTATGTGCACTGTATTGGTCAGATCGCTACAGTTCAAGAACTACAAGTAGACTGCTATGATATACAGACCCGAAACATTGTCGAAAAGCGGCTCCAGAGAAGCAGCTATGATTGAAATGATGTTAGCCTTGACAACGGCTGATCATTTGTCTTTCTCTGGCTATTTAGTTCCAGGCTATCTTTGTTTCTTTTATCTAGCGAGCGGTGGAATCAACAGAAGACAACCCGTGCTTAGATGTGTTATCAAGTGCAATACAAGTAGCCCCCATGGAACAGGCATGGCTGTATTGTCCACATTGATATTTCCCGGGAAACAGGGATTACTTGTAGTATCTGGTCTGTTCCCCAAGTCTAGACTCGGCAAACTCCATTTCCTTCTCAGATTCGTGTTAGTCAGCAGGAGCCGTACTCTTGTGGTTCCGTATGAATGATCCAACGCCCACCACTATCTATCCGCGCACAATACTTGTACGACAATGGCCGTGAAGTGTGTCTCGTAGGTGGGCTGAATTGTAGGAGCTGAAAATCTCTAGAATACCGGCTCTAACTCCCCAGAATCAAACACACTTGAGCTCAATTCTAGAGGCCAGTCAAAGTCTCTATAATAGTCGTCGACTTGCCACTGGTTGTTAAGATGCAGCTCGTCCTTGCCCTGGTCCTGTTTAGTTTTCCGACGTTTCATCTTCTTCAGTTTTCTCGCCTTCTTGAGCTCACCCCTTGTGTCTTTTTCACACAGGTCGTCAAAGAATCCAGCCAAATTGCTGTCCTTGCTTTTTCCATCAATAATCTCAGAAAATTTGGTCTCCACAACGTCCATGACTCTCTTCTCACACGTGTAAAAGCCCAACGTGCCGTTTTCCACAAAAGGTATACCAAACTGATCAGCAACAGCCGCGTCCTTGGCGAAATAAGTCGTTCCTGTCTTTAAATCACCAACCACCCTTCCAGTCCCTCTAATGCCAACATACCGGCTCAGGTCTCCTGGTCCTTGCATGATCCTAAACTCCACTCCCTCCTCCATGACGGCCTGTCTAGAATCCAACAGAGAGCCAATGGCGGGGAATGCTTGATTCCAGGCACACAGAACTTCATTGCCGGGTGTTCGGATGCCTAAATCGACCCACAGTCGGTGAAAACGACCTTCGTAAAACAGAAACAGGTACCCCTCATAGCACACGAAGAACCGCTGATGAATGTTGTAGAAAAGAGGCAGTTGCTGAAACCGCGTGAGTTGACAGATCACCAACGGGTTCATGTTGTCGTCAATGTGGAACAGCTGGGAGTTTTCTGTTCCATCGCCCACCAGCCTGTACATCAAAGCTCCTCTTTCCGGTAGAAGATTGATCATTCCCGTCTCGTTATGATCTGACTTGTAAAGCCGGCGAGTACCGTTGGACATTTCGGGGTCCACCTCAAGTCTTGTGGTGGTGGGGGTCTTGAGAAGCAGCTCCTCCGCAGGTCCATGATTTGAAGTTGAGAATCGAACCAGCACAAACGTTTCATTCTCGTCAATGACCTCGATCGTCCCACCGTCCTCTTCAGTAGTTAACTGCACCTCGATTCCAGATGAGGAGGAGACGGCTTTATTTGTGAGTGCGGTAGATGTTTTGGGAGGGCTCCACTTGTCGTAATCCGACTTGGAGATTTCCATGGAGGATAAGTCGAGGGCCGTTTTTGATGAAAGCAGCTGAACGCCCTCCAAAACGGCGTATTTCCCCACCGTCGTTTCAATGCGCTCCTCTGGAAAAAGAGGGTTCATGCTAAAACGTCTCTGAGCATCTCGTGAAATGTCCACACTAGTCACTTCCTCCACCTTGTTGCAACTCAGCGACAGAGGCACCGCCATGGATTTGAGCAAAACAGGTCTGTCGCCTAGACCGTGGGTATCTGCCAACGCTCGCTTAGTGCGTGAAACCACAACCAGAGCACATGTTGTCCACGAGGAGAAATCACCGCCACCTAAACCGAACCACGGAACCCGCTCCAACACTTTGGCACGAACCACAGAAGTGTCCAGAGCAGCCCAGACCGCCCGCGACGATCTGGTCACGTGACTCAAAGCCACGCACGACTCCAGGTCCGCCATTCGAAACACGTCCACCAGAATATCGTCAGTTATCATAGAAAAAAATGGGTGGGGGAGGTTAGTTTTGTCTGCATGTTCATGCAGCACACAGACAAGGAGGAGGAGGGGTGCCGCAACGTCGTTATGTGTTTCTATTATGTCGAGTCGAATTAATTGCCGATATCTTCGGCCTTATCGGGGTTTAGGTTGGAACTTTAAATATAAACAGTAGATAATCGTGACACAAAATCGGGGAGAAAAAAATACATATACTTGTACATGTACTCGTACGTACTTCGAGTCGTGCGGTGATATCGCCTACCATGGCTGATATTGCTAAAGTGGTCGATTAGGCGGACCATGTACGAGATGCTCCTTTCAAGAATTCCACCGGATTGTTGTAGTGGAAAAGACTCAAAGACCTTAAGAAAAGACTAACAAGAGTTGTAAGTAATTTAATAGTTTCAAATACTTATATTCAACCATGGTTAACGGACAATGATGGTGCTAAAAGTGTAGAGTACATGATGGTAACTAGTAACTAACACTTCACCTGTATATATACCATTACTTGACATGTCTAGAGACCACTGATACTTCCCCCAATCGACCAACTGATTTCCCTCCAACTCTTCTAACCCACCTGGTAGTGTATATATAGATTGAAGGGTAGAAGTAGTGTATATATTGAAGGGTAGTGTATCGTACCTGGAAGTCAGATGTTACAACACGTTTCTATATACCGGCGTCTATTCGTACTCTGTCTAGTCTGATCTTACCAACTGCTTCGTACGACCCAAACGCCCAGTTGTGTACACAGCAACAATCGGAAGAAATGTCCCATGTATCTGCCACTTTCACTCAATGACTCTGGAAACCTCAGACAGCCGTACTCCTCTCATGTGACCGGTGAACTTCTAACCAAAGGCGATTGGCGAAGGGTATAACCGGTATTCCATTGTCTTGAGCACAGCGATGAGTCTCTCGATACGCACACTACGATATACATTTGAAGACGAGACTCCAAGTAGTGATGCCGTAGGAAACTCGGGTTCAATGATGTATAGACAGACGTCTGGGTTGTAAGTGTGTTGAAACACAATGTGTGATATCTGATTACCACGTTTAGGGATCATTGTCGGAACAATCCCTAGCAAGGGATGTGTAAGCCGTTGTGTATTGGTTACACAAGATTTATCGTTATTGAACATCTTCAACGGTGCTCAGTGCCTCTAACGGAACCTCAACCAGATGAGAATTGCCTGCTTCTGTTGTCCAGTAGGACTTACTGTTTGTTTATTGTCTTGTGAGTCGTAGTCTTGGTCCTCATTGACTTGGTCAGCCTGATCTGTGACACATGCTCCCAAAAATTCACGGTGGTGTCGCAGAATTTGAGATGGAGTCGAAAACTGGTGATGCAGTGCATTCAAAACTGAGATAGTTGTAACGATTTGCAGTAGTCAGTCAGTAGTCTGTTTGTAGTGTTGTCGTCAGTAGTCAGTTTGATGCCAGCTTCCTTTAGGATGACATTAGTGTGGATGTCAGACCACTGAAGGGTAAGTTCTTGTGTTGCTTATGGTGTAAAGTGGTCAGAGAACAACTACTTGGTCGACAGGATCATCATTCCAACAACTCTACGACATCAACCAAGCTCTTGACGACAAATTGGTCATCTGAGACCTTCAGAATGTCTTTCTTCAACTCCACCGCTTGGTTCTCTTCAAACTCGTGGAACTCTTGAAACCCTTCGGATCTGTCCACCAGGATCGTCACCCACCCTGGAACAGATACCAGGTCCTTCTTACGCTCGTCTCCGACATGGTACAGGAGATTATCGCCATCACTGTCCTTGTGGGTCACTCCAAAGATATTTTCGACGTTCTTCCAGGCCCGAATATCCGGCTTTTCCACCTCGGTATCAAACGACAGAATCGTTTCGTCCAGGTACTGGGTCAGGCCGAGATCGTGAAGAACATCAATCACGCGGGGGTCCATGTTGCTCAGAGCAGCAGTGCGGAAACCCATGGCCCGCACCTTGGTCAACAGAGGAATAGCATCTTCGTACAGGTGGTAAGGCTTGGTGGTGCCAAAGTGGTCGTAGACATGATGGGCTGTTTGCAGGGAGATTTTGTTTTCAAACGTCTCGCGGATCACCAGACACCACCATTGCTCGTATCCAATCGTCTCCTTTCCATACAACGGGTACTCCTTGAATAGCCGCTTGAATGCCTTGTGGAAGCCGGCCTGAACTTGGGCCACGGTGGCGGAGCACTTTTCGTGCTGCTGCACAATTCTGAGATACTGTGCGGGCACCGACGGTCGCGGCACAAACAGCGTGCCAAACACGTCAATCGTGAGAATCTTCATGGACGAAATGTGGTTGTTCAATTACCCGTAACTGGCGTAAGTGGTTGTTGCAAGGAGACTGACTGCCTGAGCTGAGGGTTAGAGTTGTTATCGATGCGAGATGATAGATTGCTCGCGGTGAAATGGAGAGGTGGGGGAGTTGGGGTTAGTGAAATAAGAGGCGGTTGAGGTGGTAGATGGCGGTGCACAGTACAGTACGTACAGTATGGTAATTACGCCGTTGCCGGAGCTTATACCAGAACCTGCCAAATGTGCTCTGAAAAGTTTTTAGATCTTTTAACTAATATCTCACTATAATAGTCATTAGCTTAAGTAAGTTGAAAAAAGGTGGAAACCATGCAGAAAAAAAAAAAAAAAAACACTCTGAATCACCCTTCAAGTGGAAATTAGATAATTGCAATGGAATTATTTGAAAGCGGACAATCATAACTACCAATTAACACACTTCTACTTGCTCTGAAGCCATAACCACCGACTACAATACTGCGTGGAGATACCTTGGACTCCACTACAATAGTACATACAGTACATACAGCAAGACCCAGATCTGCTAGGGTCCGCAAAAGATATGGTAGAGTCAGAAGATTCATATTGTGAGTGTGTACGAAGACTTGCTTGATCTCAACCCACCACTTGCAGCAACAGATTCGGAAGAGCTTCGGGGTTGAGTGGTTCGTAGACGATGATGGTAGGGTTTCTGAGATTGTCTTTTCGTGCGACTGCTAACGAATGAAGAATTACTTTTCAGAGTGAAAAAAAAGGCTCAAGTCCTGGACACTGTTAGTACAATACTTGCTCACGGTTGACTTAATCGATGGACTGTTGTCCTGCTGAGTTGTGTTGGAAAGACAAGCTCTTTACGCTCATGTTGCTACCAGTGTTGTTCTAAACAACTACAATGTCGATTTGTTGTACAGTAGTCGATGATACGCCCCAAAGACTCCTCAATTGTTTTTGGAAGTCCAGCTGTTGTTGTCGTCCAGCTGTTGTGCAGAACTTGTCGTCCAGGACTTGTTGTGGTTTTTGGCGGCAAGGAATAAGCGATTAAGTCGACATATCAAAGAATCGAAAGAGATGACTCAGTCGGTTCTTGGAACTGCTAAACAGGAGCTATCGTATTCGATTTTGGTATCAAAATGATCGTCTCAAATCACCCCGTCTATACACCCTATTGAGAATCAGGTAGCACGTCGTGAACCCGTTCTCATTGCAAAAAGTCACAATCCATACCCAAGAAAAATAAACAAGCAGAAAATAGTCGATTGAAACCAAAGGTCGCCTCCGTCGACTGTAGCTCACGCGACCAAACGAACACACATCTAGGACTGTCCTATCTGTATCGAGCGAGTGACAAACTCTATTTTTAGCCGAAATCCGATTGACGAACCTTAATACCCCTTGTTTTGCGTTAATCCAATTGTCTCCTGAACGCCGGCGAGGTGTCCCTGGCGGTCTGAGATGCGCTGGATACGGAGAATACGATGCGGCGCGAATCCGGCCGAGTTGTCTGTTTGTTTCCAGGACCAGTATTGGGCGAGATAGGTCAAATGAGGGTGAAGAGGGCGCCCTGGACTGTCTGAGACGAACGAGTATTCATACCGGCACTGTACTTGTAGTCGGTGGACATGTATTGTTCCTGACTGGCGCATGGAGGCTCTCTTGCGTCAATCTGTCTTTCCATTCAATGTTTCTTTGATTCTATGTTTAAACAGACAGTTTGAGACAAGATTCTCCTAAGAAAAAGCAACGGGTTTACAACACAAGGCTGGAGTTGTCAAACTCGACTGATAGATGGATATAACGGCAGCAAATGACACGCGTTTCATGCACCAAGTCTGACGTGAGTATAGTGCAATATGTACTTGTACTCGCACCCGTACAGTTAAGTCACGCGTCTGTCTGTAGGTGGTTTGGGCGCTTGTAATCGCGTCTGTCAAGATTTCCATGGGTTGGATTAAGTGATGAAGCACCAGATCAACTCGAATCTACATCGAGAGCCGTTTGGTGTGAGATTAATGTCAGATACACGTGTGTTGGCGGGGTTTTGGTGCATCTGACTTAAGGGGGATAATTGGCCGATAGTCTGAATGAGATGACGATAAGGAGTTGGGAGAAGGTCTATTAAAATTCGGAAAAAAAAGGGGGAAAATAGGGAAAAAAGGGAAAAAAATAGGGAAAAAAATCGTGGTAACATCAGAATAACACCTACCTCTTCGGATTTAAGTCTCTTCATATTCAACCCAACAAAGGGCCCAAAATAAATCAGCCATCCCGTTCCTTCAAGGTTGGTTTAATTTTTTTTTATTTAAAAAAAATCACACCTCAGAAGGCTACGACGAAAAGTAAAATCCGCCGTCTAAATAACCTTGTCAACTATGGCAGGATACCTGTCAGATAGTTATAGTATGTTGTAAAAGAGACGAGCAAAGGGGGGAAAAGGAGCCAGAGTCCGTCTAGGTCACGTGTTACCTAACCCTCTCCCCTAACCCCTACCCATACCCTCTGTTTTCCTGGCAACCTCAGCTCACGTGACCCGAACTTCTCCCACCCCCCGTCACGTTCCCCACCCCCTATCTTAGCTGCCAAACTCAAATGACACGCACCTCTCACGCTACCACCTAACCGCCGCCAGAACCGTGATTACCACCTCTTTCGACGTACGTGAGGACAAGCCGCCGCCTGAAAACACCCTGCCCGTTTGTGACGAGACCTGAGAGAAATCCGCACACTTGTCCACGTTTCGCAGTTCACACGCCATCAAAGACCCAAAAACACCAACACCAACACAAACACGTCGTTCCTTGCTAGTTTTCGTTTGTCAAATACACAGTGAGTATGAGAGAAGAGGGAGGAGGGAGTGAGGGAGTGAGTGAGGGAGTGAGGGAGTGAGGGAGTGAGGAAGGGAGTGAGGGAGAGCGGAGAGCGTGAAAAGGGTGTGAAGAGAACGTGTACAGAGCGTGAACAGAGCGTGAACAGAACGTGAAGATATACTTGTTGCTAGGACCATATACCTTGGTCGAACGCGATATGGGAACCTGACGGTTCGAACTACGTGTTCGCTTCTAAGACCCGACTGTTGAGAGTCACGTGTGTGAACCCATGTTCGTTTTTGACGTGATTTCATTACGTCCACCGGAATTTGATTCTCACCATGTCTTTGACGTGAATGCGATTCTTACACCACCTGTGCACTTCAATGGCCGCGTTTTCTTATACACGTCTGTGCTCTCTGTCCAGTCCCGAGCCCGGAGCCCTACTGCCTTCATGCTACTTTCATCAGAGGCTTCATTGCCGTTCTCTTCATCCAACATGACAACTACAGTTGTCTTACTTTGGTCCTTATCGCGGGCTATTCCGTTCTCACCACAGTCGGTCACGCGCAGCATCCTTGGCTGAACCACAATCAGCATTTCATTTCCACACTTCACCCATACCAGACCATACTAACCCAGATGGGCAATTCCATGTCTAAAATCCTCGCCAAGCTGTTTGGCAGCCGAGAATGTCGAATTCTGATGCTCGGGCTCGACGCCGCCGGCAAAACCACCATTCTCTACAAGCTCAAGCTCAACCAGGGCATCTCCACCGTCCCCACCGTGGGCTTCAACGTTGAAGTGCTGACGTACAAAAACATCAAATTCAACGTGTGGGACGTAGGAGGGCAGGATAAGATCCGTCCTTTGTGGCGCCACTACTTCACCGGAACCGAGGGTCTGATTTTCGTGGTGGACTCTGCCGACCGTGCTCGAATCGACGAGGCTCGACAGGAGCTGCACCGAATCATCAACGACCGAGAAATGAAGGACGTTTTGCTACTGGTGTTTGCCAACAAGCAGGATCTTAAGGAAGCCATGCATCCCAAGGAGGTGACCGAAAAGCTGCAACTGAACTCGCTCAAGGGCCGAACTTGGTGCGTGGTGGCTTCCACCGCCAAGACCGGAGAGGGTCTGGTTGAGGGTCTGTCTTGGTTGTCGAGTAATTTGCCTTCTATGGATAAGTAGAGCGCGAGGAGATGGATTGACATGGGCCAACGGATTGACATGGGCCAACAGGGGCTGAAAGAAGGACACTCGAGAGAGTCATGTAAAGTTTTATTGTTTAATTAATTGTTGTATGGATTCAGTATGAGCTCGGTGCCTTTCAGGCCATTTTTCGCTACATAAGTACCAATGTGTCTGTATAAATAAGTAGTTGCTGGAGCTCGTTGTAGTTCCCATTAGCTCGTGGCTTCCTCGAGCTTTCACATCATCATCATTAGCCGTTCTTCAGACGATGTTGGCCATCTCGAGACGTGGTTGGAGTCAGGCGAGGTATCGACATCTTAGGGGGTTTTTAGATGCGTTTTGGAAGGGTGCACTGCCTCGGAAAAAGGGAGCTGTTGTCAACTTCCCTCCCCCTAGGGTCTGACTACCGCTCACTCAATGTCGAGATAGCGCTGTCTATTCCTCAGCTGGACCATTTCGGCTGTACTTTCGCTCAAGACCTCGATTTCGACGGCAGGAACGCCAGCCCATCGCGTGAAAGGGGCACATACCGTTCTTGGAGGTATCACCGACCCCGGATCAACAATGACACAATCTTTGATGATACAGAACTTGCCAATCTCGCAATTGTCGCCTATTTCCACGTTGGAGCCGATCTGAACAGCTTGGGTCACACTGTTGTCGCCAATGTAGACGTAGTCGCCAATTCTAACGGGATAGTAGTTTTCCTTGGCCTCGTCTTTGCAAGGTGGTTCCACAGTCACCTGCGTCGAGATGATGCAGTAACGTCCAATTGCGATGATTGGAGCGGTGCTTCCTGGTCGTTGGAGGTCGCCTCTAATCTTGGATCCGTGATCTATCACGGTCTTGCCTCCTAGCACGATATTCTGGAGTCCTGACAGAGCAGCTTTTCTCGAAATGCGGTTCCCAGACTCGGTGATGACGTAGGCGGATTTGGGTGTTTTTTTCGGTGGCATGGCCGACTATGGGTGTATTGGTGTATTATGACGAGTCTGAGGTCAGGAGGAACTGGCTAGATCGCTGAAATGGCGGGTTTGAGGGATGCTGACGGCGAGCGAATCAACCTGGCGTTGGTTTGGTGTACCACCAACTTTACATTCCATATTGGCGGCATGATTAGAGTTTTAGTTGGGATTATTTGGATGCTATAGAAATACTTGAAAAATTTGTTAAGACACAAGAGCGGAGAATAATGGGAAATATTTGGTGAGTCGTGTGTCTGGCGTGTTATAATAAGTGTTTATGATATCTTATTTGTGTGACAATCATAATTGTCAAAAACTCTAGCCTCTAGTTTCCCTTTGAGTAATCCTATGGTCTGATGAAAGTGAGGTTTTTCTAGTTTGTCATTTGTTTAGATGTGATTATTTCTCTTAACATCTGTTGAGTGTAGTTCAGATAAAACCGATATCCTAAGTAAATAACTGGATGTGAGATTCTTCAAATAATTCACTTGAGGGTAATACCCCAACACTCAAGACTCTCTTCATGTATTCAATACACCTGGAATCAGTTATGATGGCAATCTGGTCACCGACAGACGTTTTTCACGTCCTACAGTGCATATTGGAACCACCAGCTCTTCGAACATTGTCTCTTGTTGAAGTAGTTATTAGTGTTTGGTGGTCGGTAATAGGTAATTACTAACTAGACCTTGACTTGATCCTGAAGGACACCTGAGAGGGACGCTATGACTGGAGCTCGACAGACCGTTATTTAGATGACCAGAGATGATTCCTGTGGATGTTCCGCTCTCTTGTTTCAATACAATGACTCTACAGTAGGCAGGCTATCAGAACAGACCCGTCTGTCTATAGTTGGGTGAATGAGCAAGAGGCGAGTGATAAAAATGAGGTTAGGAGGTGGTAGAAATCAGTGGATGTTGGTGGATCCTGCTTTCAGTGACAGGTTTTTTTGTTGTGCTCAGTGGCAGTTTTTAATTTATTTATTTTTGTGGTTGTTTAATTTTTTCTGGTTTTTTAATTTTTTGTGATTTTTGTGATTTTTTGTGGTTTTTTAATTTTTTGTGATTTTTTTTATTTAACTTGATAATGAAATTTGATGCGCTGATTGTGACATATTTTAATACTACAAACACCCTCAACAGTCACAAAGATAGATCAAAAGACGACGCTGATCAGATCTCTGCTATTTACATTGCTATGGCATTACTGATGGGTGTTATATCATCAGATGTGTTTCTGGAACATTAGATGGTCGGACCTAAACGGATGGATGGAGCTACGAGAGCAGGAACCATGTAGAGAGACTAAGTTCAATCTGCTGGATTTTCTGTACCTCTTGGATCTACTGGCTTTCTCGTGGCATCTCTGCAGCGTCTTGCACATGAAGAATCTCGGGTGGAGATGTACGAGTATCATCCTGTACCACAACCGGCCCCAGAAATGTGAAATTCGGTGAACCCGAAACGGAAATAGACAACAGGGAGTCGGAAAACAGAAACCATACTCACCTAGCAATATCGTGGCTCATTATTCAGTCTTATTTATGTTCTCAATTCCATCTAGATCGAGCCTCCGACAGCACTGAACGAACTTCGACAGCACTGAACGAACTTCCGACAGCACTGAACGAACTTCCGACAGCACTGAACGAACTTCCGACAGCACTGAGCAACCTGCCAACAGGCCACCAGAGAGACCGGAGCCTACCGGATGTATGTTTGCTTGTCTTTGGAACCAGGTAAAATGGTTCTTCAAGTTCAACTACAGCATTAGCAACCTGTGGCCTACCAGATACTACAAGTACTCGTCTCTTACTAGCTCCTCCTGCTGACACCTCAATATCAGCGGGCTCTAGAGTGGCGAAAATTTTTCGTGGCACAGCCTAGACACAGCCTGGATACAGCCTGGATACAGTCTGATATAGCCTCGATACAACGGGAAAAAAGCCGCTTCGATTCTGATTATTTCTCTCAAGTTGCAGTTGCATTAGTGTCGTGGATAGTGATAAAAAAAATTAAAAAAATCGCTAATTACGTTGTCATGGTTTACTACAAGTAGGCTATTTTGGGTGCATGTCGATGGCACAAATATTTGGTGACGATTTGTTTTCATTTTCCCAATTTCACAATTCCCCAATTTCTCCAGAATTAATTTTTTTTGTTGAAAATCCGCCCGTCCCATTTTTTTCCTATTTTTTTCCTCTGCTTTTTTTCCCCTTTGTTCAGCCTTGGCAAGTTGGGAAACCTTATGTTAAATGACCGAATTTCGGCACAAAAATGCCTGAAAAATGCGTGAAAAAAATGTCGTCCCAACCGGCAAATCATGTGCCTGATCAGCGTATCTGATCAGCACATGGCCAACATGAGGAATGTACGAGTGGAGTCAGGTTAGGGTGTGTGGGGAGCAATTGTTCTCAGCTAATTAGCAGAATTGTTCGGTAAAAAAATAAAAATATAAAAAGTTGTAAAAGGCCGTGGGACATGGCAGCACCAACACAACGACGGATAAAAATACATTGGAAATATGTGCCCGTGTTTAGTGGCTCTCTACTACTCGCCCTAACCCGTAGTATGGTGCCCAGACGACCACATGTGATTTGCCCAACACGGCTGCACGCAACTCAGACGCGTATAATGTAGACCGTGGTTATTTTATTTTATTTTTCGATCAAAAAAAATGACCGGAAAATCAAAAACCGGGCAAAAACCAAACAAAATCGGACAAAAGTCGCAGGCAAGAAATCAGGAAAATACGACACCGAAGACGTCGGCAGAATGACCGCCGAGATGATGCAAAAAAGACGTGTATTGGTTAGTGTCCTTTGGAATCGTTTGGTTACTGTAATAGGAAGACTTATTTTTTATGTTTAAACGGCGGAAATTTAACAAGAGAAAATGGTGAAATTTGAAAGGTTAAATAAATAAAATCATCTGAAATTCCTACAAGATGGGAAAAGCTTTTCTATTAGTGAAGGCGATGTCGAAATAAAGAATAGATATTCAAAGCCACCCTGATTTATTGATTTTCCCCATTTTTTCTCAGTTTCCCCATTTCCCCCAATTTTCCCAATTTTCCCAATTCTTTTGCATTTCATTGTTTTCATCTTTTCCATTTTTTCCACCTTTTTTAATTCAAATGTCCGCTTGAAGCCGTAAACATGCTCAAATGTCTCCAAGGTTCGTTGCTTAGGGCAGGGGGAGTAAGGGTTAGGACAGGCTTAGGGGGCCAGATTTCCTAAATAGGCAATGAACTAATTAAGGGTTAGGGTGGCTGTCTTTGTTTTCGCCCTCGTGTATGCATATTTAACTATTAGCGTTAAACTCTCATTATAACCCAAACACAGTGACGGTCCTATGGGATACAGAAAAAAAAAAGGGGGTCGATATTATATATACCAGACAAGCATATCTTTGACTGATTTCTACGCCGTTGGAACACATTCGTTTTTTTTCCTGATACCCCCCATCACCGACCCTATACACTCTTTACGCGCTTTACGCCATCTACACTCGTTTTTCCAACTACTATGAAGTTCTCCAACTCCGTCTGTTTTGCTCTTGTGGCCGCTTTTGTGTCTGCCCAGGAGGATGAGGTCACGTCGACGTCGACCTCGACCGTCATTCTTTACTCGACCGTTGGTCTGGAGACCGTGACTGTTTCTCGATCTCTTGAGACTCCCGCCAATTTTGCCGTGGTTGAGTCTTCTTCTGAGGAGGTTGTGTCTGCCCAGGCTGCCACCATTGAGTCTGAGGCTGTGGTCTCCACTACTGAGGCCGTGGTCTCCACCTCTTCCGTGGTCTCCTCCTCCGCCGAGTCCACCTCTTCCGTGGTCTCCACCTCCGCTGAGCCCACCTCTGTCGAGTCCACCTCTTCCGTGATCTCTTCTTCTGTGGTCTCCAACTCCTCCGCCGTGGTCTCCACCTCTTCCGCGGTCCCCACCTCTTCGGTGCGAGCCATTGCCCTCAACACCACCTCCGAGGCCTCGTCCGTCGCCGTCACCACCTCCACCGGCTTCCGAAACTCCACCGGCTTCCAAAACTCCACCGTGGCTCCCGCCCCCTCGTCCTCCGTGGCCCGAACCACCGCTGTGGTCTCCGCCAACAACGCCACCGCCTCCGGATCCGTCGTCTCTCCCACCGCTAACGTCAACGGCGCCGGAGTCAACGGCATTGCTGGCGCTCTGATCGCCGTCGGAGTCGTTGCTGCTCTTCTTTAGATGAGTTAATCGACCTACTCTGGTTCCTCCGGTATTTGGATACACCGTTTTTCTTAATTCTACTACCTCGCTTCGACAGCGACCCTTGTCTTTTCTATATACCTGCTTTGATAGCACCGATACTGATGCGTTGACCGTGTTTTGTTCACGTTGATCGTGTTCTGTAATTAATGAAGTTTTTGATTGATGTGAAGGTCAGCGAGGCCGAGTCGAGGACATAATACGGAGGTAGAGCTCGCCTATATTCTGGATATTTGTAATTGACTGTTTGTAGTTGATGGTAAAATGGCAACAGTAATGTTTGATCGTTTTTCGTAGACCTTGTGGACAAGTTGTAGGCCTCTACTTGTCTCCTCATTGCCCTGGACTGCACTCCCGTACACAGCCCTTATTCACGGTCCTAAGAGTTAGGAAATGAGGTATAAAACAGCTTGGAAACATATTCCGCATGGTTAGTGTGGATCTAGGGGCGGTTGGTGTCTGGAGATATCAGGGGATATTGTAGAGCGAGTTCTATCCAAGAAAACGAACAGAAGGTGAAGGGGGGAGCATTCCCGGGCCCAAAGTCCCCAATAGCTATCTTCACCAATTAAATGAGCATCCGAAGAACAACATTCAGTCATACCATCTCCTTGATGTCCACACTAGCCGGAAAAACAGGGTAATCTCGACACCATTGTTTGGTGCCCTAGTCATACTACCTACTGTTAGAGATCTGAGACCTATGATCATAGAAGATGGTCGAGTGAGTGAGCTGATTGATAGCACCCGGTCTGGAATGATGTTGAGTAATATCCAACATGGGTGGTTTCATGTCCATACCATCCAGAGACAGTCATGATTCCAAAGCACACTGTACAATCCATAATAGACACTGCATTGTGCTAAAAACACCAGTAGTTGCCGTCAAATGCACACTTGTTCATTCCGCTCCAGTACCCCGAGCTTTGCCTATTCCTCCATCGACAAGAGCACTTTGTTTGTTGTTTTTTGTTGTTTTTTGACGGAAACAGATGCAACTCTGGAAGAAGACAAATTCATGACCAACCCACCAAGTGTTGCGAAAATGGACTTCGAGACTTCGATGCCATCTCTTTTCACACCCAATTGTGTTACTAAAACCGACATGGGGTGTTAGTAGCCTTTTCTCGACTAATTCTAGTGTCCGCCGTATATACCCCTGAGCACCAAACAGTATATACAGCCCAACCCTCAACCCCTAAAATTGTACGGTTGGAGCTACAAGTAGTAGATAGGTGGGGATAGAGGAGACAGTTCCGTCGATTGATCAAGTGGAATTCCTCCAACTCGGCTCGGGTCCTACTAACCTGGATGGACAAGCTGAGGTCGGTGTTCCTGCCTCCTTGACGAAACTGTTCTTGAGAGAGACTCGACTTGGAAACCTGAAGAGTGCGACTAACGGAGTTTATCAACGAGCGGCTATCTCCGGTCTCCTTCGTGTTCAAGCCAGTGTCTGTTGGAGAGGTCGTCTGACCATTCTGGTCTCGAGGAGTGGTGTGCCAGGTGGTAGCAGCCCAAGACAATGAATGTTTGTCACCATAGGCGCCTGTACGGGGAATCTCAAACAGATGATGACCGTTGTTACTAGTGAATCACGGTTTCAGTATCATCGTTGTTACTGATTCATCGTTGCAGAAACATCGTTACTGAATCGTTGAACGTCGTTACTTGTGGATAACAATATCGACGGCTTTGGATGCCACCAAGTAACTGTCAATTCCAAATAGGACATTCACATAGTGAACGCTTCACACCATCGTGAGTTGTCAGTACTGTATGTACTTAGATAACGGACAGTGTGTAGGAGATATCTGTCTGATTCTGAATCTCTTCTGGAGAACACACTAAGCCTGGGTGTACTGCTATCGGAACCAAAGGGTTCCCTGAAGTCGGTTGCAAGAGGTTACATCAACTAAATATCAATGCTCATACGGTTTTTAATAGCGTCACCTCGGTTTGGTGAACAGACGTTTAGACAGGAACCCTACAGTAGAACTTTTTTGTTGGAACCCCATTCAATGTATGTACATACCATACACCAAAGGGACATCGAAAAATGTTCCACAAGACTCATATGGATTGAAAAGTACAGTTGAGAGAAAAAAAAACAGTGTCTTTCATTTACTCACGTGACTTTTCGCTTTTTAATAAACATAATTGGCCTCATCAGAATCGAACCAGCAGAGTGTGAGACAGTGTACCATAGGAAAATACATAATTAAAAATAAAAATAAATAAATAAATAAATAAATAAACACTATAATTTTTATTCTATTCTTGTATGTTACACAAACACAAAACTCGAAGTATATAGTTAGCCGCAAGTCCAAAAACTTTTACTTAGTGTCATCATCATCTTTTTATCTTTTATTTGTCTTCGTTCCGTCAATCTACAAGTAGGTCTCGCCTTTGACCTTGCTTAGGGTTTCTGTGGCCAGAAACCTAAGTTACAGTGTACTCACGCCTTGCTCTCATCATCAAAACACCTGTTCGTCAATTCATGTTGAAAAGCGGTCTGTCGAAAATGGTCAACAACATCAAGGTCGGCTTTGTGCCCGAGCACTTTTCCACTCCCCTTTTCTTCGCCCAGACCCACGGGTACTACGCCCAGAACGGCATTTCGGTGGATCTCAAGCCCTTCCCGTCGGGGTCCGGTCATATGATCCAGTCGCTTGAGTCTGGCGAAATCGACTATGCAATCGGCCTCACCGAGGCTTTTGTTGCGGGAATCGGTAAGGGCATGACCCACTACAAGGTTGTAGGTACCTACGTCGACACTCCTCTGTGCTGGGCCATTTCCAGCGGATCTGATCGAGCGGACATCACCTCGGAAGACCAGCTGGAGGGCAAGACTCTGGGTATCAGCCGAATTGGATCCGGATCCTACGTCATGCCCTTCGTGCTGGCCCACAACAAAGGCTGGAACAAGGAGTTCAACTGGGAGATTCTCACCAACTTCAAGAACCTGCGAGACTCCGTCAACCACACCGGCGAGGTCAACAAAAGCGACGCCTTCATGTGGGAGGTCTTTACCCAGAAGAAGTACTACGACTCTGGCGAAATCAAGAAGATTGGCCAAATCTACACCCCCTGGCCCTCTTGGGTGATTGTCGAAAAGACTGGTCTGCCCAAGAGCGAGGAGACCACCCCTGCTCTACTCAAGTCAATCAACCAGGGTATCGACTACTTCAACAAACACCAGGAAGAGGCTGTTGAACACATCTACACCACTCTCGACTACTCCAAGGAGGATGCTACCGCGTGGTTGGACACTGTCAAGTTTGCCGACGATGTCGCCAAGATTGATATGAAGAAGGTGATTACTAACACTGTCGATATGCTTAAGGAGGCCAAGATGCTCGACAAGGAGGCTGATGATAAGGTCTATGTGAAGGAGTATGACATTTAAAGGCAGCGAGTTGTCACACGGTCCGTCGCGCTACCAAGTATATAAACTAAACCAAATTTACATTTGTTATGAGCAGAATGAACAACACGCTGACTAAAAATAGCTATTTCAAAGTGTCATCAGAACCTGGATATGATCTCTTTAGTCTTCAGCTCCTGGGAGACGCGGGAGGGGTGGTCTTGTTGAGATCAAGTTCACCAAATGCTCTAATCAGTGACTGGGGGAAGGTGTTGGTGGCCGGGGTACTTTTCATTGAAAGATGACACGGACTGTCAGCTGGCTTTTGTTTCTTATGATGCTTTAGACACTTTTTGTGTTTCTTTTTGAATGAGTCACGTTCCTTCTTCAGCTCATCAACTTGGACTGATAGTTCTTCATTCGACGCCGCCCAACTAGCTCTGTCGGCTGCCCATTTGGACCTTTCATCACTATGAAACGCCTGAAGGAGTTGGGTTTCGTTTCCCCACAGAGAAGCGTATGATTTCTTCCATCTGGCTCGATCCTCACGGTGATTGTCGACGAGATTTTGTCGGTCTTGTTCCCACTGAACTTGAGCAGTATCAAACTTGGTTCGTATTTCGGAGAGAGCCGTCTCAAGTTGCTCCTTCTCTCTTTCCCACTCGACCTTGTGATCTTCGAGATACACCTCTAGGTATTCTGTCCATTCATCGAGCTCTTCTGCGTCTGTCTCAGCATGTTCCTTACGTTCTTTCAACATGGACTTCACTTCCAGTCTCAACAACTTCTCTAGTGCCTTGTGCTCGCCAATGATGTGGTTTCTCGTGGTCAATTTGGTAGATAGAGTGGCCACAAGCTCTTTTTGATGTTGCAGTTGGTCTGTCAAATCAGAAATTCGAGTCTTCCACTGTCCCGTGAAGTTCATGGTGGTGGGGTCCTCGGATTTGTGCTCAAACACTTGACCCCGAGGACACTTGAGGGTCTGTCGCTCTACGTCGACTAGTCGCCGATCTATGACGGCCATTCGCTGTTTGGCATCTGCTGTCCATTGCACGAAATCGCACAATGTCGACTCCTTTGACCTGATCGTGCTCTTCAACATCTCGATGAGTCGCAACTTTTCCAGCCACAGTCCTTCTAGTCTGGAAAGACACTCTGTTCTTTTCAGATCGTCATCCAAGGAAAGCAACAATTCAGCAATGATGACTTTGTGCCTCTCCATATTGTTCCTGTCGTTAGCATGGATCCAACACTAACAAGTCTCGGTATGGTATCGTACTCACATTCGCTCTGTCAATGAAGAGATTTCAATCCTGAATGTGACATTTATATAATAACAAGCAACAAGAAACAGCCCCAGACTGATATACTGACTACCCCTGGCTAAGGAGTAGATGGAGAATGTTCAAGTGGCATTCTGGACGAGTCACTTTGGGAAACCCGTAGCAAAAATGGATCTGGCCATCGTGCCAATGAACAATGGAGATAAATCAGATTCCCAGCATTTTCTTGTTGTCATTCACACTCGTCTATTCACACTCGTCTACTCACTATTCCTCCATTCAACATCCGCTCGATTGAACCAGCCCCAAAAACAAATGCACTGGGGGGGGATCAAACAGGACCATGATTGGTACCAAAATAATGCCCGGTAGCTGCTGAATACAGCGGTCTTGTTTGTTTTTCTGTTAGAACGGCGCTTCGTCCCCTTGTCGTCGTTTAATGTGTGTATCGGGCTGTCACAATTTACTCACGAAAAAACAAAAAACAAAAAAAAGAAAGAAAAAAAAAAAAGAAAAAAAAAAAACTGGTCCGTCGGTTTCAAATTAACAATAAGCTTATCGTGAGGCCGATTGTGCATTTAGCGAAACTCTAAAAAACTATACATAAAAAAAAACCTGTTTTTTTCTCACTGTTTTCGCGACACCGACAGGTATCCTAAACCAGCCCAGTAGAAATCAACTAGAGGGTATTCATGGCATCTTCGTATCAATTCTGGTCTCTTCCTCTCTCAAATTTCCTACTACTGACAACTTCCGTTCACCCACTCACATATGCCCCATATGAGGCAGGACCAAAATCATCCACATCAATATCAGTGGAGCAAAGCAGGCGAGAAGGAGCAAAACACGGGTATAATTGTCATATACGACTGGGTCGTGTGGTTCTACATTTCCCTATTTCTGCATCCGCTCTCTCCTGCTCCTCGGCCACACGACCAAGAGTATTTATATGAACAGTCGGAGCCAGCGTGAGACAGTCGACACTGGAATACAGAATATTCCAACCCCCCACCCTCCGTCATTCACGTGATTAATCGAAATCTCACGTGATTAATTGGATCTCACGCGATTGCTTGGATATCACGCGATTGATTGGATATCACGCGATTGATTGGATCTCACGTCATGAACGTCCCATCCAAAGGCATGTTTACCACGGCACCTTCCTCTGATGATTATAGCTGCTGCGACTACCTCAACGACGACAGTAAAGACAGCGCGACGGAGATACCGACACCTGAGAGCCTTGATAGTCACGTGGTCTCCGACATGGCGACTTCTTCAGGGCACATGAGCGACATTGACTTTGATCTTTCGAAATTCAGTTATCTTTTGGAGGGAATGGAGTGCGAGTCGTCTTCGGGTCACGTGGCCTACTCCAATGGCCGGGTTTCTTCTTCTCCGATTACTGAAGACTTTTCCAATTGGCTCGATTTCTCAGTGTGCAGTGATTCGGCGTCCGACTCGCTCGTCAAAGTCACGGTACCAAAGCCTGAGCCACAGCAGCGGCATCTCAAGCTAGAGAAGAACCTGAATCCGATGATTTCCGATGATTCCATCATTAGTCCAATGTCGGCATTCTTTTCAGATGTCAAGAGTGAGATGGAAGAGAAAGGAATGACAGCAAATGTGGTTCTAGGAAGGAAGTTTTGCAACTTCGAAGACAGTGATTTCGCACGCTACAACCGAGGCCAGGAGATCCCCAATCCCCATTACATGCCCTACTCCCCCTCTCAATGGAATTTCATCAGTTCTGAGTTTCAGAAACTATGGCATGAGCTGGAGGATTGTGTCAAATGAAGACTACATCGCTAAAAGGAAATATGGATTTAGTACAGATATAATATCGACATCTACGTGATTTTCAATCGCCAAAGTTCGTATATATATACACACGCCCATCATCTTGGCTTTCTTCGGACACCATCTTGGCTTCTTCGGACACCATCGTGGCTTCTTCGGACACCATCTTGGCTTCTTCGGACACCATCTTGGCTTCTTCGGATACCATCTTGACTTCTTCGGACACCATCTAGCTTTTCTCGGACACTCTTCATTTAAAAAGTGCACACTGGCAGATAAAAGTCCTCCACGACCCAGTACCGTCGCTTAATTCCATCCCAAACATGACCATCGGCTCCAGTCACGTCCTTGTTCACCTTGATCACTTGGTACTCGACATTGAGCCCATACTCCTGTAAATCGACCTCAACCACGTTCTTGTAGACATCATAACAGACCTGTCGATCGGCTCCAAGTCCGTTGAAGAAAGAGAAGACGCCGGTGGGGGCCAGCAGACCAACAACGTGGTCGAAGAAATCCACCAGATCGCTGTAGTTTTCCGAAAATGTGTCGTAGTACATTCCGTCAAAGTACACTCCCTGGCTGAGCAGCCCTGGGAGAGTATCTTGCCATCGTCCCACAAGAACAGTCACACCAGGCTTGTCCATCCAACCGTCCTTCTCCATCTTCTCAAGAACATCAGGATGAGCTTCACAGATGTAATGCTTGGATGGCTTCTTAGACTGCAGGTAAGTGTCGATGATTCCAAGTCCAAAACCCACGTTCAGGACTACAGGACCGTCAGACTCCTTATCTGCTCGCGACACCAGCAGATCCGCACTCTTTTGCATAATCTCGTCCTCCCAATCCATCATTACTCCGTCGTTCTGAGTAGTAATCAGAGTCTTGTTGTCATCTGTGTATGTGAGTTTATCCTTGAGATAATCCATCTGAGAACCAGCTAAATCAACCTCATTCTGTGCTGCTGACTCATTGTTCTTCTCGTCCTCCTTGTCTCCAACCAGCTCGGGAACCTCTTCAACAGTCTCCCCATCAACAACCACCTCCAGACCAGCTTCCTTGGCCTGCTTGATGGCATCGGCAATTGCCTGCTGGATGTCTCCAGTCTCCTCGCCATCACGTGACTCATCCTCTTCATCGTCGTCGACGTCCATTTCCTCGTCGTCATCGTCGCTGAGGAACTCCACGTTTTCAGACTTGTTGATTCGGCGCAGAAAGACCTCAGATCGGGTTCCTGCAGACACAATCTCGTTGTACACGCTCGCCAGAACCGAGTCTCGAGCCTCCGCCTTGCTTCTGTCCCACGCGACACATCCTGGAGTCTGTCCCTGTTCGTCTAGCAGCATCCATCCGGCTCCCCATTGGAACAGTTCCCGCATCATTTCGAGAGCCACCTCAAGCTCCTCCGCCGTGGCATCGCTGGGGAAAGATGAGCAGATGACATGCAAAGGTGTGGTTCCATCGATAGTGATATCGCCCTGGATGATCTCCTTCTTCTTGGTGGCCTCTTCCTCGTCGGTGAACAGACCCAAATCCGAGGTGGTGATGGTGGCAGGAATGTTCTTGCGCATCACTTGGCGGACTGTCTCGAGATGAGAGTCCTTTGCAATGGGCCGCTCGGTGAAGGAACATGCTTCAAACAGGCTCTTTCCCAGCTTGGTTTCTTCTTCTGTGAATGACATGTAGACAGTTGAAATGTAGTACTAATGGTAGATGGATTCTCTTCTCTCCCGCAGTCTCGATACCGTTGTGTCTTCTTCTTCTTCTTCTTCTTCTTCTGATATCGCTGTAACCGCCGTGTAACTGTGTCGTGGAAAACGAGACCAAAACAACAACAAAAAAGACGTAGAGTCGTATCAAATTAGACTAATGCAGCTTGTGGTGACAATTGTTGGAGTGGCGAAAACCAGGGCGGGTTGGTGCAACAACAGATCCAAGCAGCTTGATGAAATCAACGTCCTATCACTCCGACAAACGTCTTGTCTTTAAGCTGGAAAAAAAAAAATCTACAGCAATTTTCCGACGCATGCACGAGCTTAATCATCTTTTTGCGTGCAAAAAAAGCTAGGTGTCGCTGACATACGGGCCCAAAAAAGGGTAATGTTGGTCAGATTTGGTACTTTGGCAAGCTGCAATCGAATTAGCCGCCAAATTCCATTACCTTTTGGGTTTTCCCCGTCCGTTTTGGGCCGTTATAGACCCCCACCTGATGACGTAGATTTTTTGGACCATCCCGGAGATAAGCGGCTGAGTACATTCAGGGGGGATATCCCGATGTGGAGATGGCGGACTCGACGATTGTAGCAGATGAAAACATTTTGAAATATGCCATAAATCGAGATAAATGAGATTCAATTGTTCTTCAGGGCTTCCGTATTTATGGACATTTTATCCAAATTGTGGCAGATCAACCTATGATTCCACCTGGACGCCGTCCATATCCGCGGTTATTTCGGAGAATCACGTCCAACTCGAGAAATATCCATCGCAGCCGAAAACCAGAAACTCCATTGGAATCTGACGCGCATTTCCAAGCCATTGGGCCGCCCGGTCAGTCCATTACAGCCCTGGAGCGCCCAAAAAAGTACTTCTGACACCCTCGTTTTAACTCCGAGGCGTACATAACAGAACGGGACCTCTTCCAGTTTAGCAGCAACCGCTCGACTTATGCGATACGATACGATACACAGCAGTCCGAGAAGAGGCGTCATCCATCTCCATAGTCCGGTCGGAGACTTGTGTCTGGGTCCCAAATGGCTGTAGCGCGCTCTCCATACCAAAAGTCCTCCCCCACAATGGTCTCCACCCTCCTACTCACCTCACAAAGTTCCATATCAATACGACACGCAATAAGACATCTTTTATTACCTTCCTCTTGGGGATGACGTGGTTGTCTCTTTTACTCGTACTGTACGAGTCTCGTATCGTATCGCACTGAAGGAACCTCTCGCGCTGACTTTTCTTCTTTTGCTGACTCTGGTTGCCATCAATGTCGAGACACATCATTGCACCCAAACTCAGTCGGAGCGACTCCCGACAGACATCACGTGAATATCAGTTGTTTGCAACTTGTCGGGGAGCCTGGAGGGCGAGACACGGGGAGATGATCCCACGGTGTTGTGATCTGTTTGTTTTCAGGGGTTTTTTGTTTTTTGTTTTTGACAACTTTTTTTTTTCCACTGTATTTCTTTTTTCCAACTAAATTGTGCCATTTTGTTGGGACGCCAACCCTAACTTACTTACCTACGTAGCCTCCCCGCAACCTGTCGCCTTGATTATTGGTGCACGAAAGACGTAACGGTGAAACCGCCCCCGACCACGCATTTCGAGCGGGTTTTCCGTGTAAAACCGCTTAGTCAGCGTCCAACGTCAACTTGAGCACGTCCACTAGTGCACATGTTTTGAAAACTGCGCGATTTTTTTAATTTTGTAGTTTTTGTTTGTCTGTAGGCTTATGTAATCATGACACGGATAGCCCAAATACACTCCACCAACCCCTGATCTAGATGCATGTTGAATGCATAATTAATGCTAGTTTTGAAACGATCTGCGGTTCACTAAAACAGGTCTCGATTTCTCCATGTATTCCTCCCCATTTTTTCTCATTATCCACACAAGGATCCATGTCACATCCTTGTCAGTCCATTGGTAGTAATTTGGTGCTCGTACCACTTCTGGACGTCTTTCAATCGTGGTATTTCTACCATCAACCAAGTCCCGAATCTTGCTCCCAATCATCAAGTGGCAAATAGGGAAGAAAATAGGAAGAAAATATGGAAAAATAGGGAAAAATAGAGGAAAATAGGGGAAAATAGGGAAAATAGGGAAAATAGGGAAAATAGGGAAAATAGGGAAAATAGGGAAAATAGGGAAAATAGGGGAAATAGGGAAAATAGGGAAAATAGGGAAAATAGGGAAAATAGGGAAAATAGGGAAAATAGGGAAAATAGGGAAAATAGGGGTGACTTTTTTGAGTCTCGTTTAAGCCACATTAGTATCACGTAGTACAGTAGGTACAGTAGCGTACACGGTGTTGCTGTCTTGTTGAGTCACGTGATCCTGACTATACTCGACTCTCTCTCTCTCTCTCTCTATCCACCAATCTTCTTGAAAAACATGTATTGTGTTGAAACTCATGTACTCATGTGTTGTCGCCACCTGGTCCTGACCCTGTCTGTTGGCTCGCCTTTCTCTGTACAGTAATTCAAACACAAGTTGTTTTCGCACACTCGAGGCTATTTTTTTTTGGGTTGCCGACAGTGATATTAAAAGATGATGCGGGTGTCTCCAGGTCACGTGTTATGTATTAATGTGTGTCTGCGGTTGCACTGAATCTCCCAGCGTGCTTTAAACCTTAATTCACCCCATTATATGCCCCCATCTTTGCATCTTCCCTCGCCTCCACCTGTACTTACTGTACTCGAACTTTATGTGGCAGGGTCACACAAACACCTTGTTTCCTGTACATACATACACACACGACAACATAGACCGACCCTTTTTCAGCTTTCTTTGGGTGTTTTTTTTTCCTTCCAGCGGCGCATCTTCGAGATATTCTGCGACTTTCCCCCCGACCACGTGTCCATTTCCTCGTTTCTGAAAGACCGCCTCCCCTTGAGTGACGACGCTACTCGACTGGTCTCAGCAAACACCCCCACGGCATCACCGACCTCTCCAGTGCGACACAAATACTAGTAGAAGCTGTGTGCCTTTGTGTTTTGCTAGTTGTGCATTTCAAGTGAGTATTCCACGACTCGGTGTGTGTGGGATGGCGGGCAAGCGTGCTGTCATGGTGCTGGCGTCTTATGCTGAGTGCGTTTGGTGCACAGTGTGGAGTCCGAGCCTGTGTGAGGCGGGAGTTTGTTTGCGGCGTGATCGAGCTGGAGTGAACAACCATCCCAAGTGAAACCAGACTCGAGCACACAGTGATGGTGATGGCGTCGACACAAACAACCCTCTTGAAACAGCCCCCAAGAAAAACCAGGTTTCGATGGTAGTTGACATCAACTTGCCACTTACTTGTACGCCACTGTGCACATTCCTCACATGGATCATATGGGACCTGCGTCTCGTATTTGCATGAAGCCCTGAACCATGGCGCCAACGCGACCTGTGCCTCTCCATATTGCTCTTCGTCTTCAAATCTAACCTAGTCCGCCTATTTACAAAAAACGACAAAAAGCGACACAATCCTGTCGAAAAAAAAGAGTGAGTACAGATGGTGCAACGGCTCGCCGCAGTGGTGGAGGACGATTCTCGATCTTCTAAATGTGCCTGTTTTTTCTGCTACTATTGAATGATCTTGGCGAGATCACTCGCAGAACCTGTGTTGTGATCCCCGACGATTGCTAGGACTGTGGCATTGCTCCTAGGTCGTCGACGGTTTGCTACTGAGATATCAGCGGCAATGTTACGGCCTCGTTCAGAAGTGATCCCTCCAACTTTCACATTTTTCCTGTCTGACACACGGTGGCGTACATGCCCCCTGTCTGGTCAGAACATTTGCACCTCGACCATTCTCGATCCCTTACTAACCCAGCTTTACTCCGATATCTGATATCACACCTCACACAACATGTACTCGGATGATGTGGCAAGTGTCACCAGCAGTGACAATGAGCAGGTAGAAAACGACTCCATCCGACGAGCCCTGCGGCGCTCGGCTCTTCTTCGATCAGCATCCAGTCGTCACGGTAGTTCAGCCGTGAACCGGTCGGGAGCCTCCTCTCCTACCTCTTCGTCATCCAACTCCATCCAGTCCGCCGAAACGGACTCAGACATTGACATGGACGAAGTCGCTGAAGCAGATGGCGTGGAACCCGACAAGGATGCCCCCGTCCACCAGCTGCCGTCAGAGCTTCTGACAGTTATCTTCACCATGCTACCGGAGCGACGAGATGTACACAGCTGTCTGCTTGTGTCGAAAACGTGGTTCATGTCGTGCGTGGACCTGGTTTGGTTCCGACCTCATCTCCCCAAGGACCTCACTCGTCTGCAGCAGCTGTTACGCACTTTGAAGCAGCCCGTGAGCTCGCAGACAGTGCCCTACTCGACCTACATTCGGCGGCTGAACCTCACCAACCTTACGGGCGAAATGACCGACGAGCTGCTGAGCGGTGTCGCCGTATGTACTCGACTGGAGCGACTCACACTGGCTAACTGCACGGCATTATCCGACGCTAGTCTGGTGCCTGTGCTGCAGCAAAACTCGGGGCTGCAGTCTGTGGACGTGACCAACGTCAGCCATATTACTGATGCCACCATCAAGGCGCTGCTTCCCTCCAAGCGGCGGCTGCAGGGTTTGTATGCCACAGGGTGTGCCAACATCACCAACGCTGCCATTGTGGCGCTAGCTACGGAGTGTCGACTGCTCAAACGCATTAAGGTCAACTCGTGTCCCAACGTGGAGGACGAGGCTGCCATGGCGCTTGTGGACAACTGTCCTCAACTGGTGGAACTTGATCTACACGAAAACAGCGCGCTGTCAGGTTCTGTGGCGACTGAGGCCTTACGTAAGCTTCCTAACCTGCGGGAGCTTCGTGTGGGTCAAGTGACTGGTGTAAATGACGCTTGTTTCCTGGGCTTCCCTGCTCGTCCACAATTTGATCGGTTGCGTATCATCGACTTGACAGCATGCAACGCCATCACCGATGCTGCGGTCGATCGATTGGTTACTTGCGCCCCCAAACTGAGACATGTGGTGTTGGCCAAATGCACACGCGTGACTGACCGCAGCATACGATCCTTGCTGCGCCTGGGCAAGTCGCTGCACTACCTGCATCTGGGCCACTGCGCATCCATCACCGATGCTGGTATTGCGCAGCTGGTGCGTGCCTGTCAGCGTATCCAATACATTGATGTGGCCAACTGCAGCCAGTTGACGGATGCGGCCGTCGAAGACCTGGCCTCACTGACTAAACTGCGACGTATTGGACTAGTCAAGTGCGTCAATATCACGGATGCGGCCATCTACGCGCTTGCTAGCAGGTCTGGCTTTGAGGCTTCACTGGAGCGTGTGCATTTGTCGTACTGCGCCGGCATTAGCATCCCAGCCGTTCTGCGGCTTGTCAACGTGTGTCCGCGACTATCACACTTGTCTCTGACGGGCGTTACAGCTTTTCTGCGTTCCGACTTCCGACAGTTTTGCCGAGAGCCTCCGCCAGAGTTCACTCAGCACCACCAGGCGCTGTTCTGCGTCTTTTCAGGCGATGGGGTGAAGCGGCTGAGAACGCATCTCAATCAGCTCGCGGAGGCCGATATGGGCTACCTGCTTGGAGGAGGGGGCTTTGCTGGAGGGCTTGGTCCTGGGATAGGTGGAGGCCTCGGGGGTGGGGTTGGCACCGCGACACTGGAGGAGCTGATTGCTGCTCAGCGACGGGTGCGGCACATTGTGAACGAGGTGTTCCCTGACGGCCGCCCGCATGGGGGTCTGGATGGACTGGGGATGGATGGCATAGACCCGCTCGCTCAGTTGGAACATGTCCATCACATTGAGCGAGTCATGGCGCGATTGGAGATGGAGCGTCAAGAGGGACTGGAGCAGCGACATCAGCAGGAGCAGCGTCAGCTGCGGGAGGGATTTCGACAGGCCGACCAGCGACAGCTTCGGGAAGGCTTTGGACAGCCTGAGATCCAACAACCTGGCCCTCCTACTGCGCTGCCGGTTCTGCCTGAGGGTGGAGTTCCTGTTGTAGCCCAACCTGTAGCAGGTATTCCTCCTGCGGCTGCGCGAGGTTTAGAGCGTCAGACTCAGCAGTATAATGAGGCGCTGCAGCAACTGCAGATGCTGGAGGGTCGACCTGAGGTCGATCAACAGTTGGTTGCGGAGCTGCGCCGACAGGTGGAGCAGCATGGACGAGAAATGGGACAAGGAGAGTAATCCCAAGTAGAGTAGAAAGGTATAGGTTTAATTTATTAGCTGCATGGGATGTGATTGACGTCGGTCTTGCCTGGACAAGAGCAGCACTGTTTGAGGAGTGGAAAAGATCTTTTCGGAGCTACATGGCCCTCACTTCAGTGTCTTCAGTTGGACGTCCGACTTGCCTATACATTGATGGGATGTCTCGGTTACTTGTACAACGAGATTGATTCGTGACTATCTGGATCTGAGTCGCTGCATTCAATGAGTTGGTTTGGTTCTGGTTATACAGTCCATGTCTTGTGCAAAGTTCTGAATCCATGTTTTATTCTGTTGATCATCCAACATTGGTTATGCGTCGAAAATGGACCCCACATATCAGTGGTCCAGGTGAAGATGGCCGAGGAAGGGAGACTTCTTCAGGTACAAGTCGTTATAGAAACAAAGATGATTCTCTCACATCTATTGGTCGACTTGCCATTCAGTTATATATACTTGTACCAGGACACGGCACAATTCTGGGCTGTGGGCTGCGGAGAGACCAAGTTGAAGATATTAGTGTGCAGAGAGTTGTAGGACCAATATGAAAGTGAGTGATGAAAAATGGATATAGGATCGCCGTATATATGCATGGGTCACGTGACCGCACCATGTGCCCTCTTCCACCGCTACAATATCTTGTATATCATCATTGTGCGTGCACCTCGGCTGTTGCGATGGAGCCCCCATTTCCGATTAATCCGGAGTGAAACAAGGGTTTCAAACAAGGGTCAAGCGGCATCCGAAAACAACCCGTGCGAGACATGTGTCTCGGGAGATTCACAAAGAGGCTGGCTGGTTTCACCTTTGTCGCTATGAGGTTCTTCCTGTGGCGCGGTCTCACATTCTGTTATGATTAGTTATCTCCGGGTGGGGCTTTGTAGGGGGGTATCTTCGAGTAGTGAATAAGCAGGTATATTACGGCCTTGAACTGGATTGTAGCGGCATTTTCAGTGCATTGTTATTGGTACTTCATCGACTGAGAAAGCAGTCGGCATTAGATCTCTTCTTTGATGAGGAGATCGTCCAACTGTGAGCTTGGTTTGCGAGGTGGGAATGTGGGGAGCCATATGACTCGACATTGTGTATATAACGAGGCCAAATGGAACATCGACACACTGTGTCCGTCTACGAGTGGCGTATTATTCATCATTTACACCCCATCAACCGTTGTTGGGTGTATGATCAATAATACGCCTTGGGCAGTCTGGGTTGGACATGATATCTATTACTTTTCCCCTCAGACCTGGACCTGGCATCTGTTCTATCACCGCATGAACAAGGAATAAGGGCCGCGTGGATGGATAGATGAGTCTCTGCTTGTTGTTGTTCGGTTTCCGGCGATTCTGCGGCCCAGTTATCAATAATACGAGCATGGGGGGCTGGTGCTAAAATCTGTTAGTTGTGTTCCAGTTTTAATGAAAAAGTTGAAAAGTCGGCATTGAGTCCGCTCAAATGGGGAAAAATACAAGGAAAATAAACCCGAGACACAATGCAACAGTCTGTAGAGTCTTGGATATTATTAATCCCCAAGATTCTGGTCTCCAGGGTCTTGATATCGTTATTGATCCAGGCACCTTCATCTCGCTACTTTATCCCAATGCAATCTGAGACAGGTGCAGGGGTATATTTGATGGGTATCATCACCTTGCATCATTAAATCGGACGGTATTTTTTTGATTTTTTTTTCTTAATTTTTTTTTTCTTAATTTTTTTTTTCTTAATTTTTTTTTTCTTGATTTTTTTTTTTGGTGTGGTTGCTCATAGATGGTTGCTCACAGAGGGTTGCTCACAGCTGGTTGATTCTGACCGGATCTTGTGGCATTTATTTCTGTGGCAAAATGGCAGAAATGAAAAGGCTTTGTTGCAACACTCACTGTTTTGCTATTTTACGGGTACTGTACGGGACTTTACAAATTTTCGTGCTTTTTCTCCATACACGTGACTTCATGCGGGGTAGAACTCTATTTTAAAATCTCTTTGTTCCAGCCCCCCCAACGGGTTCCCCTCATCCATGTGATAAATGTCAGGACCAGAGAAATGCGCCATGCACCGACCAGAAAACGCCCTGTTTTCGCTAGACGAGCGTGCGCAGCCCATGAGAGCTTTACAAGCGGGGCGCTGCTCGGTTCTGACAGACACAAACGAAGTTTTTCGCTACCCTTCCCTTTCCATTTTGGTCCACTTTTAAGGTTTATATCAAAATGGGGGAAATAGACTCCATGCACTATGCACCTTCCCCACATCAGAATCCACTTTAGAGAACACATGAGTGCGAGCTGGACAAGAAGAAGACTTGACTTGTTGTTATACGGCTATTGACGAGACTCCATAAGGCTACAAGTACTAATTTCTGTACATTTAAATTCGCCTTGCTTTTTTTTCCTTCTTTTTTTTTCTTTTTCCTTTTTTGCTATTCTAAAACCTGCATCTGCAAAGGGTGTCAACTCTACAAGTAGCTGAACCACGTCAACGCTAGCTGACACCTGTGGATCCGGGAGGCGTGACGGGAACGAGAGTACCACAGCACGCGCTGTCAGCTCCCACAATTGTGACAGAATTTTCCGGGCTTTTGGACCCTCTTATCTACCCCCAACTTGTCTCATATCTGCTAAAATCCTCGTACTGTGCTTGTCTCACCTACCCCACATGGAATGATCAGCAGTGTGGGGTGCAGGGTGCAGGATGGCGGTCGAGGGGAGGTGCAGGACGCATGGGTGCGTATAGGGAGAATAGCTGCGAATGGTGTGCAGAGGCGAGGAGTCGTGCGTGTGACCAATCAAGTGTGGAAATACGGGGCTATGTATGTATGTGGTAGGTACGTGTGCAGGAGTTGTATGACCCGAATTCTAATTTAGGCTTCCGACCCAAAGTGGACAAAGTTAAATTTCGTTTGCCCCCACGGAAAAATAGCACGGAAGATTACTGCCATCTGGGGTAATCATTTACTGTGAGATACACTATCGGCTATTGCTAGGACCCATTCTAAACACCACCACCTGGACCCAGTTCAACAAGATTCAAACAACTTTTTTCCCGAGCGTCTTAACCATTCTCTCTACCAAACCAGCAAAGCCGTTTTATTTGCAACAAGCGACTTTCTCCCACACACACACACACACACACACACACACACGCACACGCACACGCAAACGCACACTTTTTTCTTCCCTCTTGCAACATACGCCTCGTGTATTCGCCTGCAACAACACAACCAACCATGAGCACCCCTTCGCCTCCTCCTCTGCTGTCCTCCAGCTCGGGCGACTCCTCCAACGCCTCTCTTGCGACCATGAACCAGAACATGAATAGAGTGAGCATCCAGAGCCTGTGCAATGACGGGGCCAGTATCAAGAGCGTCAGCAGTGGCAACAGCAACAGAAGAGGCTCCATCCAGGATATTCTCAATGACGAGCCCATGGGCAACAGCAACGGCTTCAGCCCTGCCGCTACTCATAACAACACCACCCTCGTAGGCACCCCTAATGGCGCCACCGCCAGATACAGTCAGAACGACTACTTTGCGGCAGAAACGCTGGGGAACCTCAAGGCAACCTCCGCACACGTGACCCATGGCGCTGGGCACGTGACCTCGCCGCCTCCCCGGGCATCCAACCCGTTCGAGGTGCCCATTCAGATTCAGCCCGGGTACCAGCCCTTGAAGGGTCTTTACAGTGACGTGAGTATGATAACAGAAGGAAACGACGACCGGTGAGGAAAGTGATGGTATTTGTGGTGGGAGCCATTTGTCATTGGCGGTTGGTCATTGGTCATTGGTCATTGGTCATTGGTGATTAGCGATTGGTGATTAGCGATTGGTGATTGGTGATTGGTATGGTCTGATTACTGAATGGACTTGAGACACGAAGCAGATGGACCATGATAAACCATGATACAGCTCTTGACTTACTTGATTTGAACGTGTACTTGAGAAACAGTTTTATTGTTTTCGAGCTATTCAACTGCTTGGTCTGAGTCTGTTTGGTGTGTGAGCTCACACCGTTTGGTATGTTTGGTATCACTATGTCAATGCTTCTGCCAATGTCATGTAGTCTCCAGAATGAGGCACTTGTTTTCCTTCTCTGTCGTTTGTGGCACCTCCTTATGTGTCTCGGTTCTTGTGGCACGTTTTTTTCTTTTCGTTCTATCTCGGTTCCCTCGTCATCTCATGATACTCACCGTTGTCAGGCTGGCAGCTCGCACTTGCACCATGTTTCGGTCTTTGCTTTCCCGGCTACGTTCCCTGCCCACACATATATCTGTTTCTACGTGCATGTGATTCCCCCACATGTGCCTGTGATATCTATGTACCGTGGCTAGGATTATGCCTGTGATTGTGTCATGATAACCATTCTGCGCAGTGTGATTGACGATCAGGGTCTTGGTGGGTACAAACTAGCTTTTTGGGTTTCTTTTTTTCGCTCCAAAATGTGAGCGTGAAAATGCACGTGAGCTAAAAGAGTCCCAACACCCACCAACTGCGCTGGCTCGACTGTTGAGCATGTTGAGTGAGAGGAGAGGAGAAACAAGGCGCGGAAAAAAGGGACGAGAAAAGAACCATAGGGCCAAAGACAAAAAACCACAGACACATGTCACATGCCCGGATTATGCCCCGATCAGTGCATGCGGAAGACCGACCCGGCGATAGAAGGAGAAGAAATACGAGGTGCAGAAGTGTCATCCTCCGCCGTGATTGCATTTTGCGTGGTAATAACCACGAGCCACGCACTTTGTCCACGCACATGTCTATGGTGTAATTGTGTGGGTGACATTTGGCTGATTGAGGGTTTTGAGGGTATAATGGGAATGGGACCTTGCGTGAATTTGCTGAATTTGACAGGCACGTGTGGCGCCGTTTCATGGCGGGGCTTTCTACAGCCATTTTCCCGCCATTTGTGGCACTCGCAGCCCCCATGCCTCCCGCTCGATTTTTAATCACCAACCCTCCGTTACAATCACATCGCCGATCTTGTGTCTCAAGAGTAGCGCCTCTCCACCTCAACTATCACATGAGAATGACGTCTGATTTTTCGACTTTTGAGTTCGACAGGTGCATAAGGCGAGGATAGTGAGCAAGTGCAGGGGTGTGTGTGTTCCAGTGAGCCTTGAACCGGGCGAACGGGGGCGCTCATCCACTCAGGGCGCCCCACGGCCCCGGCTCCCCTCCCACGGCAAGTCTCACGGACCCTGCCTACCACCACGCCAGCCGGCTTGGGCCTTCCTAAACCACAGTTGCACTTGTCCCACAGTTGCAACCACTTTTTTCCAACTTCCATACTAACCCAGACCTTTCCTCCCAACGCACCCAACCCAAACCTAAACCCTAAGTTGCACAAAACACATGAACGTGATACTGCAAACTTCCCCTCTGATAAAGGCGCTGTGTCCATATCATCTCAGCACAACCACATCTCCAACACCAACACGACTTTTGCCACCTCGGGAGCCCAGAGCCAGTACCACCGGCTCTCCAACAACACCAAGACCTTCACTCGAGACTCCCCCTACCATTCGCGAACCCCTTCAGTGGATGACGACGGAATAAGACAAGCATCGTTTCTCAACCGAGTCTACCAGTCCTCCAAGTCCTACAGTCCCCGATTCCGCTACGGAGCAGAGATAGTCGAACGGTGGGCAAGTTCTGAAAACACCAACGCAGCAACACCTTCGGCGTCAACCACAAACAGCAACAACAGCAACCACAGCAACACGCCTGTTTCAACCACACCCTCAAGCACAACCATGCCCAAGGCTCTGTCTTCAAAGTCGCTGGACGCCGCCAGCATCCACATGGCATCGAACGGTGCGCCTCCACTGATACAAAAGTCGTCGTTGCACGACTTTGAGCGCCTTAAATCGGGAATTGACGACATTCAAAACTCAGACACCAACGGTACCCAGTACAGTGTCGATGTCGGCTCCCAGGGCCTGCGCATGCGTATCCAGACCCAAGGGTACGCCCCCAGCGGCAACAGCAACAGAGGCAGCCCCGTGCCACCGTCACCGGCGCTGTCCACGTCGACCTCCTCGGGCTCCACTTCTGCTGCAGCCTCCAGATCCACCTCGTCTCCTGTGCCACAACAACCTCAGACAGCTGCCACAGCTGCAGGAGGACCTCGACCCGGACAACCTCGGTCGGCATGGCAGGAGGTGCTGATCAGCGCCACGTCGCTGGCATCATTGTCGCAGGACTCGCGAAAGCGACTGCGATACTGTCTGCATCTCCTTAAGCTCGCCAACGCCCATCTGGCTTCCACCGTCACAAAGCTGCAAGGCGCCATTGCCGAGGAGACTGCATACAGTCTCGCGCAGTCCATTGCCGCCAACCATGTGCCTCACAACGAGCGACAGGCGTACCTGCATCAGCCTCCCTCCGCTGAGCCTGCTCTCTCCATCACCGCTCTCAAGGCCGATGTCGTGTCCACGATCCGCAAGATCATCAAGGTTGTCAGCCAGTACGCCGGCAACAGTCTACCCGAGCCGGCTCGGTCGCACATCCGGACATACATTCTTGGCCTGCCCTCTCGGTGGGCCTCTACCACCGCTTCCACTAACATCACCCCAACCCGGTCTCCTGCCGGTTCCCAGTCTCCTGTGGGCTCTCCTAAGGAGTGTGTCACACCTGACCACCAGGGTCCTCCTCTTCCCACAAACACAGTGTCGTCTCCAGTGCCCGAGGGCCCTTCTGACGAGCAGTTGTCGCGGCATCGAATCGAGGTTGAGGCTGGAGGCAAGGTGTTGATTCTTGCCAACGAGGCTCTCGATATGCTGGGCAACATCATCAGTATTGTGGATGGCACCCTGGAGCGTGCCGAGGGTTGGTGCGAGGGCATCAACCGGGTCAAGCAGAGAGTTGGGCTCGGTGAAACCGCTCCTGGCGCAGCTGGGGAACCTGGAGCCTCCACCGAGGCTTCTGCTGAGGCTTCTGCTGAGGCTTCTGCCAGTGCCGCCGCTGCGTACTCTGCTGTTGATACCTCCACGGACCAGGACGTTGAGATGGGAGATGCCTAAGGCTGGCATGACACGACAAGGGACACAGATGAAATGCATGATGGATGATGACACAACACACACAGCATGAAGCATGGCATGATGGAGAACGACATACAGCACAACACAACAGAGAGAGGATAGCATAGGCACAACATATTTCATGTACTCACCACACACAGAACAAGCGACACTGACACATACACACACACACACACACACGCACACACAGCAGCAGCAGCAGCAGCGGCAGCAGCAGTACAGCATTATGCAACCCCTCACAGATGATGCAACACTTAAATGGTTACACACATGGCATATTTAATCACCTCTCTTGTGGGTGCTCCAGAAGATGGCTTTTGGCGTCGGATGACGGCACTGGTTTTCATTTTCCTCGATTACATGTCTGTCTCGGGCGTTGTTTGTCCCCTCGGCACTTTTTCGGCCTCGGCTACCCGGTCCTCGGGAAAGTGTGTCAAGGTTCACAACGGTAAAAAAAGTCAAAGGTGGTGGCGTTTTGGGAGGTTCGGTTTGAAGAGCGGAGCTACTGTGGGCAGCAGCGTTAAACTTGGTGACAAGACAACGGCTGGACGCTGACGTTTACCATTAATTGGCGCTGCTGCCGTGGGTGGCTACTGGATTTGGTCTTTTGCACGAAGACTTATGCGTTGCTGCTTGCGAGTGTGTCTCTGTCTTGGGGTGGTTTGCCACGTGACGGGCCGGTGTGACGCCGAGCGGAATTCGTGTTTCTTGCCCCTTTTATTTCCGACATGTTCCGGCTGCTGCTTCTCCAGCATGTTACCCCACAACCGACGGGTAAAATTTCTGGACGCGCACAAACCTTTTTTGGCTTGCGGTCCAGGGGAAAGGAACCGACAGATGTCTACCACCACCATCAACAAGAGCACACCACCAGTACCAGGAGTACACTGTTACCGCCATTAGCAAGTAGAGTTTATTTATATAATGCAAAGATTATGATGGGTTTTGGGCCGTGGTGTTGGTGTTGGTGTCTGTAGAAGTTTGTGGTCGTGGATTTTGCAGTCGACGCGGCGATTTGGTTCTCCAGGTTCCCGCAGCGAGACCTTCCCCCGGCTTGTAGCTATTATAGACGCTGTTTTTTAGGCGACGAAGTTGTGGAGATTCTTGTCTTCTCGTGTAGACTAGAGTTTGCTGATTGGGGTGAATCACCTTGCGTCTGATTGGCCACAGCGAAGCGAGAGGGGGTGGTTTGGGGGTCTTTTAAAGACGGATATTGGACAGTTTTGGTGGATAAATGGGGGTATTTGGGGCTGGTGAGTCCGTTGCCGGCCTCTATTTATGTCCTACCATCTCCCACAGGCCCTGACAGACCTACCGTCAGGACACACCCGACCAACAACCGAACGGGTAACCTTATTTGGGAGGCACGGGAAAGATACATATATATAGATTGGGGTGGTTGTCTTGATCTTCACACTACCACTACTACACATACACCATGATTCGATCCAGCCGGCTTTTGCGAGTGAAGCCCCAGCGGGCCGTTCGGGGTGTGCAGCGAGTTTCGCGAGCGATCCCCTCGGGAGTGACCCACATTCCGCGAGCCACCGTGACTGCTCATGTGTCTAACTTCTCCACCTTTCGAGTGGTTCGACAGCAGCAGTTTTCCGAGGACGAGCTCGACGTGCTGAATTCCGAGCGAGAAAAGGACTTTGTTGACGTGGCCATTGTGGGAGGAGGCCCTGCTGGTCTGTCTGCGGCCATCAAGATCAAGCAGCTTGATAATGAGCACGGCAATGGCGATCTGCGAGTCATTGTGCTTGAAAAGGCCCCCGATATGGGCTCGCACATTCTGTCTGGAGCTGTTCTCGAGCCCCGAGCTCTGGATGAGCTGATCCCCGAGTGGAGAGACGATCCTCCTGAGCCCATGACTCTTGTTACCGAAGAGACCATGCGTTTCTTCACCAAAAAGTGGGCCATTCCCATCCCCGAGCCTCCCCAGATGCACAACAAGGGAAAGAACTACATTGTATCACTTAACCAGGTGACCAAATGGCTGGCCGAGAAGGCCGAGGAGGTTGGAGTCGAGGTCTACCCCGGATTTTCTGTTTCCGAGCTGGTTTACCGAGACGGAAACGTGGTTGGTGTGGCTACTAACGACATGGGCCGAGCCAAGGACGGAAAGCCCCTTGATAGCTTTGAGCGAGGCATGGAGTTCTACGCCCGAACCACGCTGCTGGCCGAGGGCTGCCACGGATCGCTGAGTAAGCAGGCAATCTCCAAGTACGATCTGCGAAAGGATTCCGAGCCCCAGACCTACGGTATTGGAATCAAGGAGGTGTGGGAGGTCCCTGACGAGGTGTTCAAGTCCGGATACGTGGCCCACGGTCTGGGATGGCCTCTTGATACAGAAACTTATGGAGGAGGCTTCATGTACCACTTTGGAGACAACCTGGTGGCCGTCGGTCTTGTCACTGGCCTCGACTACAAGAACCCTTACATTTCGCCATTCAAGGAGTTTCAGCGAATGAAGCATCACCCCTTCTTCGCCAAGGTTCTGTCGGAGGGAACCTGTATTCAGTACGGTGCCCGAGCTCTTAACGAGGGAGGTCTGCAGTCCATCCCCAAGCTTTCTTTCCCCGGAGGCGCACTTATCGGCTGTTCTGCTGGCTTCCTCAACGTGCCTAAAATTAAGGGTACTCATACTGCCATGAAGTCTGGTATGCTTGCTGCTGAGACCATTTGGGAGCAGTTCCAGGCCGAGAACGAGGCTGGAACCCCTCTGGTGGTGTCTGAGGCTGAGGACCTTGAGCCCGAGCTGTTCAAGACTATCGATCTCGCCAACTACGAGCAGAAGTTCAAGGATTCGTGGATCTACGACGAGCTTCACGAGGTCCGAAACGTGCGACCCTCTTTCCACAACCCTCTCAAGAACTGGGGAGGTCTGCTGTACTCCGGTATTGACACCTTCCTGCTGCGGGGACGAGTTCCCTGGACTCTCAAGCATGCCACCACCGACTCTGCTGCCACCGAGCCTGCTTCCAAGCACAAGGAGATTGATTACCCCAAGCCCGACGGAAAGCTGTCTTTTGATCTGCTTACTTCCGTGTCACGAACCGGAACTAACCACGACGAAGATGAACCTGTCCATCTGAAGCTCACTTCTGACCCTGCTGACGCTCCCTTCAAGATCAACACTGAGGCTGATCTGGCCAAGCATACCGCCGACAACTGGGAGAAGTACAAGGGTGTCGAGGCCCGGTTCTGCCCCGCCGGTGTCTACGAGTACATTGAGGATGACGCTGGTGACGGCGTTCGATTCCAGATCAACTCGCAGAACTGTATCCATTGCAAGACCTGCGATATCAAGGTGCCTGGCCAGAACATCAACTGGACTGTTCCTCAGGGTGGAGATGGTCCCAAGTACTCCATGACTTAAGCACATTCCACTTTTGTCTGTAACTGGGTGCTCCAATACACAATGGCATGTGATCCTGCCCCATCACCTGGGGAGTCCCATGAAGCGCACTCATGAGAGAGTGACTCGTGAGACAACCAATTAGTCCCACAACCCCAAATGTTGTATTTACTTACATGTGTTTTGCACATCCGCGTCCTAGACGTTAATATCATTTTTTTTACATCCACCGTGCTGTAGTCTTTGGATCTTACTGTATCATGTTATCGCGCTGACAACAACAGTGACCCTTCATCATCTGGTTCCGTGTTCAGAACACAGCTTGTAGGTGTCCAGGGACTACACAAGTACGAGTTACTGGTATCGACGTTGATAATTGGGGAGAGTGCCTGAGATCTTGTTCAATACACACGGTACTCGCACTCCCGGTCACATAACATAAATAACTTGATTATATCGTTTTTGCAGAGATCTGCGTCGTTTCAAAGCAGTCGAACACCGCCGTTTGTAGTAGTGAGTGTACAGCCTGAGCTGGTTGCGGAGCAGTTTCTTGCTGAACATGATCGCTCTTGATACATGTCCGTACCACGTTGTTCAAGATGCGTGCTCTTATGCGACCCAAATATTCAACTGCTCCAAATTTTTCTGTTCCAAAGCCATGGCGATATCCTCATCCGAATGGATGGTCACCATGTCTCCGTCTTCGTCCTGGTACTTGATTCGCAGAGGGGCAGGTACCACCTTTCCACACAGTCGCACCTTTCGCTCCACCCGCTCAATCAGCTGATCGTAGGTGACCTTGGCAGGCACAATGAGCGTGAATACGTCCTGGAAATACTGTACGCGTACCTTAATGTTTGAGGGACGCATGGAGCCATCATCAAAGCCAGGAGTAGAAGCAGATCTAGCCCGGCTCATGCCTCCTCCATTACTGCTCGCAATGGACACCGAGCTGTGATTCATGCCGTTAGCCCCGTGCATGCCGTTGATAGAGGTGGTGGAGTGCTGTCGGGGGCCCAGCTTGGGCACTGGGCCTGAAAGAGACCGATTTCCAAGCGTCAGTCGGTCCAGGTCCTCAGACAGATGCGAGCTCTGCTGGGAGTTTCGGCTGCTGATTGGAGACTCCACAAGAGGTGAAAAGTGAGACTCATACGAGTCCTGGTTGTACCAGTCGTGCAGCTGTTTGATGGTAGCATCCCATTGTCGCAGTTGCTCTTCGTGTCGGAACCGCATGGTCATAGAGCCATAGCCGTCTCCTTTGTACGTAAGCGTCAAAGAGTATCCGTTTTCTGTACTAGATATCATGTTGGTCACGTTGGCGATGTAGATTCGGCCCTTGAGAGAAAGAACTGTCTTTTGTGGCTTCTTTGAGGGCAAACTCATTGTCTTACCCTTTTTATCACGTGTCTCTTTGCAACACAGGATGATGGCCTCGAACAAATACACCAGGTACTCATATTCACCGGACTCCTTTGCAATCGTAAGGTGGTCCATGTAGAGCAGGTCTCCAAAATCTTCAAGGTTGTAGCTCTTCCAGCTATCTATTCGCTCGCACAGGTCTTGAATGATAGCCACGTTCTCCACCCTTCGCTGTGTCTCGTTGACACTGTTGGTAACCCGCTTGATGGCCTCCAAACCGTCTAGCAGCTCTGACGCGTAGGGATGGTCGCTGCTGCTTACTTTTACCAGCTCTCGTAGCAGTAATGGGTACTTGCAGATTCGTTGAATGGGCTTGATGAGGAAGGCCTGGAGCTCGTAGGTAGGCTCGATGATGTGGGCGAGGGCGGTGAGTTTGGGGGCCTCCTGAACAGCCAGATCGGAGGACGCCTTTTGGTTCAGCGCGTAGGGCTCGTAGATGTGAAAGCCAGCCTCCATGTTGAGGAAAAGTGCGCCAAAGCGCTGCTCTTCGACTGGCAGAGAGCACACATGTTCAATACCGACCAGTACTCTTCTCTGGAAGTCGACCAGTGCAGATACGTTCAGAAACATGAGATGTATAGTGTCTGGGTTTAGGATTTCAGCTTCCAGGAGACGGTTTTGGTAGTCGTGCAGTATTTCGAGATCCTGGACGTACTTTCGCTCTGTCTGTAGCAGCTCTTGAACCACGTTGTATCGCGCGTCTCGGGTGGCGGGTGCGGTTATGGGTGCAGTTTTCGGAGGCAGCAGGTGTCTGGCCTCCAGCGTCTCCACCACCATGCTGACCGTACGCATCACTTTGATAAGATCGCCCGTGTTTTCGGAAAAGAGGTTGGAGATGGTGAAGAGCTCGTCGTCCGAGTAGCCCAGCTCGGCCTTGCAGCCCTGCACAAAGTCGTAGACCGACCGTTTGCATGTTCGCACGTCGATGGACGCGCGGTTAGCGGCGGCGTGGGGGTCCACTGTGAGTGGAGTTCGAGGTTGCAGCATGTTGAACAAGATGCACAGGGGGGCCCCTAGTCGGAACAAAGACCAGAGCTGGGTAACGGGGTCCAGGGGGATGGAGGGGGGTAGGTGGGTGATGGGCACGATGGACGACATTTCCGAGTCTTCCAGGAAGGGCCGCACTTGCTCAATGTCGTGGAACCGGTCCCGCATGGTCTTGCACATATTGTAGAGCGACTTTTCCGAGTCGGCCTGTCTGTTCATGACGAGGTTTGCCACCGGCATGGGAGCCACCGAGGTGGGGGCTGTTGACTGCACCGACGACATGGACATGGTGGGCGTCATGGATCGCAAACGCGGCGTGGAGGGGTATGTGGAGTTCTGTGTGGACGGCGACAAGGTGGACAGAGACGGGGTGGATTGCGACGAGCTTTTGCGTTGCTGGGGGGTCTTCGTGTATGGCGACGACGGTAGCAGGTTGTTGATCTCCTGGTGCAGCATCTGCTGGTGAGCCAGGTTGTCATTTGGCGGAGACAGTCTTCGAGAGGATCCGTTCATGGTGACCGACGGGAGCAAGGGGGGACCGTGGTAGTGGACGGTGCGTGGTTTTGAAATGGATGTGCGTGGGAGGGTGCGAGGCGTGTGGTCACGTGGGCGGGCGATGCGACTAGTCCCGTGGCGATGATGGAAGCGTGCCTGCTTTTGTGTCGTGTGTGTGCTGTGTCGTTCAAACTCACGTCGTCACGTCCTCTCAGGTAGTGTCAACAAGTGCGGTGGGCCTTTACAATAGCAAGACACCGAACCTTATGGGGATACGAGTGAGGGGGGGGAGAGGACTGGGGGTGGTAATAAGTGGCCGATAAACAACTGAGATAGAGAGTTAGTGGCGGACCCTGAGCCTAAACAAACCACAGACAACCACCACCGCTTATATATATATATATATATATATATATACTTCGATAATTACAAGCGGACACAGTTCGCACAGGAACCCGACTTTTGCGGCCGTGGTGTTTTGGCCTCGTATCCGCTCCTTGTCGTTTCCCAACATTGTTCGGACTCCTTGTTTTAGTTGGGAGATGCGCAGCCCCTGGATGTTAGTCAGCCGAGCCTATTTGGGCCGCGGAACGTCAATTCTGGCCGCGGACACGGCGTGAGATGACCATCAAAAGGTCTCCTCCGTGATAAAGAGCCCGGATTTCCCATCTCTCTGGTGAATTTTTCTACTCTGTGACCCCACGATCTGGCCCCACGATCTGACCTCTCGATCTATCGAGTTGTCGGGCTTTGAAAATCTTTAAAAAAACCTTTAAAAAGATTTGGGAGGACGAGTGTGAGGGTAGAGCACGAGACATGTTGTATAGTACACACGAGAAGCACAAGTACAGTACTTGTAGGTATAAGACTTGTAGAGAACAAGTACAAGTACAGTACAATATAATACAATACAATACAATACAATACAATACAATACAATACAATACAATACAATACAATACAATACAGTACCTTCACTGTAGCTCTTCTACCCATTGCAATATCCAAACAAGAAGTGGTCCGATGACTCGCATTCGTGGTTCTTTTCGTCGCCAAAGTCCATTCATTGTACAACGAAGAAGCCGTTTTACCACGTGGCAACGAATTGCGAGACCCTTGATGTGTTTTCTACAGCACGAGACCTCGTGTTGCTGTAGCCGGTTCTATTTATAGACCATATTCCATCCACATCTCTCTCTCTCTCTCTCTCTCTCTACAGTTATGTGAACAACGCACCTGTGCAGACAGACTCCGAAGTGCTCAGTGGAATTAGCCGCCGAGACGCGCTGAATACGCTCTTATTAGACCTTTGCTTTCTTTGGGCCTCTTTTGTCTCACCGAGCGTCCCCAGAACATTTTATACACCGCGCCAACTCGTCCAACAACCTATTTTGTTTTACCACTCTTGTATGTTGTTAATTAGAGCGGCGCATTAATACGTTGAAGGTAATACGTCGGGCCAGTAAAGTTTCAGCTGAAACCGTCACATTGAACAAACATGCGCAGTCTCTCAGAGGCGCAACAGAGATGGTAGGGACGTGCAAAGAGTCTTTCTAGAATCCAACAAGTCCAGATATATGCCCTCTTTCTCTCAAAATGGAATTCCAGCAATTGAACTCCGATATAACCCCGTCCTCATTAGACTCCCACAGAGTTTGGCATCGTCGTGGTTATTATTATTGAAGATCATGTTGGATCATAAGTACGATTGATTAGATATAGATGTAACGACTCACTTCTAGGGACACCACGTTCCGATACACCAGAAGGGTCATTTACCAGAGACATTCAGATACACTATCTACAGGATGGACATCTCGTCCAGGTAGTGTCCTATCGGGGGTATTACAGTACCTTCAACAAGTTTCTACAAACCAGTCCCGTAGTTGTAACATTACGATACGGGCTCTGTTCCTACCCAATCAGATTACAGAAGCTCATTGTCATTAAACGAGTGCAGGAGTATCCCACAAATAATTTTTTTTCACTATATATATTCACTATGTATATATATATATACACTTGGTTATAACACAATTTTTTTTCTTTCATGGAGACTCATTTCCAAGTCCAAGTAAAGATCACAAGTGTAAGTAAAAACTAAGTATAGTACAAAGGTACATTATTGGACAGTACTGGAAAGTAAGTGTTACCTAACAAAACAGCCTAATACGAGCAGTAGTTGAAAACACACAAGCCCCACAAGCCTACTACCGTAGTCGCATTATAACTGAGCTCTGAATTAAGTTGTATTATCCCCGGCAGTTTTTTTCTATTTTATCTCCTTTTTTTTTTTTTTTTTGTTTTTGTTCCACAAATTATTTCATTTGCCATTATCGAACGCTATCACACAACAGCCGCACAAAATCACAAGCCGCAGGATAAAAGACAAAAATATATAATATACGATAAAAATATAATAAATACTCAATAATATAATAAATAATCAAAAATGATCAAAAATATAATAAAAATAAAAATAAAAATAAAAATAAAAATAAAAAATAAAAATAAAAAATCCAAACGTCCCAACGCCCCAAAAAGAGATACAGCACAAAAAAAGCAACTTCTTTGATCCAAAACTAGCCCACAACAGCCCAACAACCAGCAGTAAATTTAAGTTTGACACATATAGACTCAAGGTTTGTATCACGTGACAATTTTTCACGACTTTGAACCGCTGTTGAGAGACCTTAATGAGCGCCAACATCTAATTTCACCAATGAATCGTGGCCATTGGACGTCAGAAATACCTTTGTGTTTGTTAAAACGGCAATATCACCACAATAAGTCGGACCCTAACCCTACTCACGTGACCTCTAACCGTCCCAACACCGTCCCGACGCACCAATCGCCCGAGTAGCGCAATGGTTAACGCGTTGGACTTCTAATCCAAAGATTGTGGGTTCGAGTCCCACCCCGGGTGTATCTCTTTTTGATTCCGCGTCTTTCCTTTTGGCATTGATGATTCGAGCTGATCTACGTCGCTTTTTTTAGATAATGTGTCAGCAGCAGCCTCTGTCCGGTTTAGATCCGAGTTTCATAGTCGAGTGAGCTAATCGGCACTCCCACAGGTTCGGGTCACTGTTCGGACGTTCCGTACATACTTGAGTCTGGTCAAAGCGACATCAACTTTGGGGATAACATGCGACAGGTTTGGTTTAAGGGTTGCATTTCTCTGTTTGTTCCTGTACGTTGTTGGTATGTCTTCTCTGGGAAACTGGCTGCTCGGATGGCGATGATTACTGTATTCTCAGCGAGCAAAGAGTGAGGTTTCACCACTCCAACGACTTTATTTGTCGTGTCTCCTGACCTTGGATTATCTAGACCTAGGTCGGGACATTGATGTTCCAGTCTTGTATTGGAGAGACGGAAGGGCGACTTTTTGAAGATGAGCACTTGAAGATGAGCACGAGAAGAACCAGCATTTGACCAAACATATCCGAACGAGACAAAAGGTTGCATTTTAGCGAAACCCAGCCTATCAGAGACGAGGTTGGGGTGATAATCTAGTGCTATCTAGTGCAATCTAGTGACGAACATGTATCACCCCGGTTGTACCGAGAGAGTGCGGAGTTGAGTTTATGGGTGCATTATCGTAACCTTAGATTGGTGGTTTGGCCCAAAAAATGAGAAAAAAGAAGAAAGAAAAAAAAAAGAACAAATAGAGACAAAAAATCAAATAAAAAAAAACACAAGAAAACCAGACAACGGTTAATTGAGCCATCCTCAGTCTGATTGACGCTCCGCACCGTGGCAGCAGCTATAACACAACTCCTAGAGATTCTGCAACACGGTGTGCAGATTTCCCATCAGAGTATGATCCTGAGACCGACGAACCCGACTGACCATCGGAAGCCTTGTCGACTTCATCCAAATTGATTTAGAGGCCCATTTTTGATTATATATGGACCTCGTCTGCCCCTTGTTTTCTCTTCACCACTCTTCCATAACAGCTCTACAACTAACCACGACTACTTCCCCCAACATGAACACCAACGTTGATATTGACAAATATCAGCCGATTGGCCTTCTTTACTGCGTTTTTGACCGCCAGATGGGCTCATTCACAAGATGATCGCTTGCGTCTGAAGATGGCAACACCAGACCAAGTACAATATCACAAGCACTCTTACTTCCAGACAAAAGTGCACAACTACTGGGGTTCTGAAAAGACGTTCTGCATTGCTGAAGATACTGTGGAGGCCCCGTGGAGATTATCTTGATAGGAAGATCATCTGTATCACCATGCTCAACAAAGTCCTTTTGCGACTGCTCCAACTGTGATGAATCCAGGAAGAAGCTACTTCAGAGTCGTTTTCGAAAGACGAGCTCTAACATCGCCAACTTGACAAGTTGATGGCACCTGGCTGGAAACACAGAAAATGCAATCAAAGGCCCTGTGTGACAAACTGGAACCGCACGCTATACCTCTGGATGTCAGAGTCTCAAACAAATGGGCTGGGGGGTAACAAGTACGACCCCAGCTTTGACCCCCAACTTTGATAATATGGCTCTGCGTACAAGTGGCTACGTCCCATATTCAATTCAACAAGCACATACTCGTACTGTTCATTCTATCTATGTTTTACCCCAGTCTTGACCCTTATGTCCCCTTCTGCTAGTTGTAGTCGTTGAATCACTGGTGAAAAACCTGGCTGCCAAAGGAGAGATAAGTGGTGGTTCATTGGTGATCTTTTTCATGGCCTCCAGCAAATGTGGATCTTTGCTTTTTTCAGCACCTCGCATGTTTCCTCGCTCCTAGGAACTGGTTTCTGATCTGAACAGAATACTTCATAACCGCTCAAAGGATCGAGCCAGAAAAGCCGATGACACCCAGAGTTCAAGTCTCTGGAATCCCTACAGTACATTACGTACTCGTACTCTTAGTCAAAGTAGTTTGCTTTGGAAACAAACACGACTGCCTGTTTCTCAAACTGCCCTGGCGCCTCACAGCGCTCGACCCTATAACCAGCTGTCAGACATACTCACATACAGTAATATCAAAAATCTATAATCTATTACGTCTATTAGTTCAATCAAACACCGTTGTGTTTTCGCTGTTGTTTTCGCGCGCTGGCGTACGGTATTGTAGCAAGTGCAATGGAGCGAAAGTGTCTTGTACATAGGTTGGGTTGTATGAGGGAATGCTGCAAGAGCCTGTTCAAGCCATGTTTTCCAGCATCTTCTGCATATAATAATCATGATGAGAGTACTGTTCACCAACAATTGCCTTGATCAGAACAAGAATTCGGTCCATTCGATCGTAGATCTTGTTGGCGATGGAAACAGCACTGAGGAAGGTGGCAGAATCAGGAGTGTTGACGGGACCCTGCAAGTTTGCATCCATCAAACGCTTTCGAGCAACAGCTGCATGCTCATGGTACAAATGTCCAGGGGTCATCTGAGGCAAACCAATACCTTCTCGAAGACCGGTACTTGCCATGAACACGACTGAGAAGAAATTTGACATGAGGACAGGGTGGTCCCATCCCACACATCGAATTACCTCCGGCAGCCACTTCTCCACGTCTTCCAAACGCTTGATGACAAAATACAAATGTGCGTACAACTCCACCAGCTCCGAACAGAGAGCCAGAAGCTCCATATAGCTTCGTCGTGGCCAAGGACCTGAAAGGTCAGGCTCATACTTGATCACACCAGAGAGTCGCTTGGCTCCCATGAGCTTCAGCACACACATTTCAATGTTGTCCGAGAAGGGATCGTCAGTGGCATCCACCACCAGTCCAGGGTGCTTCAATTTCTCCGCGGCAAAAGTCATCACCTGGCAAAACAGAGTACCTGTATTGCCCACAACAGATGCAACAATAAGTCGGACGGCTTTCTTGCCGGACTTGGGATGCGGGAAATTGCAGCAGATCATACCAATCACAATACCAACACAGACGGTGACATAACGATGCCATGCCGCAGTGAAACCGTAGCCAACATAGACAGCTCCTGGGTTCTGACCATCGAGCCACGAAATGGAGACAACCAGACACATTGCAATGCACAACATGAGTCTGGGCACCGGGGAGACTCCAGGCGGCCAGAACTCTCGGTAGAAATGCATCAGCAAGAGAACAATGCCAAAGGCCACCATGAAACCATAGGCGTTACCGTGACCGTTACCAGTGGAGATGTACCATGTAACCATACCAATGACCACAGCATAAAAAGTGTGGAAGATACGGTTGACGGCAGAAAACATGTTATCTGCAGCATACTCGGCCACAGACATACCGGTCATAACCACAGCCCAGTAACATCGGTTCTTGTAGTACCAGTAATGGGTGTTTGTGAACAGAGCCGGGGTCAGGGCAGCCACACAGAATAGCGCTCCTTTGATAGGGACAAGCCAGGACGAGGCACGCGATCTGGCGTAGAATAATCGTACCTTCTTTCCAATCTTGTGGCCCCAGTGACGGGCAGGAAGGGCGTCTGGATCTCGCTCTGCCTTCAGGGGAGTGATTTTTTCGGCCTCAGCGTCGTTTCCAACGAGAGCATCAGCCGAAGAAGTGAAGACAGAAATGGATGCAAATTTCAGAGAAGCCATTTTGAAAATGCCAGTAATCCAGTGGGGGGTGGGATGATCTCGGTCAAAAGATATGAGCTTTTCAACCATGAAAGTAATGGTTCGATTCACTTCTTCAACGTAGCCACAATAAAGAGTCTTTTGAAGAATTAGGTAAGGACTCATTGTGTTTTCAGTAACAGCAAATCGCTTCTCGCGAAACGATTCAGTTGCCTTCGAAAAGTGTTCGTAAGCTGAAGATATTTCCAGAGCCATTGTTTGCTGGTCAAGCACGTGCTTCTTGTGTAACCAAGGCAACCAAGACCATCCTCGAAAGTCATTGGCTACAGTAATCCACTTGATAGCCACCTTCATCATGCCTGCTTGTTCCAAAACCATGGGACCACAAATATCAGACAGGGTTTGAATGGTCTCATCGAGATCAGAAAGAGTAACGGGTTTTTCGGATTGTCTCAAGACGCTTGCGACCGAATGCTGGGTTTCATACACACCCACAGGGGCATACTTCTTGTGGATCTCACTGATGACAGGCTCAATGCTTGCCTCCTTGTCCTCAATTATGACGCGCCGCAAGTGTTCGATCGAATCGAAAATCATAATGAGACCAGTCAGCTGGGAAGTGAGACGCCGGGCTGTGATTCGCGCGCTCTGGTATCCAGCAATGGTGAATCGGGTGAAACTGAATTCAAGAGGAATAGGTCCTGACGACATCCTCAAGACAGGACCCAGACTCCGTAGACCAGAGACACACTGTTCGAGTTTCCAGTACCCTAGCCAAGTATCGGGAACACTCGGCTTGGCCTGGGCTAAGAAGCCAACCTGCCATTCCAATGTCTGTACAACAGCCCCCTGGAACCTCAGCAGCTTAGTGGTGAACTGGTACCCCGATGTGAAGGGGAAGAAAATTATTGCTACCACCACGTTGGCAGCAAGTCCGATACCCATGGGCTTGAGCATGCCAGCACCAATGGTTTTAGGGGCGTACCAAGGGAAATGCATAGCTGAGTCTGCTGCCACAGCTGCAGCGATAAACGAGGTTGAAGCTCCTGCTGCGAATGTCATGGGGTCGTGGAACTTGCACCAGAAACAAACTGTACAAGCCACGGCAACCCAAATGGCGTAAACAACACCGGGGCCGGCTTTCATGTAGTGGCCGTGAACACAGTAGTCCGTCATGCATGCAATGAGTTCCTTCTTAGGCAAACTGGCTGAACACACACCTCTGGAAATCACATCCTTGAGAATGTCAGCTTGCGTAACAGAGTCATAAAAGTACCTGTTGGCAATGTATCCAGGAATGATGTATCCACACACCCAACCCCAGACGATGAAAGCACACAGCACACAATTTGCGATGAAAGCTCCGATCACTGAAACCTGCCCTGACGTCTGCACAACTGTCATGATTAATGCCAGGTGTGCCGAGGAGCCTGTCCATGCCCAGGCTGGCTTGACTGTGAGTAGAAAGAGCATGGAGAAGGATGCTGCCCAGTTTCGGAGAATGATCTTGGCGGACTTTAGATTCAGATTGTTTAGAAACCAGTCCGGATGGACGAACCGGTACCAGTACGGTTTACTGGGCGGCGGCGGCGGGCGATTTGGATACGCGCGATAGGATTGTATGTATGGCATGCTAGTTGGAAATTGAGCGAGTACTTTGCTAGAGTGTCAACAGGTGCGGACGGAAAGATAGAAAGGGAAGAGGAATGCAAGCAAAATCTGGGTTAGTAAAGAAGGGGGTTGTCCGAGACGGTCAGACACCATAGGTAGACTGGTAGTGCTGTGATTCAGACCCATCTCAACCTATAGAGAGAAAAGGCCAGGAATCTCGGAGAATGATCCAAACGGAAGTATGCTGTTACATAACATGGCAAGTGTGGCTTTTTCAACGACATTGCCGAACATGTAGTATATGCCGTCCTCCACACATGGTATCCTCGAGCCAGTGGCTCCCAGCAACTTGTACTGTCACGTCTCTAGCCCGTAAAACAGTGCGTGTCGCAGTAGGCCTTTGGACATTCTCGGGTCGTTCTGTCAAAGCTGTCAAATGTCGTTGTCATCTGTACGTCGGTGCCAAGGGGTCTGCTAATGCAGGTGTCGTATGTACTGTACTCACGGAGAAGTGTCGAAGAGAAACGTCAACGGTCGAAGAAAGGTCGGAGAAGGAACAATAGGTGGCGAAGAGTAGGACACGAAAGTGCACCAGGTAAAATGTGAAACCCGTGAGAGATAGAGTTGATCCACGGGGTATAATTGTTATTACGTCGCTGGATTCAGTTAGACTCGAGAGAGCTGGAACTCTGCGTTATTTAATATGGGAGGGGTTAGTGGGTATAGAAAGCCCGTGAAAGCCGGAAATAAAATTTAGAAAAGACCACTCCAATATAGACGACGACGACAGTCCACAGAATCTATTTTTATTGCGATATGAGGAGTATTCATACATTTACCACCCCCACAACCGCACATGTCAAACGCACAGAATACACCTTATTTGCAACAATGCAGGCAAGCAGGTTTTTTTTATCAGCCGTACGGTTTGCAAAAGACGCCCTGTGGGAATAACAGACCCACAGATTGCACTGACAGATACATTGGCGGGCAATATTCCCGTAGCTGGTCTTTTGCAATCACCTTGTACAATTATCCATGTACACAATCCGCTATTTCCCTCCACTACGTTCATGTCCAAACTCTCTTTTTGGGGGCTGTACTAATCATAGTCTTTTTCGGCTAAAGCTTGTTGTACAGTATACAAGGGTGTTTGTTCTGCTGCGCTGCACTCGTAGCTGTGGAGAGATGTGATGATGGATGGCTCGAATAAATATCAATGCGTGAGGTCCGGTTGACCGCGGGAGGAGGGGGGGTAGCCGTCGGGACAGCTTGGGGGTAGCTGTCTGGTTTTTATATATATATATACAGCGTGGTCTTGGTCTGTTGTCGATCCAACCCCTTACACCTCCTGAACAGGACATATGAAAAGAGATCGACATTTGATTCTAGCGAGCGAGAAAACGTTAGTCAGCAGCGTTGCAGATTACACAATGAAAGTCTGAAGCTGAAACAGGGTTCCGCGTGGACTTGCATTCATTTACGGGGGTTCGTGGTGGGGCGACAGCATGACAATGGTGAGAAGCAGCCAAGTGCAGCATGAGTAGATTGAGCGAATTGGAGATGGGAATTGGAGATTGAGGAATGAAGGAAAAAAAACCAATTAAACCAATTAAACAGAATAAACCAAATAAACAGAATAACAGAATAAACCAAATAAATCAACTAAACTAAATAATCCAAACTCCCGATCCAAACCCCGATCCACTCCCTCCGATCCAAACCGCTTGTTCCTTGTTTTGCGCTAAAAACGGTTTTGTCAGTCTTATACGTCTACTCATTGTTCGACTCTAAACGGACCCTTGGGTAATCGACAAATCATTGAGCCCACAGCCAAGAAAAATGGCAGATGGCCATTCTGGGCTAACACAAAAACCCCGCCAGTCATCCCGGGAAACTCGTCCAACTCCTCTCTACGGACAAAACAGGTTGGCACAGGGTACATACCGTAGTATCCATAGTTGCTATTTTAACACACACCTTGTATCGGTTAAAATTTTGGGTTTCGGAGTTATCGGATATGACAGGCCCCGAGAACCTGTCTGTCTCCTCCGTACAGTAATTATAACGGCAGAACCGCGTAACGCACGGGATTGGGGTTTCGGCCGCAGCAGAGGACCCAGGTCACGTGATACTATCAAGAGTGCAATCCTAAGCTCACATCAGTTTGATACTGGTACTGGTACGTACCCGGTCTACAAGTACACTATGTACGAATGCTAGGGCTATAGTGTTTTTTGCGAATTGACATCATTTTCGATGCTTTGTAATTCCCGTCTTTCCGTCTTTGAACAGAAAAAAAAAAGCCGAATGAAGAGCCTTCACCACGTGGACGCAGGGCACAGTTTCAGCAGCGAGTCATGGTGGTTACAGTACTGTACGTACAGTACACTGTATGTATTGTGCATCACACAGCAATGAGGTTATGAAGGAAGAACAAGTCACATGATAAAGCAACTGGAGTCGTATTATTTCATGTGACTTTCTCTTATCCACTACGATGTTGCCATAGCAACATTTTTATTTGTATCATAGCACTAGACAAAAAAGTACACGCAATTCCGTGGGTGAGTTCAGAAAAAGTAAAGTGTCAACACCGGGCGGACTTGAAGCGGCGCAGAGTTGGGCCGTTGGTCTTGTTAAGGCTAATAAAAGCACTTCTTCAAATCTCCCTCACTTTGCTCCTTTCAGGTTCATCAGTGCGAGGGATCCCGAAAAACTACGAAAGGTCATGGGGGGAAAAAAACCCAAGGAGCTCCAATCGGAACAGTTGTAATTAGTGACTGATTCTGTGAGCTACCGGTCCGTCAAGTTCATTAAATAATCATGGGCATTAAAATATTCTATTGAACTCTAGTATAAATAATTTACGATATTCGTACTCGTACGTAATTCGAGAACTGTGCCTGCCAGATGCACCAGCTTAGGCAACATCGCGTCGCATCAACTCCTCCAAATAGTACTCGTGTCCCCAATATTGCTCTCCAACCACCTCCTTTGTGGTGACCAGGATTCGATCCATTCGGTCATACAGCTTGTTAGCCACACTGACAGCAGCCAGAAACACACTGGCATCTTCAGTTTGAGGAAGCAGAGTGTTGATGACACCGTCAGGCTGGGCACTGTTGCTGCTGTCACTGGCTCGTTTTTCCTGGCTGCTCTCATCCTTGGATTCCATTGCCATGCAATGAACTTCACGGGACACAACTTTGGCATGCTCGTAGAACAAATCGGCCGTGGAGATCTGAGGGAGTCCCTTACCCTGTACCAGTGCTCCGCTCACCATGTACACGACCGAAAAGTAGTGGGCCATGAGATGGTGGTTTCGCCAGCCAGCAACAAGCACGATTTGTGGAAGCCACAGATGCACATCCTTGACACGCTTGATGAAGGTGTACAGATGCAAAGTGAGCTCAACGACCTCGAAACAGAGACAGAGCAGCTCATTGTACGCCTTTGCGGGCCAGGGTCCGGACATGTTGGGCTCGAACTTGACGACACCAAAAAGACGCTTGGCTCCCATGAGCTGCAGAACCGTGCCCGTCACATGACTAGCCACGGGATCCTTTGTAGCATCGACAACTAGGTCAGGATTCTTCATTCTCACGGCTGAGAACTCAGACACCTCGCAGAAGATGCTGGCTGTCTCTCCAATCACGCCACTGAGGATCTTTCGAATCATCTTCTTACCAGACTTGGGTCTGGGGACGTTCGAAGCAATGGTTCCAATACCGATGCCGGCAACCACACAGACATATCGATGCCAGGCTGCCGTGAATCCAACACCAATATCGACGGACGAGGGCTCTTGGCCATCGTACCATGACAGACCCAAGACCAGGTTCATGGCAACAATAAGCATGATTCTGGGGAAGTAGGATTTTCCAGGAGGAATGAACTCTCGGTAGCAAATGGCAAAGAAGGCAATGATACCCATGACTACTCCGAAGCCGTAGTAGTTGCCTCGTCCGTTACCTGTGGAGATGTACCAAGCCACCATTCCAATCACAACGGCGTAAAATGTATGCAGAACTCGGTTGAAGGCGTTGAACAAGTTATCTGCGGAAATCTCGGCCATAGACATGTTGGTCATGACTACAGTCCAGTAGATTCGATGCGAGTAGAACCACCAGTGCGATTGTTTGATGAGACAGGGTAACAGAGGGATGATTGTAAAAAGAGAGGCTTTGATGGGGGTCACTAAACGAGGTTGAATGACAAAGTGGTACGCTGCTCGGACCTTTCCTCCAATACGGTGCAGAATATGCTGAGGAGCACCATGATCGGGATCTCGAGAAGTAGGAAACCGGGTCTCGTTCTCTGTAAGGGCTTCGTTGCTGACCGCAGCCTTCCCAGGCGACATGACAAGCAAACCGGCGAGCTTGTGGAGCTGGAGATGTTTCCAAGACAGTCCAGTGGTGAATCCTGGGGTTGCGCGGTTATGGTCCAGTTCGCTGAGCTGGTCTACAAGCAGAGTCAAGACTCGAACTAGCTCGTTAATGTACTCCACATATAGAGCCTTTTGCATGGCCAGAAATGGGGTGCTCTTTTCGTCGTGGTGGGAGTGGATTGACATGAATCGCGACACTGCCTCTTCATATAGCGCACGAGATGAAGCCAATTTTTCAGCCATTTCTCGTTGTCTGGACGCATGTTTCGACCGGATGAAGGGGAGAATAGTGTAGAACCGGAAGTGGTTGGCGGTTTCAATCCACTCACAGCACACAGCTAGAGTCTGGATCATGGCTTCGAGAATGGGAGAACACGTCATGTTGATATCCTCGAAGGCTGCGTCCAATTGCTCCAGAGTCAGGGGACGATCGGCCAAAATGGAGGACATGGACTTTGTAGCCTCGTAGTTCCCAACTGGGTATGGCTTTCCATTGGGTCCTTCTTTCTGCTCTCCGGCCTGGTATCCCCCTACAGACACCCTAGCCTGTTCGAAACTGTCGTAGATTGTGGTGATTCCCGCACAGGTGCTCGTGAGTCGTGAAAAGGTGATGAAGAATGAAGGGTACAGCTTGAGAGGGAACCGGGTATAGGACACCTCCAGTGGTATCGAACCAGAAACAATTTTGAGAACAGGAACGAGCATTCTAGTTTTAGCCACAAGACCCTCATGGCCGTTGTAGGTTTTCCAGTTCTCCATAGACGGCTTCACCCCGTTCATAAAGTCCTTCTGGAACTGTAGAATCGACTGGACGCCTTTGAACGCTCGGTTGACATACGTGGTGTACTGGAAGCCAGCAGTAAAGGGGAAAATGATGATGGCCACCAGCAGATTGGTAGCAAAAGCAATTCCCATGGGTTTGGTAATCAGAGCTCCTGTCTCCTTAATGTCCACCCACGGCGTATGCATGGAGGTCTGGGCGCACACGGCTGTAGCAATCATTCCAGTGATGGCTCCATTACCGTAGAATACAGGGTCTCTGAACTTGAGGAAGAAGTTGATTGAGCAGATGACTGCAAACCAAAAGGCGTAGACCACCGAGGCGTTACCCTTCATGAAGTAACCATGTTCACAGGCGTTCATTAAGCATTCCTCCAGTTTAGGCCCCGCCATACAGACTCCCTTGTCGATGAGTATCTGGGCAAAGTCCTCCTTTTTCAGCCCGTCGTAAAAGTAGTGGTTCGAGATATGCTATGGCAAAATGTTTCCACAGATCCACGAACACACAATGTACATCATCATGACAATGTTGGTGATGATGGCAGTTGGGACCGATAGCTGGCCCGAAGGAGACACAAAGGTCATGATGGGCAGCAGATAGATGGTGCTTCCAAACCACTTGCGCGAGTAGGGCACAATCTCGATGATAATCATGCCGAAAGTCGCGCACCAATCTCGGAAGATGATCTTGAACGACGGCCAGTCCAGGTGTTCTGTCACCCAGATGGGATGCAAGAAACGGTGCCAATATGGCAGTACCGGTGGTGGCGGCGGGCGATTCGAGTGGGCTCGCATGGATGTGGAGGAGATTGAAGGTCTTCTCTCGTCTTTTTCTGTGGCATTTTGTGTCTCGCAACGGATATATTCGGTATAACCCTGTTTGATCCTCCGACAACGGGGGTGGGTACTGTGTCTGATGAAGTCCTGCCGGGGGGATTTTTTCAGACGGGAAAAGACATACTACTAATATTGAGACTGTTCTGGATCGTCTGGACCAGGTGTCTCCAAAGAATCTCCTCTAGATATCTCACAAATGGGTATCTCCATCAACCCGTATTTCTCGGATTAACATTATCATATACGTCGCTAACAGTTAAAGCCGTGCGGGTGGGGATCCGGAAAATGCGACGTAAAACGTTCAGAAAAGCTGCAATCGTCACGATTTTTTTTCTCGTGGCCTTTTTCAACTCCCCACCGCCCTATATAACAGACAAATCTCCGCTAGACCGCTATATTCGTCGCCTAACAGTAGTCATAAAAAATCGGCTCCCCCTAACCCATGGTCCATCCTCGCAAACTCAAAGGGGGGGCTGTAAGCTGCACACTGTAAAGGGAAGGAGAGACAGCTTTGCAGTGAATGATGTTGTCGAGGGAGCCAAGAGACAGACGGGATGTTTTTTCGAATTGTATTTCCGAGTTGTTTTTTCGGGCCACGTGACGCCCGTTCGACTGACGTTTTCGTCATGTGTCCGTGCTTCTGACAGATTTGAACAAGAAACGACTTTGTATATCTGGTCTGACCCTTTGTTCTATAAGCGGAAGTTTAATACAATTGTGGGGTTGACTGGTTTTCCTCCAACGGGTTGGTCTGCCCGTTTTATTTGCGGACAGACCGAAAGTGCTCCAAAAAGAACCCCGGATTTCAAAATCTTCCATGCTATATCTCCACATCCACCCTGCTCCAGCCATACATTGCTCTCAAACCACTCTTTTTAGCGATAATCAATCTAGCCCACTGCATAAGCTCCCGAATCTCTCATGCGATATTATGGGGAGTTTTTTTTACACAGCATGCCCGGTTTACTCCCCCAGGAAAATGAAGAAAAACTGTTACCCAGCCCAGCCTTGCAGAAATCAACCTCATACTTGCTCTTCTACACTACGGGCTCTCGCATTTCCAACCGCCCCAATGGCCAAGCACAAGACGTATCACAGCCACACCATACAAGGCGCCACATGTGCATCGGGGTGTACTGGATTATGTGGAACTCTACCCAGTACAGTAGTGCGTATGGCGTTGAACTTTCATGGCAAGTTGGTGATGTAGGCTATACTAAGCGAATGAGAACTTGAGGGGTCAAACGGCGAAAAAACGACTTTTACAAGTGAGACACGGGGACTTATACCAAGGAGGTCACGCCGTCCGTGGAGCAGCTGTTCCCAGGTCCGAAAAATCGATCGACAGGAGATAATTTAACCCTCTAGCTAAACTATTATCTCCGATAATCAGAGGTTTAATTGGCTGTCGTAAGCTCGAGTTTTATTTTCGGGACGTTTAGGCGAAACCTTGATGTAGAAGTGCCCCTGGATGGGTGAAGCAGAGATAGCAAGATAGTCAATACAGGTAGTACCGGTAGTGTAAGTATAATCAGTTATTGCAGAAAAGAGGTTGGATTGTCGCTCTCCTCTTGTGATCAGTATACAAAAGAGTTTGGATTGTCGCTCTCCTCTTATGATCAGTATACAAGAGTTTGGCTTGTCGGCCTGCTCGTCTCGTTTCCGCCCACCGAACAGATCCAGACGTTGGATTCTCCAGGTCAATTTACTACTATCCGAAATCAGACGAAACAGGACTAAATGCTGGAAAGTTGAATCCCATACACTTTCCAGAGCTTGGGGATCTACGTACTGTACTTCCGGCTGAATTGGAGTGCTCTTTGAGTCGGCCGTTTGAGTCGGCTGTTTGAGAGTCACTTGTCTATTGAAAATATCTCGTTATCCTCTATACGCCCTCATAAAAGTACAACTACAAGTACGTATTGTAGTACACTCTGCATGCTGAAATACAGTACCAGTACTACAGTACATACTCGAGCCGCTCAGCTGGTGATCAACATGCTACTTTTAGCAAAGTTCAATGTGGGGATGTATTGATTTCTGAGTACATGTTGATGTATGAGACAGGGTGGGTCTGTTATTATGGTGTTACTCCTCCGAATCGGAGCTGATGAGTATGGTCTACTGCTACAAGGTCAGACAGCTCTCGAAAACAGTCGGTAGTCTTGCAAATTTGGAAAATCGGCCGTCCATGTGGCCGTACAAGGATGACCAACAACTGGATAATTTTTCAGGATCGTCGGGTACTGTAGTAATTAACGACCCCAAAAGAGACTAGTAATTACCGATTGTATGGTCAATAAGCACAGAAGCTGGCAGGGGGATGTGCAATTGAGCCAAAAGACAACGTTAGACGTGGTGATCTTCGAGAAGAGTGGCTCTCACATGCGAACTTACAGCTGATGTGACACCTGCAGAGGCTTCTGCTGTATTGTATTGATGTAGACAGTTGCCCGTGCGCAGGGACCGGGCACGATATCGACAAGCTCCACAAGACTTCATTGTTGATTGAATATTGTTAAAATATGATATAAATATAAAACAATTCCAACAACTGAACATCTTGGTTGGCGATACGGTACTATTTCCGCGCTAACAGACTCCTTCCCGCTATCGATGTACATTATCTGGAGCTAAATCTGGGAGGTAAGTTTGGACCGGATGTCCGGCGATTCAAGGCTGAATGTTGGCTGTAAATAGCAGTATCCAACTCATCCAATCATCTCAGACTTTTGTGATTGTCACTGTTCGAAGACTCGCCACAGCCAGCCCTGTCAATACTATGCAGTCTATTCCAAACACTAGAGCCGTGCAGAAGGTACAAGTATGTACTGTACTGAATGTACTGTACTCCACAAGTCCCGGAATGCAATTGTTACTCAGAGATGGATTAATGAGCCAAATCAATGCCCCATATGTCTTATTCAAGGTATTGAACTCGTAGTAACAGCATCAGCACGTGTATCAGTAACAGCATCAGTCCGTGTATCAGTAACAGAATCAGTCCGTGTATCAGTAACAGCACTCAGCATCGTGTGTGTATCTTGATGGTATATCTTAGGAATCCAGATAATGATCATTACTACCAGGGGAGTGTCTAGGATTGGTGCCAGTCATTTTCAAAGAATCGATTCAAACAATTACATCAACTAACCATAGTCCGTTCTGTGGAATGGGAAACCGACGTGAGTGACAAACCGCTAGTTTCCATTTGAGGGGCAAATTCACTCAGCTGAATTTATCAGCCTGATGGCTCCGTAGAATTCCCTACTAGGATGGGAAGACTCCTGAAGAGTCTCTTTGAAAGTGCTCTACAATTGTCGTATTAAGACTCTTCACAGGAAAAGGGTTATTGTGGTTCAGACTAGTGGATCGGCTATACAACTACTGTACTTTCAATCACAATTGGTTAGCTATAGAATCTGAATCTGCGGCTGGTGGAGACATAGCCTGCTATAGTCCACTCTAGAACTTGGGTCCAACACCAACAATGCCGGAAGGGGGAGCGGCAGTAGTAGGAATGGGATGGTCTGTGGACCAGGTGGCAGCAGAAGGAGCCTTGGTGGCGGAGGGAATACCCCCGGAGCTAATGGCGACAATGTTCTCAGCAGAGTTGTCGTACTTGACCTGGCCGAGACCAACCTGGTTGTTCTGGAGATCGTATGCCACGTAGACGGATCGCAGGAAGGAGTCTCCCAGAACAGACTGGCCCTCGTCGCTCTGAGCATCTCCAACCAGCCAGGAGTAGGCAGCCTCCTGGGAGCCATCGGCAAGAGTCACGTACCGCTGGTTTCCTTCGCCATCGGTATCAGCAATGAAGAGCTGGGTGAGGGGCACGTTCACCTTCTTACCCTGGAAGGTGTAAGTGATAGCCGACCCCTCGCTCTTCCATTTGTCAAGCTGTGACTGGGAGGCCACGGGACCATCTTCGGTATTGTACAGTCCCAGGGAGTTGAACAGAGTCAAGAAAGTGGTGGAAGGGAGAATGGTAAGGGTTGTTCCAGCGTCGAGAAGAGCCAGACGGGCAACATTCAGGGCGTTAGAGTCACCAAAGTCGATAGAGTTGAGAGTGACCTGGAACTCCTTGGGACCAGGGTCACCGGGAGAGTCCTTGATGAAGGGGAGAAGGGCAAGCTCGTCAGCGAACTTTGAAGTGTCCACAGCTCCAAACAGCAGGGTTCCGGTGGTAGCCTGCAGAGAATCGAGGTACAAGGAGTAGGCGGGGGTGTTGATGACTCCAGCCTTGGCCAGTCGAATGGGGAAGTTGTCGTACTCAAACTCCGGTCCTTGCTCGTCCTGGGAGTCGGAAGCCTCGTTGCTGGGGTATCCAACTCCAAACACAGGGTCGGTATCGGTCTTTTTAGCAGCAGCGAAGACAAAGTCGGGGATGCTGGCTCCAGCAACGTCAATTGTGTCTTTGACCCAATCTCCAGAAGCGGTGGTTTGGTCGCCGTACGCAATGAAGAAGGCTCCAGGCTTGTATTCCTCGTAGGTGGAGGAGAGAGAGCTGTTGTAGGCGGTGTCGGAGCCGTCAGCCTTGACCCAGAGGTCGGAAGAACCGGTATCGATCTGGACAGAGAATTTCTGAGCAGGAGTACCAAGGGTGATGTCGACAACGTACTCGACCACCTTGTTGTTCAAGATAGCAACGGGGTTGGAGGGGTTCTTGGAAGGGTTGCTGAGCCCGTTGGGGTTAGGAGAGTTCTTAAGATGGTTGACTCGCTGGTTGAAACCGACCTTGAGGGTCTTGTCGGTGGCAGCAGAGGCAAGGGCAGTGAACACTGCGAGGGTGAGGATGGAGAACTTCATTGGTGAGTGAGGTGTGTTTTGATACTGGTTCATGTCGAGAGAACGGGCATATTTATATGGATGAAGCCGACATTGGTGGAGGGAGAGGCACTTGTCAATCTACTGATTAGGTGGAGGAATGATTGGGTTAGCGTTTTATCTTCACAATACCATGTGGAGATCTACAGAGGTCTCACCAGCCCATGGACAAGGAGAGACGTGCAGTTGGTGTGATACTACACACATAGACGAAGACATACATCAATTTCTGTTTCTCGAGGGTGTTCTTACCAATTACTTCTTTTTATTATAAGACACGTTCTACTGGTGTAACCCTTGCCATTCCATGGTCCCATTCATAACTCCCCCCACGAGAGATCGACGCCAATTAAGTTGGACGTTTGGGTGGGGTCAGGTACTTTTGGTGTTAATGTCGTGTGGCACCAGCTATAGTTTTGCCTCCAAATCCTCAAATGCCTCTTGTTGAGGTTCATGAAGAGCTCACCGGCACAAATTGCGTGTTTTCAATGTCCACAATTTCGCCATGGCATCATAGCAAGGTTCCGAAGCCGTCTATACCAGTGTAAACGTTGTAGTACCCACGATATCACTCCGATGAATGTTCCGATACTGGTTTCACGTCCCGCTGATTCTATCTGCTGCACCGGGTCTTGTCCATACATCTTGTGTGCTGAAATTCGTCCCCAGATAGCACCGGCAACAAGCAAGGGTCCGAATCTAGCTTCCGACGTCGAAAGTCGACTCGACGCTGAAACTCGACGGTGGAAATTAATATGGCTTGCATCTCTTCCCTTTGTTCTATTGGCCCACCGTTGAACTAAATTCAACAAAGAAGTGTGGATGGATCTTGTCATGGAAGCTAGACCTCATCGCCCAGGAGCAAGAGAAGAGCAATTACCGTAAAGATTTCACCAGTAGAAAGGTCTCGACTTGAGAAATGTAATGATACCATATATAAGCCCCTCAATTTACCGCTGTATTCTCTTTTCTGATGGTGTCCTAGTTCTTTTCGCAACTGATGTTCCAACTCTATCCAGAGCCATTGATGCCGTGCCAATGAACCTTCCTAGGTGCCAAGACACTTGGCGGCGGTCGGGACAATTGGTACTGACTCGTCTTTGGAGGCACGAGTATCAAAATGAAGCCATGAGTTGACTCACGTGTTTTAGCATTGTTTGATTTCCCTATTTCTTCTCCCATTTTCCCGAAATTCCCCTATCAATTCCTCCACCAAATCAATTTCCCGCTAATGCTAAAATGCATGTATCATGCATGTCCCTGCGCAGACCAATGTAGCATTGTGATGCCGTTTGTGATAAGAGATGGGGGTGATTTACATATAAAAGTCACGTGGAAAGTACTCATTACGGTGCCACAATGTTTGATCAAGAGACTTCCCTTGTGAGGATGAAGACTTATCCACTTTACAAGCCTTAGTAACCCTTTTACTAGTCTCACCCCAGAGAGTCAGCTCAATTACAACTTCTTATTCAGTATTACGCCATCTACATGGCTCATTTCCTAAACTTTTCTCTCCACGAATTGGTGACTAACACTGCCACAGTATGAGATGTACCCTTGGTCTACAGTGAGTACATACAAGACACTCGATGTCATTCATAGTCCCTCTCAGGCTCGTTGGGCTCTGATTTGGGCCATGCTCTCGAATCTGGCCATTATTAACTTGATATCAATCATCGACTTATTCAGAATCTCGTCTGCTCCAGATGCCTCTGGTTAACCAGGCATGCTGTCTACTATAGTGCTTCAGTATTTCTGTAGGTTGCGTTTGAGACATGGTTCAGACACCTGTGACTTGTCTCACGAATGCTACCATGACTTCACGTATTCGGTCACCAGTCATCTCCTGCTTTGTTTCACCATCAACAGCTTCTGTCCGTTCTCTTCTTGTACCTGGAGTACCCCCAGTTCCAACATGTTATGTCTCTCTCACGGTTCAGGGTGAGACTAGCAAGATCAGTTAAGGCCTTGTAGCGAAGTCACCTTTTGATGCAAGAGACAAGATTGTTCAGACTGCAGTCCATCTCTTTAAACTCTTTGGGTCTACAGAACTCTTTGGGGATTTTATCCCGCCTGTTGCACCTCGAGAGTAATCTATACCGTAGACTCATTAATCGATTTCCAGCCCGTCACAGCTACGTATCAAGGACAGGATTATTGAGAAGCATTCCAACCCCCGGACCTCTCATATACCTGTGTAGTTATCATCGGCACAATACCAGGAACATACTATTCACACGGCAGTTTCGTGGCATTCTCTCGTTTCACGTCTCTCGCTCGACAAGCTACCGCTCTTAGTCATCGAATCCTCTACAACAGCTGAAAGTCTGCTCAGCTTGAAAACTGATCAACTTATGAGATTCAATAAATAAGCTGAAAGATGTAGATTGAGTCATTCCCCCTTCATCATTGTTGCATTGTGGCATAATTATCATCAATATCGATCCCTGACTGTAGGAAAAATCGTGAATCCTGACAAAGTCCTTCAAATTGAGGATTCCCCGAAGAATTTTCGGGTATTCCATCGCTGTACAAGTACATAGTACCTGCTGTAAATCTGCTGTTGAAATATGCTGTATATGCTCACTTCTGGATGCTGGCTTTTTCCGTCGATTTTGTCGTATTCGGTTAAACTGGAACTTAATTAACACCTTATAATTACAAGTAATTGACTATCTCGGGGGGATTTGAGATAGCCTGGGAAAGACTGAAAGCATCAATTGCCTGGGAAAATGCAGCTATTTTGAATCTTAGAGTGTTATCTCCTTGTTTCGGCTATTTAAGGAGTTCTAGCAATCTTTTGGAGTCATTACTTCCCTCTAGCATCTTTTTTGGAGTCAACTTTTGTCTTGATGTGGCATTGTTTACTGGAAGATATGAGACAAAAGGTCAAATGAAAACTGTTTGACATATACTATACATCGTTCTACACACATACCCTTGCTCCATTTTGGTCTCCATTTGTTTCGTGTAGAAACAATTCTTTTGGATTGAGGTCAAAACGTGGATTACAGAGCCAGTCCATTCCTGGAGAACAAACTAACAAAGCGCTACTAGGTAGTCGTAGAACCATCTCCACCAACGGCTTTATTGCATAATTCGTCTTTCATAAACTTGAAAATCGTTCATTTTGTCAGACTGTGACTCGGAGATTTGTCCAGAATCTGATGTTTTCCAATCTCCACACCATCTGTACATCATATCATGTTATTCCGAATTCAGGCGCACTAAAAGTGTATAATAATGATATTGAAGCTACCTGATATACCCACCCACTTTCCATCCTACCGTATCTAAGATCTAGAACCCAAGAAACCTGATGTACCTCCCTATAATTTACCAAAAACCTCCCACACCATTTCACTGGCAGCCTTCCCCACACCCTTAACTTGTCCTCTTGTCAGCAACTCCAAATAACCCTTGCCATGAGACTCCTCCAAATCCCTGTACTTGTCGATCAGATGACGAGGCGTAGGAAACAGCTTCTGGATAACCTGAGCCTTTTCAGCCGAAATACCATTAATGGTCATGAGCATCTGAATGAATAGTACCTTGAGGGAATGGTTCGACTTCAGATTCTTGTCCTGCCAGGCCGTCAGCATCATCGTCGAAAAGGTATCACGAGATTTAGAGAAGCCTCCAATCTCCTTGGGCCCTATGCTCAGAGTGACTCCCTCGTAACACATCTTCACAGACTCATAAAGACTGGCCATGTAGTCACAGCTATCCGCCACACTCTTGGTCTTCTTCAACAAAAACCCATCGATAGCCACCACTCGCCCCAGAATACTGGCAATGGCCTTATCACGGATCTGGACCGCAGCTCGGGACATGGAGAAATGTTCCACCAAATAAACAACGTTCTCGACTCCACACTTGCGTAGCCGACTCTTCTGCTCTTCGTATCTAGAGTCCACAATCGATGAGTTCAAGTCATCGTATCTCTTTCGCTCAATAATTGTGTTCAGAACGGCGATTTTCTTGCTAGTTTTGTGGCGAGCTGCAAACAAGAAGTCGCCCAGATACAACACTGAAGGAACTACTGTCACGTTCTTCTGACTCAGTCCGGAGATGGCCTGCTGTGCTTCTTCTCGGTTATTTTCTCGTTTGTCTACAATCAGAACCACCTCGTAGGATGACGGTTCCCACGTAACTTCAGCTGCCTCTGTTATTGGTCGTACCACTCCTGAATGGCGTAGTTCCGCTGCTGCCATTGTTGCTCCATCACTCATGGGGACGACGTGCACGTCCATATCTTCGTCGGCTGAATATCGATTCAATTTTGTCACCTGCTGCGATGAAGCCAGCTTGGATTTATCGGAAAACCCCTGGATATCCACCCTCTTTGCTGTCTTTGGTCGCTTTTGTCGTTCGATTTCCTCCCGTAACTCTTGGCCAACCCGCTTCTCTTGGGTGGAGAATCTCCTCAACTTGTTGGCGAGGTCTTTTCCAGCTGGCGTCAAGCTGTAGGTGTATGTCGAGTTCATTTTGGAAGTGGTGACGAGCCCCTCGCTCTTCAGCTTTGATAATCCACCCCAGGTTTTTCCAGGGCCCGTGATGTTGAGAACCTGCTCCTTAGTCGTGGGGTTGGGTATACCAACTAGCGCTACTAGTAGATCATGTGCAGCAGTACCTTGCTTGGGGTAAAAGGTGCTGGCAGTTGCTACTGCCATTTGTTGTGGTGGTGCATCATCGGTCAGATCAACTGCATCAGTGAGATCAACGGTGGCTATGGAGGAGTCTGTGCCATGCAGAGGATCTGTAAATCCACTTGTCCCTCTTCCAGCCTTGCCCTTTTCCCGTCTGATTTTTTCCACCAGCTCCTCGTGTTCCCTCACCACTGCATCCTGAGCAGACTGCTTGATCCGCTCTCGTTCACGTGCTGCTGTTTCTTCCTGTTGTCGCTTCTCCTCCTCGGCCTCCTCACGCGCCTTTCGGCGTTTATCCAGCACTTTGCCCCAGCGTGTTTCCAGCACACCCAGCGACTTGGTGTCGACGTACTTCTTGAGATCGGCCACTTTGAAAATAAGCGGTCCACCCAGCCCTTTCTGCACACTTCGCAGCACCTCCAGCTGTTCCGAAAACAACCGCGCCTTCTTGGAACTGGCCGACACAGACTTGGCGAGAGAAAGATCCGCCTCGGTGGCAGCAATCAAGTCGTTGAGAATGCTCTTTTTGCTCATTTGAGATTGATGTATAAGTGAGTCGCGTTTCGTGTCGCGAAAATCATTTAGGCGTTGGAGCTAATATTATCAAGGTTTCAGTACATACTGTACCAGTCTCTGAATCATGGCCAAGTGACATGGATGTTTCCTCATCCTGCTGCATTGAGATACACGCACTGGTCTGTGTATACTTTTGCCCCTTCAATTTGCTACAGTACTGTACGTTTTTTAGAAAATGTTTTTGTTATTTCTTTTATAGTAACATAATACATTTATGTTTGTTAGAGCAAAACATCCTTAACAATAACGTCCACTAATCATACATAATTACTGGCGTAAATCTTAAAAATACTTGATAAATCTATTTAATGCAGAAAAAATAATGTAATCATGCATAACTCAACAAACGTTTCAATAACCCAGACTCGTGTGTATGGGATCTCTTTCCCCATAGATAATATCCAGTACTTTTGAACAGCAAACAGCCTCCCCATCGACTTTTAGTGAAATTTTGGACCTGTGATTCTAGACCAACCCAGCTCTCAAAGTCACGTGAAGTCTCAACTCAACCCCCCCCCCCCCCCTTTTTTTTTTTTTTTTTTTTTTTTTTCATAACATGAATTTCTTGTTTCACCAGTCGCACAAGTTGGACATAAATTCCCATTACAACAGCCCAAGACGGAGTATGGAAACACCAACTCAACACCGAGAGAGGATGGAGAGATGGAAATTACATGACCATACTTCACAGACCGGGGGTTATTATTATGAGTTGATCTGAAGTCTGCAATATAAAACTGCCCACATCATTGAGACATTCGACATCTGTAAGCTACGTTCATCTTTCCATTTAATAAACACTGCTGAAAACAGCTACAAATAATTATAAATACATAAATAATCGAGCCGGGAGCTCATGCAAATTATTCCAACACAACATCACTGTCATCCTCGTCGGCACACTCAAACACGCTGGTCAAGTCGAAATCGGGCTTTCCAGGACCAAGCTTCTTGTTGCCAAACTTCCACATTTCCGTCTCGTCCTCACTGCACACTAGCCACAGCTGATGATACGCAACATTTTCCAGATCCACAATCAGAGTCTCCCAGGAAGATCGTCTCGCAGCATCGCAGACTTGAGCTTCTCCTCAAATCCACAGCAGTAGGGAACCGCTGAACACTGAAATCCGGAGGCAAATCGGGCAGTATCCAGCCACCGGAGGAAGCAATTTGAACGAAGTCTTGTCAATGGACACCATGTCGGGATCCATACTGGACTCGCCATCGTCCTTCTCACATTCCTTCGAAGTCTCGTGGTCCCTGTCCCAGAAGAGCGCATTGACGTTGGAAAAGATCACGTCGATGACGGAATCGTCCGTCTGACTGGTCTCAACCGAAAACTTGACCTCACTGTGCTCATGACAAATCACAGCCATGGAGAATCGCTCAATTGTAGCACCCGGGTTTTCGTCTGGTCTCAGAAAAATTAGCTGAAAGATTCGCAATGTCGACACTTACACGATGGAGTGGAAACAGCAGGGCTGTGGCATACGTCGTAACGCCTCTTCCAGCCAACTGCACAGGCGACTCAATTCCAAGTCAGAAGACTAAGAGAAACGACCAATCCGAGGTCACTACTGCTGGAGCGGAAGCTGCGACTGACAAGAGAGGATGTGTACTGAATCAAAATCCAAGACAACATCAGTTCCATACTAGAGAAAGCTCAGTCTTGCTATCCCAAATCCAAGGAATATGAAGCCTCAGAGAATAGTCAATCACCAGATACTGTCGCCGTGGCGAGGGTTGGGAACAAGGAGAAGGAAGTCCAGCTGGAACAAAGTGAAGTTGATGTATTTTATTGTGAGTGTTAATGAATAATTATCGAAACTTGTGAGAAATAGGCGATGAGCTATACACAAGTGTGCAGTATTTACACTAGCAGTGCAAGTATTTGGTAATTGAATACTTTCATTCGATTTGGAATTCTTGGGATATTTAGTCAAGCATTTATCGATATGCTATGTTTTTTTCTGTTTTTTTTCTTTTGTTTTTTTTGTTTTTTTTGTTTTTTGTTTGCTTTTTTTGTCGTGTTTTCCAAATCTTTTGGATATTGGTCCAGGATTCCAGCAGTAAATTAGAGGTCACAAGTGTAGTGACCCGAGGCGTTACAGGAGAGTAGGGGGCAATACCATGGCCCATACAGAACAGGTAATCGTCTGGCCATGTCCAGGGGCAGAATGATCAATTCCCACCATTCTCGTCAGAGAAGTTGTGACTAGATTACAGACGGTACACTATATATATTGTATTCTACTGCCAGAAGTAATGTTTTGTAATGTTATAGCATTTTAATCAGACAAGTAAGTACTCGTACAAATACCAACCTGGCTGATTTGACATTGAGGATCTGGTTCCCAAGGATGGGCCACCCGAAAGACATCCAGATCCAGTTCTCTGGCGTGTAAAGTTTACGGACTGTCATTTTACATCAACCAGCCTAGACCCATAAGGGTCACCGATTCCAAGTCTGTACCGTACTTGAGATAATACAATACTTGTAGTAGAACCGGACAGCAAACTTGTCGACATGCTGACTTGGTTTCACCGACCGAACAAGGAACAATTAATGTCGATCAGAAAGTAAGCCAACAGTTCAATACATCTCTTTTTCTCCTGTTCATCGTCGTCTTTGGCGGCTGTATGCACTTAGTTGTCAAATCCCACCAAGTTCCAGGCCGTTGGAAGAGCCAGGTCGCTGTTCAGTTGCAACCTCCCCCTCTAGAGCAGAGTCGTCCTCCACTTTTCCTAGAGGAGACTCCCTGAGTCTACCAGATCCAAGCTTCTTAGTCACTCGCTGGCCATGTCATGGTATTTAGGTGGAGGACCCTTGTACTGTAGTTATTGGGGTCTCAAGTGATTCTTAACAAGATAAAATTGAAAAATTAAGGTCACCAACAAAATATGTTGAAAATCTGTCGAGTAAAGTGAGAGATTAATGGCACGCCTTTGGATTTCCATTAAATATTAATGAAAAATGCGGAACATAAAATTCGAGGACAAGTTCCGCATGTTGGATCAAATATTTATAGAGTTAGTTGAAATCTAGTGGATATATATCGATTTGGGTACAATTTTCAAGAATTTTGTTGAGTATATTTAAGCTATAAACATTGGGTAACCTTAAATTGTGTGCCATAAACTTGCGGTGCCATAAACTTGTGGTGCCATAAACTTGCCCAATAATCAGGCCACTTTTACAAATAATCAGGCCATTTTCACGAAGCTTGTTTCGTCGGGCATAAAACAACATCAGAGATATATTTCTGGTGTTAGCGTTGATAATGCAGGGACTAATGAGATGAAAACTTTAGTATGCACTACTTCGAACCCAAAAAAAGAATATCGTCAAAATTGGAGTTGAATGGAGTCAAATTCGTGGTTTTATATAATCCATCTTGATACGAACCCCGCACGTAAAAAATCAGGCCATAATTTAAGGTGGCATATTGACTATAGCTTAATTGTCTGTTTGTGTAATATAAATATACCCCCGATTTACAGATTCTCCAGAATCCTCTATTCATGTTAACCATCATCGCCAAGAATCCGCCAAGTACGTGTTTCGTCTCGAACACTGAAAAAGACGGCTTCTTTTTGTCGCCGGCTAAGAAAGAGGCGGCTTGAGTGAGTATTTATGGTTCGACTGGCACCACTGGGGACTTTTTCGCGTCGTTGTGAAACAAATCGTGTGTTTGTGACACAAACAGCGCGACACACAACATCACACAACATCTCACAACACTATGGAAGATCACGGTATCATTACAACAACCGATGACGCTTCAATTACAGTCACTGTCGCCATGACCGCCAACTTTTTTGTACGACTGATACCCACAGTCAATCCATGTGACACAAACACAACACTAAGTGACACAAACGCGACACAAAAACGGCACAATAATGACACAGGCAAACAACATACTACAGGTATCTATGTTTCCAGCACCTTGATCGCCGTTCAACCAAGTGTCTCAGCTCAAGAGGAGTCCCCACAGTTGCCATGTCTTCTCCATCACATTTTTCAACTTACTAACACAGATGGGCGTCCTAAGATCTAGTTACTACCATAGGTAGCGCTAGTCATAGACGGGTGCTTCCCGAAGAGCTATGAGCCAAACGATTACGTCTCCCGAGGGTGTCGGATAGGCGAAATCAGGCCATAGTCTCCAGGGGGGCATCTAAATCCCAGGGAGGAATTATTTTGTTTACAGGGGGGTGTGCGTTAACCATGCCCAGGTTCCAAGCATGCTATGAACTCAGGGACAGAGTCTCATAGGGAGTGCCCCGGAAAACCCGTGTCTACTGACGATTTTCGTCTTTAGACACGACGCTACAACCCAGTCAGTTTCAAACCAACTTGCAATCACCCTTCGCGTCCCAAGAGGGGAGTCTGATTGCACAGAGACGAAACCAGACTAGCGTCACTCACGTTCTCGGCGGAACCGGTTCGTGAGATTTACTTTTTTACTTGCTATCGATGATAATTTTGGCACTGGTGATGTTGGAGCATAGACGTTGGTGCTCTTGGTGGTGGAAGGTCGGAGTGGATTTGGGGGCTTGTTTGAAAGACAGGAGGTGTGGGGAGAGTGAGGGGTGGTGGTTGGTGGATGGTAGATGAGGGGAGTTGGAAGGGGGTGGTGGATGGCAGATGAGGGGCGGTGGAAGGTGACGAGGGCTGGAAGACGAGGGGAGTTGGAAGGTGAGGAGCAGTGGAAGATGAGGGGTGGTGGGAGGCCGTCGGCTGTGGATTGTGGCTGCTTGGAGTGTGTGACGGAGAAATCCTGGAACCTTCGGGTTGTTTGGCCTTCTAATCACATCCGTGTGTGGGGGAGAAAGCACTTGAACCTTCGGGTTGCGTGTCCTTCTCAATCACATTCGTGTGTGAGGGGAAAAGCACTGGAACCCTCGTTCTCGTTCACCTCCGTGTGCGAGGGAGAAAGTGCTCGAACCTTGGG